CAGGAGAGTTTGCGCAGGGGGGTGTATCGGTGTCGGTGTGTGACCTGCCGCTGGACGAGGCGTGCGAACGGGGAGCTCGAGCCGGAGAAGGATGTGCCCTCAAAAATCTCCAGGGCCTCTTTGAGGGCGTCGATCTCCTCCTCACGACGTGCCTGACGGTGAGTTTGAGAAGGAGACACACTGCGATGTTTCTCACGGGCCTTTCCGCTACATGGACCTTTCGTTCGTCGTATGTGGTGCCGGCCTCGATGCACGCTGGCTTGAGCTTCTCCAACTCACCCATTGCCTGACGGGGGGGGGGTCAGATGCGTGTGTGGTGGGGATTCCTGTATGTGTCTCGCCATACACGTACCAGCTCGAGGGCAGTTTGCGCGGCATCGCGGCTGCTCGTGGCCTCGGTGAGGGCCGTCCCCTTCTCTACTTTGTACTGCCCCTTGGCCTTCAGCTCCTGCTGCTTCGAAGACATGTTGCTCTGCACCAACACACAACAAACACACACGTGTAAACCACGATGTTGCTCTGCAAAGTATTGCGTGTATGGGTGCGTTTTGCCTTCATCTCGCGGGAAAGCTTGTCGTGTTCGGCCACGGCCTTGCTCTCGAACCGCCGTGTCTCGTCCACAGTGCGTTTGAAGTCCGTCTGGATGGTCTCGAGCATGCCTAGGATGCCGGTAGCCTCGCCCTGGCTGCCATTGTAGGGCTCGGTGAAGGGGGCGTCAGGCTCCTGCATGCAACGCAATTCCCATGACGATGTGGCTTGATGTGGATGTTGGCTGACCTGTCTGTATGACGCGCGTGTCTCTATGATGGCGGCTGGTGGATGGGCGGCCGCTGCTGCGTTGGAGTAGAACTGCGCCAGGACATCGAGGGCGGCGCCGACGGCCTCCGCACCCTCCTTGGCGTCTAAGCGGAGGAAGACAGACATGACAGGTATAAATGTGACTTTCCTCCCCTGTGCTGCCCTTACCTTGAATCGACGCTTCGTTCTCCTTTTGTTCTTCAGCGCGGGTCGCCGTCTGAGCGACACAGTAATGACATATGGGGGAAGCATTGGATGCATGGGGGGCTCTCTCCATTGACCATCTGGATGAGCTGCTGGTCGATTTCGTGTATCTGTGTGGTGAGCTGGCCGATCTCCTCTTCCGTCTTGGCCAGGGCCGCTGTGAGCTGCTCCATCTCTGCCTCGTACTGCGCCTTGTCCTCGGTGCTGGTGCGCTTCTTTTGGTTGACTTTGGTCAGCTCCATGTCGCACCAGCCCTTGTGCTCGGCCTCCTCAGACTCTTCCTGGAGCAGCCGCTCTATCATCGACTGCACACACAAGGAGGGAGACATGAGCGTTCGGGGATGAATCTGCATCTTGCCCGTCTGCTGCGTACCTCAATGAGGGATTTGATCTTTGCGAGCGTGTCTTCCTCCATCCTGGTGGCAACGCTCGTCAGCACGGTGCTCCTCAACGCTCTCGCTCTGCTCCTGAAGAGAAGAAAGACGCCCGATGCCGGCGACCAGAAAGAATCCGCTTTCATGTGGCTTACTTGAGTAGTGCGATGATTTGGCTGCGGACATCTGCCTCACGATGGGCCCTCAGCTCCAGTAACACAGCCCCGGCAGCTGTAATCCACACCAACTAAGTCACTGCATGAAGAGCCAGCTGTTCTGGTGAATCGACCTACTCACCGGCCTTGACCGTGCGCTGGTGTTTCTTCGCATTTGAGGCGGAGACAGCGACCTTGCGGGCAATCTCCTTCAGTCTCTGTGTGCTCGATGCCGTCAGGGCAATACGCCTGGATACATGCGTCCGTTTTAGACTGGGAGGTGCCTCAATAATACCTCAATGATACTGCTACTGTGCGTGATGTCTCACTTGTTTCTGTATTCTATGTCCTTGACTTTGCTCTCGATGATGGCAATGGCCTGCGCCAGGGCCGTCAGCTCGTCAGCGCGCATCTTGGACCGTTGCGTCCAGGCATCCTCCTGCTCCTTGCAGGACGACATCAGATCTTTGACGACACCCATGTCTACAGACAAAGCAGGAAAGCTTGTGCTGGTATAGCAACGGTGCGTACGTACCTTCATTGATGGCAGCGACGGTCCTCCCCAGCTCCCTCTGCTTCTCCGCAATTTCACTCGTCTTGGCAGCGCTGTGGAGAGATCAGACTTCAACCGTTCTCTTTCTAGCCCATATGTAGAGGTGTACCTGGCCCCTCGGTAGTCTTCTAAGGCCTTCTTAAGGTTGGCGATTTCTGCTTTGAGGCCCTGAGATATACACAGGGTAACAGCGGTCGCAATCGACCCACACGAAGGCATCTCTGCTGTGGTACCAATTCTGCGGCCTCGAATTCGTGATTTGCGGCGAGCTCTGCAGTCTCGATGTCATGCTTCTCCGTCCTGAAGTCGTCTGCAAGGGTCTCGAGCGTGCTGATGACGCCATGCGAATGGAAGTCATAGGCAGACCCCTGCACACGAACACAGTGTGGATGGATGCCGAGCTGCCTCTGCCAGGATTGTATTGTACTTCTGCAGATGGAATGTCGGGCATCTCCTTGGCCGCATTGGATTCTCCTGACCGCAAAGACCTGAAAAGATGGGATGAGACAGGCAGGCTCATCCCCGTCTGTATCCGCTGTACCAACCTGATGGCGACCAATGCCTCCTCCGGCCTTGACGCTTTGATGAGCTGGACGGCGGTCTCCGATTGCTCGATGGCCGACACCAAATCTGACACAAACTATGGTCCTTTCCCGTTCTGGGCTGGTGGCGATTCACTGGCGAACGTACCGTCATGGTCCCGTTTGAACTGTTCCTTCCTCTCTGTGTTATTCTCTCGCAGCTCATCCACTCGGGCCTCCTTCTGAATGAGGGATGTGTCGGCCGACTCGGCTGACGAGTCGGCCGCATCCCGAGCGGACACACAGCTGCTGATGTCGCCCTCGAGCTCCCCCTGCTTGTTCACACACACGAGGGGAACAAAGCAAGTCGAGTGGGATGTGCGCAGGCCTCCCAGGCCTCCCGTGTGCTTACTGGTTTTGTGTGATGGCGTGTTGTTTATCATCGAGTGTGTCCCGGCACGCACAGGCGAATTTGTCGTAGATGGCGGCCTCGTCCTCGCCCTCAGACTCCACCTTCGTCTGTAGATCTGCCAACATCTGGATGACCTTCTGCACTGGCGTGGTGAGTTCGCTGCTGGGCTGACGGGCCTGGCAGCCTCCCAGCACGGCTGCAACCACAGTTGCAACACCCAGGAGCGCCTTCATTTCCTTCTCGCCGCTCGTAAACTCTAGCCCTCGCGAGCTTAGTCTGCGAACCGATCGCATTTCTCCCTCTTTTTCTCCGGTGGGAGGCCTGGATGTCCCGTTTGGCCTTCTCTCGATGTCGCCCATTGCAATTGACTCTGAGTTGAGTCAGAGGTGACGAGTCTCCCATTCAACGTAAGGCGCTTGATTGCAAATGAGCAGCTCCTGAGAGAGGCATGTTCGATGTACTGCCTGCTGTGCCTGGCTGCCTGGCCCTTGGTGCCTTCAGGTGAGCGGGGTTGACTGTCGCTGCGATGAGTGGGAGCGACGAGAGGAGGCGAACGAGTGGGGAGGAGGGGCTTACATCGTGGGAGCGGGAGGGCCTGGCCAAGGCGATGGAGAACCTGCTGCCCACTGCCAACCTGGAGCGGATCCTGACTCAACTACTGGAGAAATTCGCGCCGTTGGAACAGAAGATAGAAGAGCTGACCAATCGGGTCAAGGAGGTATGCGTCCACAGAGAGACACATAATGACACCCGTTGCCCCAGACATACATCTTCTCTGCTGCACCACTTGTATGCAGGTGGAGGACGCCATGTCCAAGACGGTTGACGAGGAGAAAATCGCGGGGCTGGCTGACACCGTCCGCAAGACAGACCAGGCTCTTCGCTTGGAGGTGGCCTCTTGCCGCGATGAAGCCAAGAGGGCATCGGAGAGTAGGCAGAGCAGACATGCTTCTTATCGATTGGATTTGGATCATCTTCCTTCGTCGTCCTTTCAGCTGAGCAGAAGCTTCGGTTGGATGTGGTTGGCTTCAGCCAGCAGCTGGACGGGTTCCGCGGCCACATGGATGTACAGGATCGCATCCTGCACGAGATGCAGGAGGGGCTGCGGGATAAAGCCACACTGGGAGAGCTGACTCTGGTCGAGACCCAAATCAAGGCATGCGCGAGCAAAGACGCCCTCGCAAAGGTCAACCACACAAAGGAAAGAGACGCATTCATAGCAGGAGACACATGAACATGTTTGTTTCTGCTTCAGTTGGAGCACAAGCTCAACGACTTCGCGCTTGTGGGTACGACTGAGGGTCTGGCCTCGAGCATCCAGCATCTGGCCCGCCGCTTTGACGACTACTGGCGCGGCCCGCAGATCGAGAACAGCCTACAGGACGTGAGGGATTGGGTGAGCGAGGCGCTCAACCACTATGCCAAGCTCGATGACACCTCTAAGGCACTCAGGAGGATGGAAGTGAGTCGGCCGCACAGATGTACGTGCAGATAAGGAGACATACACGTCAGTGGTTTTGTATCAGCTCGGTGCCGATGAGACATCAAAGAAGATGCAGCAACAATTTGCCCTTTTGGACGAAAAGCACCTGGTAAGGAGCATGAACGAAGACAGAAGGGGGTATTCGTGTCTCTCGGTGTTGTCAGAATCTGCAAGACAGGGTGACGGCCGTCTATGTGGAGCTTAATGAGGACATCCAGAAACGGGCACACAAGGTCGGCTCTCCATTAGGCCCCACCAATTGTCAGCAATTGCATGCCGCTTGTCGTTCCTTCAGACGACGGTAGAGGACGTGCGGGATGAACTCTTGCTGATGGCCAAGTAATGAACAGCAAGAAAGAGAGGTCGACTGCGATCAATAACAAGATGACAACTCTTTCGCTGCCTTCTGTCAGGGAGTCCGACTTGGAGGCGCTGAAGGAGGAGGCCGTTCCCCGCATTCAATTCTGCGTCGACTCCATGCAGACATTCAACGATCGGATCAATCTGCAGGTCAGTCAGGCAGAGACACCGTGAGACAGACAGACGGACAGACAACAGGAAGCGACTGAAGGCTGTCCTTTTGTGTTGACGTCTCAGGACTCTGCCATTCAGCGTTTGGATGAGCTGTTGCTGGACAAGGCATCGAAGTACGACATTGTGGTTGCAAACGCCAAAGTCGAGCAGTGCATGCCAAAGGTCAGCAAACACGCCGGCCGGACATCAAGCTGCTCACCGATGACGGGCATTGTCGCCATTTGTGTGTGCAGGACAAGGCCTATACGGAGCTCCAGCGCCTGTCTAATCGGCTGGACACCATCTGCAAGCGACTCGACCACTTTGTCGAGTCGGAATCGGAGCGAATCAGCCAGGTACCCAGTTGTCAGAGAAGATGAGCGAAAAGAGAGTGGTTGGTTGGTTCGTTGCAGTACAAGCCAAGTGAGGAGCAGACCGACGCGATGGGTGAGTTCCAGGAGGCCATTAACCTCAAGGCTGACAAGTCGGATCTCATCGAACTGCACGCCGTCAAGGCAAACCGGTAAGCGAGTCATGGCAGGTACATTATGGCTCGTGCATCTGTCTCTGTCTCTGTCTCTTCTTTCTCCTGCCCTGCACATGCAGCATTGACGTCGATCAAATATCAGTTTTTCAGGTGTGCGTGTCAATGACCTCCATCCATTGGCTGGCCAACCTCACGTGTCTCGCCTTATTCTTATTTCGTGTCCACAGGAGCAGATCCAGCGCCAGCTTGAGTACCTTGCCGTCACCTCTTTCGGCATGGCAAGGCTCACTCTCGCAGGTAGACTTGTGTGGATGGCAGTTGGGACGAGTACGAATACGTACCATGCATATGCGATGACGTTTCAGAGGCCAAGCCCAACGAATCCAAGATGCTGCGCCAGCAGCAGAGGACACAGGCAAGCTACATGCACGCGCCAACCTGTCCATGGATGTACTTATGGAAGACATGCGCTCTCAGGTTTTGACGCAAGCAGAGCACCTGTGGCACTGGATCGTCAACAACCAGCCTCCCCCCAACCTGGCCGCCATCGCAGGGCCGGCCGCGAGCCCCAGCCCAGAAAGCTCCAGGCGACGCTTAAGCGCCCTGCCGGCCTCGGACCAGTCGACCACCTCCCGTGCCCCATCCATCTCTATGCAGCCCTCACCATCACCCATGGGGACGGGAGTGCCCCAGACGCAGGCTGAGTTCGAGACGCCCGACGTGGTGGCTTCTGACCTGCCCCCGCCGTCTGCGCCAATGCACGCCAGGCCTCCCACACAGAGCCCCTCTTCTCTTCCACACCCGCCGCTCAGCTCATCGGGTGAGCCATCAGAGCCCTTCTTATGAATGAGAAATTTTTGTTTCTGTGGGCACTTTTTGTCCTCATACGCCTGTTGTCCTCAGGTGGGTCTCGCTCTCTCGGAGCGACGCGCACAACATGGCGCACTGGCCGCGCGCAGCCGGCAGGGGGATCTGCGTCGCCTTCTGGTGGCACAGGGGAGGGGATGCAGCAGGCGGCAGCTACTGGGCTGACGGTCGGCTCCATGGCGCCCTCGAGGGCCCAGCGGTCGACCCCCGTCAGCCGACCCACACCCTCGGGCCTATCATCACTCGGGTGCAAGTCCGAACTTGAGGAAAGAAGGTACAAGCCACACAGGCATATACGAACAGGGAGGGAGACATGCAATCAATGACTGCTTTGACCCCTCTCTGCAGGCGGAGCCGATTGGAGAGCCGCTTAGGAGTGCCGATGGCGGGAGGCGATGCCCAGCCTCCATTGTCGACCGTGCAGGGGTCGGGATTGCGGGCGTCGGGGAGTGGCAGCGGTCCGCCGAATCCACAAGTGTTGACGGACCGGTTGACAGCGTTGCAAGCAGAGAGGGAGGGGAGAGGCAGCCCAGGTAGAGGCAGCGATGGCAGCAGCACCGCCCGCTTGCCACACATATGAGAGGAGTGAGGGGGGACGCTCTCTCGGCTAATCGGCCGGTCGACTGTGTAAAGTGCGCATTGCCGTGGGCTAAAGAGCATGCGTCATGGCGTGTGTGTCAGTGCGTCGGTCTGTGTGTGTGTGTTCCCGTCCGTTGTTGTGTCATGTGGAGATTTCTGATACCCCTCTTGTCGGTCGAGGTGCCGATATCAATGTATCAGTGGCTTCGGGCATCTCTTTTGCTGAGAATTGCCATTTAGAAGAGAAGTCCATTTCAAAAAACACCAATCACATCGGCCAAGCAGAGAGATAGTGTCATTCATCCTTCAGGAGCAGCTAGTCATGCATGATCGAATACGCATTCATGAGCCCACATCCATCCACCCACCCATCTCTGCCAGCGGCCAGGTTGATGGCAGGGACAAGGAAATGGCAATGTCACACCGCCACTATTCCTCCATCCTTTCCATCCAGGATATGGTGTCGGCCATTGTCGCACCTCCCTCTCCCTCCCCCAGCCTCGACAGGTCGGTCTCCATCATCACGCGTGCGATCTTGCTGGGCCTCTCGTCCTCCGCCTGGCCCTCTTCGATCTCGTCGTACGTCTCTTCGCTCTTCTGGTCCGGCTTGATGCTGCTTGCCTGCACGTTTGGGTGGCTCGGCATTGAACGTATCCGTGGCAGCCCACCGCTCTGACACCGCTCTGACACACACAGAACACACAGAGAGACACACGGGTAAACCTATCAGGAACAGGCCAATTGGCATTCCTTCCTCGTCTGCCTACCCCAGTCTTCGTTCTCATCGTTGGACTCCGAGCTGCTCTCGTTGTTCTTCTCCCCCCTCTCTTTCGGCCAGAGGGACCCTTGATCGGGCAGGTTGAAGGGGTTGAGCTGTTGCTGACCTTCTTGCTCCTGTTGTTGGCCTTCGCCTCGGGTTTGTTGGCCTTCTTGTGGCCCGGCGCCTTCTTCTTGGCATAGCGAGGGGGTCTGACTTTTCCTGGGCCATTGTATTCCTGCACATACGAAGACAGAATGTCGTGTGCTAACCGGGCGTCGGCGACACTTCTCTTACGCGATAAGCCGTTAAGCCGAGACATGAAGGAATAGGACCACGAGATGAAAAATATAGGCAGCGACTTTCGCCAAGCCTGTCTGGCCCAAAGAGTGAGCCACACGTGGCCGTCGCCAGCATGGATGCTGAAACAGGGGCAGGCACAAGCACATTTACATCATGGAGGCACCCTTCCGTCGGTCCATCCTTTCTCCAGTGAGAGCCTCTTCCTGCCCCCTCACCAGGCGATGCTGCATTGTAAGGCAATTGTCGTAAGGTAAGTCTGTCTATGCGGGAGGTCCAAAGAGAGGGTCGGGGAGCTTCAACGGCTCCTGTAAATGAGACACGGAAGGCCAATTGCGGAAGACAGCTGTTGGTCGTGTCAGCTAACATCGGTCGTCTTGTGTAGGCAACTTATTTACCCGTGTGGCGAGGCTGGTGCTGCCATAGCCATAACCACAACCATGCTGACTCAACTGCAGACAGGGACACAAACACAAACACACACACACATACACTGCCATAGGTCGATGAGGGAGACTTCTGCTCACCGCTGCAAATGGTTCGCCTGCAGTGTGTGGAATGGTCAAGTGTTCAGGTCTGCGGTCTCCCGGTGGTCCGTATATACTCTGGCGGCGGTGGACTCCCACACTCTGGGCGGTCAGCTCAGCTCTGACCTCGCGATTCCCAAGCCTCTGCTGCACAGAGAGACGGACAGAGACACACGCGACGTGATGGATCCCGTCATGTGCTTTGGTGTGTATGAGTGTGTGTGTATAATCTCTCTCACGTGGTGCATGGTAGTATCCCGTGTAGTGTGTTGGGCGACAATGGCTGCATCCGGTGGGGCGACAATGGCTGTGCTCCAATGTATATATTACTGTCAAGGTCCCGACCCTGTCGACCATCATTCTCCTCCCACACCTTTCGAGCTCTTCGAATTCTTCTTGCTAGCAGCGCTCGTCACGCGACTCACGCCCGTCGCCTCACGGGGCTCCTCGCTCACGATATCTGCAGTGCAGTGAGAGCAGTGGAGAGAAAAAGATTTGTTCGTTCGTTCGGGAACGGGTTCCAATTGGTGTACCATCGATGTCCATATCATTCGATGGCGGCCCCCTGAACTCGACCACGATCTTTGCCACACGATATCCTGATGCATGCAACGAAACACAATGGCATGCACGTTCCAGATTGAAACATTGGGGCAACGGATGTTCTCAACCTACCGAGTGCTGACGCCTCTTCGTCGAGGGCACGGCCTCGCTGCCGACCTCTGCGGAGATTGGCGTCTCTGGGCTGGCCATCGGCACCCACCACCGGGACGCCACATGTGACGAGGCTCACTCATCCGATTCGGCGGACCGGGGCTGCCGCCTGGCCGGCCGTACATGCCGTCTGACGACAGACAACAACGCTGACTCGCCTTTGTTGCCTGCAGAGGTCTTGATGTACGAAACGCGTGAGGTCCTGGGGGCTGAGTTCAGTTTCACGCGTCAAGCTTGCGAAACCCTCTCTGCTCTTCGTCCGACTCTCTGGCGAGCGTGTTTCTTCAGCATGATAGCTGTCTGTTGCCTCTTCGACCAACCTGATCTCCCTTCGTCCCTCGCAAGCTCTGTCGTCATGCGTCAACTGCCGTAGAGCGTCCCTGTGTGGCAATGGGCAAGAACAAGCACGTTCAGAAGAACAAGGGCGGGGGAGGGAAGGGCGGCGGGTCGTCTGGCGGCGCGAGCAAAAAGAATAGGCGCCAGCGGCATTCGAGTGGACCTGATTTTGGTGATTTGAGGAGCCGTCTGGCGGACTGTGGCCTCTGGATACGGTCAGTGAAGCCCGACGGCAACTGCCTGTTCCGGGCATTCGCCGACCAAATCACAGGTAGGCCTCACGGCAGCTGTGTCTTGACACAAACAGGATCAGCTCGTGTATGTGTGTGTCTGTCTGCGTCTGTGTGTGTCTGTGTGTGTTCAGGTGACCAGGATGAGCACGTTGAGTTTCGTCAGAAGGCTATGGACTACGTCGAGGCACATGCTAGCGAATTCGAGCCCTTCATGGAGGTGCGTTCTCGGCCGAAGAACACAACACGCACTGCCACTCTGCCACATCAGGCACTTGACGCATCGTGTGTGCCGATTTCTGTGTGTGCGCTGCCATCCCCCATCCCTCAGGATGATGAGGAGCTGGACGCGTATGTGAGTCGCATGCGCGTGGACACCGAGTGGGGCGGCCAGCAGGCGCTGCATGCGCTCTGCCACCTGTACCAAGTCAACTGCCTGCTCCACCAAAAGGGCCTGGGGACATTCCAGATGGAATTCTTCTCAAAGGAGTACCCCTGTGTTCAGCTCTGCTACGACGCAGGTATGATGCATGCCACGGCAGGGTGACAGTGCATCAGGTGGCTGATGCGGTTTCTCATTTCTTTCCATTTCGGCTGTCCGTGTAGGTATCCATTATGATTCCGTGCGTCTGGCGGGCGAGAAGGGCGACGGTCCGCCCAAGAAGCTGACGATGGCCGAGTTGCTCGACTACAAAGAGACCCACGAGCACCACAAGAAGGACCCCACCACCAAGACACACAAGGGCGGGGAGGACAGAAACGCCATTGTCAAGGAGGAGCTGTCCAAGCGGACGGCCTGTGACGACGATGCGCTCCTCGAGACGAGCTTGAGTGAGGCGGGGGGCGACCTAGAGAGGGCCACGGAGATCGTCATCGCCAAACTCACCGCCGAGCACCACGCTGCTGGGAGCGGTGATGCTGACGGTGCAGTCGATGCTGACGCTGATGCCGAGTCGGCTCAGCCATCCGCCGCCCCATCCCCATCCCCGTCTCCATCCCCATCATCTGATACCCCCGCCCCTGCCGCCGCTCCCGCTCCCGCCTCCGCCCCCGCAACACAAGAGGACACCACGATCGCATCGGCATCGGCATCGCCCTCTGCTGCCTGTGAGTCCGGCAGTCCAGCTGAGGGGGAGGGGGAACCAGAGGCCCCCCAATGCGAGACGGTCATCTTCTGCGACGACTCATCCGACGCGTCCCCTCCTCCCCCCTCCCTCCCCTCCCAGTCAGACGACACGCGCACGGGCAGCGGCGACACCAATGATGGGGCGGGCAGCGAGGGGGCCAGCACGACCGCTGCCAGCTCGCTCGAGGGCTGCAACAAGAAGGCTAGCAGCGAGTCGGGGAGCGAGCTGCACGATGGCGTTGGTGGAGGGACGACAGGGGTGGGGGTGGGTAAGAAGGACGCAAATGACTGTCTCGACAGCACCGAGGCGTCCACGTCCACACCGGCGTGTGAGCATGGCGACCATGACGACGCCGATGGTGCGCACGAGGAGGAGCATGACGACGGCGGCGAGGCCGACGTCAGCGAGGGGGAGCATGAGCACGATGTCGGTGGTGGTTCCTCTCCCGTGGCCTGTGGTCAAGCATCGGGTGGTGCAGGTGGGCGCAAGGGTCCGAAAGAGGGCAAGATGCGGGCCAAGCAGAAGAAGGCCGAGAAGAAGGCCGAGAAGCGCCGCCAGAAGGAGGAGAGGCGGCGGGCAAAGGGGGGCGGGGGCAGTGGGGGACACACTGGGGGTGCGGACAAGAAGCGGCCGCAGCAGGAGCTCATCGATCAGCCGGGCGGCTCGCGGCAGAACGACAGCGGTAGCAGACAGCCGACGGCCGTGGGCACTGGCTCGTTGTCCGAGCGCATTGCCAAGTCGTTTGGCGGCAAGATCATTTCTGCATAGCTGGTGCTGCGGACAGAGTGAGAGGGCGAGAGCCGATTGATGAGTTGACTGGTTGGTGGCGTGGTTGCAGTCAGTCGCCTTTCCGATTTTGCGAGAGGCTGCTGAGAGTGTGGCTGTGCGGTTGGGTGGGTTTGGCTGCAATTGGGGACTGCATGTCGTATACATCCAGGGAGGGCGTTTAGTGCGTAAGCGTGTGTGTGTGTGCCTTTCCCCTTCCCCCGTCAACCTATCTATCTATCAGCAGTCTGCGCGTGTGTATCTTCGGGCGTCTGGCTCGGTTCTCTCTCTCTGCGTGCTTCCGTATCGAGCAAGCTGGTGAGAGGCAGTCAGTTCTGGGTGGGGGGACGCGACGCGTGGGTGGGCTGCGTGGACCTTGTTGCGTGTGTGTATGACTGCCCGCCCGCCCGCCCGCCCGCCCGCTGTGGACTGAATGCTACCTGCCCGAGCTCTTCAGTCAGTGGATTGCCCTCACAGCAAGGAGAAATATGGTGGCCGGGGAATATCAGTGTGCTGATTCGATTCAAGCAAGCGTTCGATTAGTAGACTCACAAGTCCGGCACACCCACGAAGAAAACTGGAGCAAGAAACCCTTTCCAGACACGAGCAGCGAGGTCCGGCCAGCTTGGTCACTTCTTCTTCTTCTTCTTCCCCTTCCCTTTCTTGCCTGACACACACACAAAGATGACGAGGACAAGTGACAGACCACACACACACACGCACATGGACGTTTGGAGACCTGCCTCCCTCCTGCACGTGTCATCGATGCATTCATTCACTCACCCTTTTTCTTTTTGCCGGCCATCCTGACTCTGAGTCTGTCGAGGTACTGGCGGCCGATGGCTTGAATGAGGCCGATGGCCGCCGCCTCACGCTCACGCTGAGACCGCCGAAGCTTCTCCACCACAGCCTGACAGACACAAGCCAGGGAGGGAGGCACGACGCTCATTGACTCAGGGTGGTTGTGTCTGTTGGGCGTGTGGTTCGCGTGACGTGACCTGGTTTCTCGCTTCTTTGTCGCGTTCTTCCTGCTCGGCATGTTCCTTCTCAAACCTGATGAATGAACCGATCAACGTACAAGGGCGAGACACATCCATCCATTCTCCTGACCTGTCGCGCAGCTTCTGCAGGAGCGACAGAAGCTTCCCTGCGGGCGAAAGATGTGTGAATGGACACATGCAGCAATGCATAGGTGCAATTGGCAGGGTTGGCTGTGTGTGTGTGACTAAGACATGCCTCTGTTTGCGTTGAGTTCGTTGAGTTCGTCGTCCTTCTGCTTGACGTCCCGCTTGTAGTCCTCATCCCACTGCATCTTGTCCTCTGCCATGGAAGCATGGCCATGGACGTCTCATTCATTGATCCCTTGCCATCCCTCCCGACTGTCTGACGGGCTGACGTACCGATGACGTTCTGTGTGTACCACTGGACGAAGTCGACGGCCTTTTCGTGGCCTATCAGCTCCAACTCCTGATGCCAAAGGAGACAGATGGGTGTGCTGTCGCATCCCCAATCCGCCGTCAAGCCCACCCTGGCTTCCTTGTGTTCGCCGAAGAGGTCGACCAAGTCCTTCTCGCCCTAAGAGTTGGTGCCACACATACACACACACACATACCCACAGACATCAATGCACAACTGGTGCCTCTGTGTCGTGTGGTATGTCACCCGGGCGAATATGCGCAGGACTGCGGCCTCCCTAACCAGAACAGACAGAAAAAATGCACATCGTCGACAGCAGCACTGCTCTGCACGTCCGAGCGCTAGTGGCTTACTTAGCGCGGAGTTTCTTCTCTTCAAATGTCAGCGTGATGGCCGACTGGTTCTGAAGAAAGACGTGCACACTGCACACACACTCGCCCATCCATAGCCTCGCCTGAGCACCTTTAGCCTCTGCAGCTCTTCTTTGAGCGTAGCGATCTCCTGGTTGGCCGTCTTGGTCTGCATTGCACATCATAGATAGACACGCCATGCGGTGGATTGGCTGAGATGCAGGATGCAAGTCTCACCTCTTTCTCGTGCTCTTGATACTCTCGCTGCAGCTCTTTCTGAGTGGAGAAGAGAATGGAGGAGAAAGGTCATAGCCAGGCGGCCATTATGCCGTCTCGCTCACCTCAAGGATACGCACGGCTTGCGCTGTCTCCCTGCAGCCAGCACAAGCCGTGGTAAGTTGTCCAGCGAGCTCGAGTGCTGTTATTATCTCACCTTGCCTGTCGCCGTTTCTCTTGGAGCATCTCCTGGTTCTTCCTCCCTGTCTCGACCTAAATATGCAGAGGCAGACCCCCTCGTTGCCGGACACACAGAACGAAGCTGTTCTCACGCACCTTGAGTGCCAGTCTATTGAAGAAGAACTCATCGAGTTCTTTCCTGCAGTCCTCGTACCACTCGTAGACACGCGCCCGCTCCTGTGAGAGCTTGGCAAGGTTGCCCTGCATGTTGGGGCTCTCCTTCAGGTTGCGGCACAGACTCTTGTTGCTCTCACGCAGCCGGTGCGCCACCTCCTGTATCTTGGCCTGCGTCTCCTTGAACTGGGCCTTGTTCATCAGCCCCTTCAGCTGCCCCCTCTCCAGAATGAGCTCTTCGTATTGCCGCTCCAGCTCTCGCTGCTCGTTGATGATGCGGGTGATTTCATCGCCCATGAATTCACTCAGCTCGTCCCGCTGGCCCGCCCCGGTCTGCACTGCCTGTGGGCTGCTCGCGCCCAGGGAGTCAACGAACTCCAGCTTCACCAACGACTGCAGATAGACAGACAGACAGTCAGTCAGACAGGAGGGGAGACGGCACGTGGAAGCAAGCCATTAATTCATCAGATGCTCACGTCATCCAGCAGGATCTGAGCCCTGAAGGCTTCGATGGGCGATAGACGACTCATCGTGTTCGAAGAAGGGGGGCGATCCGCTGCGAGCTTAGTAGCTCCTGATGAGCCAAAATCCAAGACGATGAATCAGCTGCGGCGATCCATGCTTTGGTGCGTCCTTGCCTTTGGGGTACAAGCGGCCAGGGCATCAGACGCCGGCATACAATACAGCCTCTTCAGCGATGACAGGGGCTCCAGAACGCCGCGAAGCGGCCCTCCAGTGACGCCTGGGAGCGTCAACTACACCGTCGCCTTCTTCGAGCAGGCAAGCACATGCATCACAACACCACGAGAATGCCGCTGATTCATTCCTTCCGATTTGCTTCTGTTTGTCATCATCTGCAGCGGTTTGATCACTTTCGCGAGGATGACAACCGCACGTTCATGCAGCGATACGTCGTGTGTGACGACTTCTACCAACCTGGTGGTCCCATATTCTTCTACACGGGCAACGAAGGAGGCGTCTTCTCTTTCTGGAACAGCAGCGGGTTTGTCTTCGAGATGGCAGCTTCAAAAGTGCTCAAGATGCACCCGTAAGGCGCTGTCCACGAGCAGAGCAGGCGAAGCAAGAGATCTGCATCCTCGATCTGTGTGTCGATCTATCCATTCGTCCAGGCTGTTGCTGTACGTCGAGCATCGCTACTACGGTGAATCTCTGCCGTTCGGCGACGCATCATTCGACCAAGAGCGCGTGTACGGCCTGACTGTCCAGCAAGCGCTGGCAGACTACGCCTACCTAATCCAGGTGACACGGATGCGCATAATCATGGCCGCCACATCACACGTGTGTGTGTGTCTTAGAATTTCACAGCGAGTCGCTCGCTGCCTTCGTCGGCCCGGGTACTGGCGTTTGGCGGCTCCTATGGCGGGATGCTCGCCTCGTGGATACGATTCGCGTACCCTCACCTCTTCTATGCTGGTACACAGGCGCGCACATGGAAAGACAGACCAACCACTGGCTCATTCATCGTGTGTGGCTCGGCTCGGCTGCAGCATATTCTGCGAGCGGGCCTGTCCGCATGTTTCGCGCGCCAGACAAGAACTACACATTCTATGACCAGGTCATCAAGGTGAGTGTCAGAGGCGTACGCCCGTTGCCAACATGAACGACACTGTGTGTATGGGTGTGGCGTATGTCAGGATTTCGTCGATGCCTCGCCAGATGGTGTGTGCGCGTATCGCATCAAGGAGGCGTTCGACCATCTGCGAAGGATCAGCGGTCGCGACAAGCTCACCAAACCCTTCAGGTACCAAGCCGACGGACAGCGAGAACACATCACACAATCCACATGTGTGCATGGCCACAGAGTCCTTTCCTCCCTCATGCAGGCTCTGCTCAGACGAGGCCACCACAGATGCATCCTGGTCGGCCTTTCTGCGGCAGCTGCAGTTCATGTTAATCATCGGGGTGGTCAACATGGCCATGCTCGACTTCCCCCAGGCCAGCAGCTTCGAGGGCAGCTTCCCCTCCTGGCCCGTCAACCACCTGTGCGACAAAGTGGCCAAGAGGGAGGCCGGCAGCAGGAGGGATGCCGACAAGCTCAAGCCTCTTGTAGACATTGTGGATATCGCGTACAACTACACTGGTGGGTCCGTGAGAAGAGGGAGCGACGTGATTGCGGTGGGATGAGTGGTGTGTGCTGTGCATGCAGGGCGGATGGGTCCGTGTTTGGATGTGTGGCGCGTGCGTCAGTGTGCGGATCGGACGGGGTGCGGCTCAGGCCACGGGTGGGACTACCAAAGCTGCGCACAGGTCGGTCTGTCGGCACAGACTTGCGCATCAATCATATCATGTCCCTTTCTTGTCTATGTGTCTGCGTGAATGCAGGCGTGGCTGCCGGCACACATTCGTCCAGACAATCCGATGCTGCCGCATGACGTGCTCTTCACTGATGAAGGTACACAGACGACAATAGCCGCTGACGTGGGTACGCCGCGCATGCACTCCTTAGCTGTCTGGCAGAGATCTATGCCGACTGTTGGAGCCGGTTCGGCGTCAAGCCGGATCTCGCATCGATCCCAACGTACGGATGGGCAAAACACGACAGAGCGCCCTCCCGGCCTGACCATATGCCCTCTCTGTGTCCTGTGTGTGCACTGCAGCGCATACAGTGTGTTTGAGAAGGGCTCGTCTGAGGGCGGCAGCCGGATACTCTGGACCAACGGAGACCTGGACCCATGGACAGGTCAGCCACACACATTGGCGACATCTGATTCGGCTGCTTGGTCTGTGTATCTGTCAATCAGGTGGTGGGGTGACGCCGGAGACGGCCCGGTCTGAGTCGCTCGACAACCCCACATACCTCATCAGCGGTGCCGCCCATCATCTGGACCTCAGGGGATCCACCACTGAGGACCCACAGAGCGTTATTGATGTATGTGAGCATTGATCCCACCAATCCCACACATGGCAGGTACTTTGAGTGTGTGTTGGCATGGCAGGCCCGGGCGAAGATTGCGTCGATTTTGCACAAGTGGCTTATTGGCGGGAAGAGGGAAGACAAGTCGCCGCAGTCACTGCCAGTGGATGAAGATGTGCAGTTTGCATGGGAAACGGCTTATGTGAGAGACAGGGGAGAGAGAAAGGGCGGGTCTCAGCTGCTGATCGTGTCCTAGGCCTGGACAATGAGGGCGGACGCTTTATATCTCTAAGTCGTTTTCCACACTTTATTGGTATACGCGATGTCAGATAAGCGCCTTAATGAAGTGTCCATCGGTTTGGTGTACATGTAGACATTACGTAAGCCGGCATGGATTAATTCAGTCAGCCATCTATCAAATAACGCATACTGGAGCTGTCAGAGACTCGTCAAATATAAAATGTAGGCAGGGATGTGAGTCGCATTCCCGCACCTACCATTTCCACTGCTATCTCTGCTCGTCGCGGCTCTGCCTTGATCTGTCGCCGAGGCCCAGTAAGAAACTTCTGTTAGGCGCATGTCCTTAGCACGAGAGCGGCTGAGCCGAGACATGAAGAAATAAGACCACGAGATATAAAATGTGGACAGCGATTGCCAATGAGGGCACTCCTGCAACCAGCAGCGACACAGTCAAATGACATGTGCTCCTCTTCTTTCTCTCGTCTGCCTGTTTGCGTGGGTGTTGCCTTACCAGTGAAGACATCACTGCAGTACTGATCCATCAAGGCCCACATGCTCGTGCCCCCACCCCAGCTGCTTGTACAGCTCCATGACCAGCTTCTACGCAGATGAGAAAAGCTCTGCATGCAGGAAAGCAAAACACGCATACACCCAGCATGCCAATGACACATCATCTGCTCTTCTTCTTCCCTTGCCTGATCTCCGTGTGTGTGTGTGTGTGGGTGTGTTGTCTTACCAGTCATCACATCATGGTAGAAAGTATCCAGTCTCGCCCACATTTCCACCTGCCCCATCCCATCTCCGTGGCCCATCCCCAGCTCGCGATACAGCTGGACGCTGAGGGCGCAGAGGGCCTTCCACTGCTGCTTGGCCGCCTCGGGCTGCTCAGAGGCCTCGATGGCCTGTTCCATGTGGCTGCTGGCCGCCGCTGCGATGCTGGCCACTGTTGCCTTGTATGCCTCCCTGGCGCCCTCGCGCGTCGCCTGGGCCGCCTCCCCTTCGCCCTGCTGGCTGCGGGCCGCCTCGCACCCCTTGAGGAGCTCTTCCAGCTCCGTTTCGGCCAGTTTTATGACGGCCTTGGCGGTGGCGGCTGTCGGGGAGGCCAGCAGTATGAAGGAGAAGGCTGCGCCCATGCAGTCGGTGGCGTAGGTCACCGTCTCGTCGACCAGCTCCCGCCCCTCCAGAGTGGCGTCAAGATGGTACGCCGTGGTGAAGGGGGGGCGAAGGGGGTGACGAGACGGGGCTCCCCATCTTGGGTGCTGCCGTCTGGCTGCATGTGGCGCGCGCTCTCGAAGTCGATGACCATGACCTCACCCGTCTCCACATCCGCCACGAGCACATTGCGGTAGTGGAAGTCGTTGTGTGTGATGTGGTGGTGGCGGTGGATGTGGAGAAGGGCGAGGACCATGTTCACCGACACCGCGCCGCGCAGCAGCGGTCCAGGGGGGCGGCGGCTGGGGATGGGGGGACGGCAGAGGTGGTCCACGGTGTCGGCACCCCACACTTGGCCCACTGCATGCATGACACACACAATGACGGCTCGTGCGCGCGTACGTGTGGCACGTTCCTTCCTTTCTTTCCTGTCCGCCCCGCTTTACTTACTTGGGTCCGTCGTGCCCATAACCATGCCCATCAGGTAACAAACCCCCTCCTCAGCCACCAGGTCCGTCATGCGCTTACTCACGGCCGTCCCTCCCTCCCGCGTCTCTCTCAACGCCGCCTTGCCCGCCGCCAGCTCCTCTTGGCTGAGGAACCCCAGCCACTCAGGCACGCACCGCCTCACCCCTGTGTGGCGCCGGCCGTGCAGGAGATCGGGCAGCCGGTGCTGCCGGAACTCGCTGGCGGCAAAGTACAGCAGCCGCAGCGTGTCCGAGTCTCGCTGCACGGCGGCCCGCACCTTCTCCCGACCCACGCCGGCCTGCACAAGGCCGGACACCGACTTGGTGACGACCCAGGTGCCAGCCGGGGTGGCCCCCTCCCCGGTGGCCCGGGCCGTCCACACGTCGACGTCGGCCTTCTGCCCCTGGCGAACCGCTCTGAGGCTACCCGCAAGCTGCAGGCCCGGCTCCAGCGTGGCGAGGAATGGCAGTGGGGTGGTGGTGCTGGTGGTGGTTGCTGCGTCGCTGGCCGGGCTGTCTGGCGCCTTGTCAGTGTGTCCTATGGAGGACAGTGGAGGGGCCTGTGACGGCGAGGACCGGGGAGGGAGGTAGGAGGGTGGGGGGTGGCTGCCCGTGGGGCTGGAGGGGCCGAAGGGGCCGGTGAAGGGGATGTGCAGGCCAGCAGCATCCCTCTCAGGGCTCCCCCGCGGCAAAGGCGGCTTGATCTTGACATTGGGCGGGTCCGCCCTCGCCGTCCGGGGCGACGCAAACCTCTCATCATCAAGCCTCGGCAGCGACGGCGGCGGTTGATGGACATCGACCTCACCTGCCGATGAAAACGACGCAGACGGATGACTTCCACATGTGGACCTGTGCATGTGTCCTGTGCACATGTGGCGTACCGTTTTTAAGAAGTAGTATGTGTGTGAGTTGGCAATCGCGGCGCGGCGATGGCCTTGAAGACCGTCGTTTTGGCGAGCAGCTCCCTCGTTTGTTTGAACTCGGGCACCCATCGACGGTGCGGTGCAGGGCCGTCGACCTGTCAACAATCGCATGATGTGCAATGCATGACACGTGAGATGCAGACTAGTAGTGTGTGGTTGAGGGGGTGAGGAGAGGATACGTACCTGTCCGCCGCACGCTGAGGAAATGGAAAGCCGCAAGACGACCTCGATCCCCTATGGAAATGTTTTGATTTGTCTCCCGTCTCTCTTGTCGAGAATTCTCGCCACGAAGAGGGAAGGACAACAACAACTTCTGAAGGAGCACCCCTGAGCAGGATGAGCGAGAGAGTCACCGTAGGGACCGGCAGCAGTGGTACTTGCTGGCGATGACGACCTGTGTGCACAAACACGCTGCACGGTGCACGGTGCACGGACCAAACTCGTACTCGTGCTGTCCATGACTCTTACGTATACGTGGTCGATGCGCGAGTGTGAAAGTATAAAATCAGGCGATGGTCTGTGAGCAGAGGACCAGAGAACAGGGTGAAGAATGGCTTGCTTCTGCTCTGAGACTCTCTCTTTCGTCGTGCGTACCTGGACAAGTACGCGGCAGACACTGACCACTTGGGATGCGCACTGCAGCGCACACCCATACTCATGCGCGCTTCCAGAAAACACACGCACGTGGCGCCAGCGCTAACACGGGCTTCTCCCACGATTCCACCACATCAGCTTCTTGCTGGTGCAGCTGCTGGTGCTGCTGCTGCTGTACTCCCTGGCCATCCTGCTGTGGCTGTGGCTCCATTGGCGGCGGCTGCTGGTCAGCCACTTGGCCGAAGTGCGGGGGATGAAAGGCGTCCGCATCCACGCGATAGTTGGGGGGCGGGCTGTTGTAGCACGACCGATCGCTGCCCTCCGGCTGCGTGCCGAAGTACGCGACAGGCTTGAAGGCGTCAGGGGACTGACCGGGCAGCTCGACATTCTGGCCCAACCACTGCTTGGTCTGCACAGTGGCGGCCTCATCGGCGATCTCACCCTGCAGAAACGGCTGCTGGAGAAGGGGAAAGGGAAAGAACAGAAGCGGCACTTGTCAGAGCTGTCGTGTATATCGCGTATGTCGTTTATCCAACCTGGTGAGTCGGCGGCTGCTCGTCAGCAGGTGGCTCCTCAGCAGCGTTGTCAGCAGGCGACTGGTCAACGGCATTGGGAGGCGATGGCATCTCCTCCGTCTGCGACTCACCACTACTCTGCAGACACACAGAAAGGAATACAGAGACACAGAGACCGATGAAGATGACAGACACAGAGGTTCTCCCGCGGCCTGCCTCCCCTCCCTGCTCACCTCAACAGCGACGACATTCGTTTGGGTCGAGGCGTGACCCTTGCCCTTGCCCTCGTCCCTACCCATCGCCTCACTCGCAGCCTTGAGGCACTCGTCCCTCAACTTGACCAGCATAGCCATCTCGTGCTCCTTCTGCAACTTGCTCTTCACCTTCTCGACCTCCTCCCGCGAGCAACGTACTGGGCTTCCGCGCCTCGAGACGAGCGATGGCTTCAAGTCACGTAGACGTCTGAAGTGCGCGTGTGCAGGGTCATGTGGGATAGGCCGTGGCGAGGCATGTGAGGCAAACACCAGCCGCGGGGAGGCGAAAATGGAGCAGATACGAGCGAGAGAGGGCAGAAGCTGAGGAAATGGGCGCTGTGCGCATTCTGTCAGGAAAAAAAACTAGTTATATTTGGTTCGTCTCTTGTCTCTCGTCGAGAACATCTCGCCATGACGGGAAGGACAAAGAGGGAAACTCGGAAGGACAACAAAGAGGCTTCGGTGGAGAATCAAGCCCCCAGGCCCACAACCGTTACACGACGTCGTCGTAAACTCTTGCGCTCGGCTATTGCGCGCTATCGGCCGGATGAATGCCCATTGAATCGGCATGATGCGCGACGTCTTCACCCGGAAAAGGTCATGGAACACCCAAGACGACTCGCCCCTTTCTTTGCCCCGCCCGGCTGTCTGTGTCATGAGTCAAAATGGCTTTCTGCACAGGGGGCATTTTGGTGTCGGTTCTGGCTTTTCCTCCTCCTCATCGATCATGTCGTCAGGATTGCGCTGTGGCGGGCCCGCCAGAATGCGAGAATGGCACGCTGCACAGTAGCACTTGCACCCTGATTACATACAGACACACCGAGCACAAACACAATGACTGTGTGTTTTTTCTCCCCTCCCTCCCCCGTGCATAGCGCATCACACACATACCGCATGGCAGAATGATAGCCCGTGGCTCTGACAGGCATGCCATGCAGGCGGCCTCACTCTCCTCCTCCGCCCTCTCCCTCTCGGCCAGCGCAGAGGTGGCCGCGCCCTTGAGCTTCGTCAGTCGGGCCATCTCTGCGTCAATGTTGGTCACCATGCAGCCCACCTCGCGGCGGCGCTGATCTGATGCAGTCGGTCGCCCCGCAGCCGCTCTGCGTCGAGCGATGCGTCCTGGCGCCCCAGCCGAGCGATCTCGGCGTCCTTGCTGATGCTGGAGCCCTGCAGCTCCTCAATTGTCGCCGCCTGCTTGCCGATGGTGGCCCCCTGGTCCCGGGTAGTCTTGGTGAGGACAGAGATCTGCTTCTTCTGGTCCTTCGTCTCACACATGGCAGACTCCTCCCGCCGCGTCAGCTCACTCACGGCCTCGTCCTTGTTTCTGAGCAGCACACGGCGACAAGTAAGTGCTTTGGATCTATGTTGCCAACGTGTGTGCGTGTGTGCCTTATGTCCACCTGAGCTCGTTGAGCTGGTCCTGGGCGGTCGTCTTGAGGATTGCGATCTGTCGACTCGCCTGAAAATGCGACAAGCATCCATGCCATGTGTGTGCTTGATGGACACAAGCAGCCGATCGAAACGAGTGCTGTGGCCTACATCAGCCAGCTCCGCCAAGAGTCGAAGTTCCCCAGCAGCAGAAGACACCATCAGACGGCACTGGATGACACGGATGGCCTCCTCGTCGATCAGCTCGCGGTCGACGTCTTCGATGAGGGGCCGAATGGTGCTCTGCATGCCCCTCAGATGGCGCATGAGCTGGAACTTGACATACTCAGCGACTGCTCATGCAAATGCACACAGATAGAGTTGAGAATGTGTGCTTCATGCTCCCTGTGCGCCTTTGTGGGTGTGTGCGTACTTTTCCGCACACGCGACGCCGAGAGCACTTGGAAGAGCCCGAATATGGGCATGAGCCTGCCACTCAAGCCGACGACCTGCAGGATCTGCGAAAGAAGGCGACAGAAGACCACGTCAAGGAAACACATACATGATGTCTGCCTCATCTGTGTGGTGCCTGCCTGTCTGCCTGCCTGCGTGCCTGTTTGCGTACATGCTCTTTGCCTCTGCCGTGAGCGGTGGCGAGCCGAAGACGATTGTGAAGACATCTGCTAGGGATCTCCAGCTGCCGTTCACAGCACACGTACACCAGCTGCCGTGCCCTTGTGTGTTTGTGTGTCGCCCACACCCACCTCCAATGTATCCCTTTCAGAAAGGGGAATGGAGTTCGGGAATGGGAAGAAGTAGGCTGATTGCCGCAGGCAAACATCCATGTGCATGATCCATCCCGCAACATTGTCCGTCCGCCTGTGCACCTGCGGCGGCCTCGCCCAGTGACTTCACCAGCCACACACGGCCCGACTTGACGAAGTAGCGACTCAGCGTGCAGCCATGATCGATGCCGTAGTGGAGGCTCTTCTCGGGCTCAAGCTGCTTGGTGCACACACGGACAGAGAGGAAGAAAACACATGCAATCCTGTGGCACTCTATCTATGTCGTTGCTCTTTTGTCGCGTGTGTGGATGTACCAGTATGCCTTCGAAGGCCAGCCGGAGCGCATCGGATGGGACGTCCAGCTGCTGGCACACATCGTCCAGCTGCTTACACACATCAGCTACCTGCAAGCACACAGGCAGATCAGCATGCTTGTGCAAGATGCAGTGGCGGAGGTGTGTGGTTACCAATAGGTGGTTACCTTATTTCTCGCTTGAGCGCCCGGCCACCCATCTTCTATTCTATCGCCCAGCCGAACAAACAACTGCATCTCGCCAGAGAACCGATTCAGATCATCGTTCGTTCCGGAGAAAGACGGCGATTGGAGAAGAAGCTCGCGCCCCTAGGGTGCTTCATGAAACCGTGAGAGGTGGGTGGAGGGGAGGGGGGGAGAGAGAAAGGTCGACGCCATGACGACAAGGTAAGGAGAGCTCGATGGGTGCGGTGTGAACGTTGGAGTATGAATCATAGCAGATGCGCTGTGTCTGCTCTGTTTGCATGTCTTGCCTGTCCTGCCTACAGGCGTCGTGGCTTTCACAGAACGCGGAGGCTGCTCGGCCTCCCTGTCCAGGAAGAAGGGGAACAACAGCATCCCTTCACATACATCTTCCGCGGCCGCCGAACGTGCTTCTTGCTCAGCCACAAGGACATACTGCGTCTGAGAAGCACCTGCGAATGGCTCAGACATCTCTTCGGGGCGGGCGAGCTGCGCACCCGCCTCGCCAACTCGCTTGCCCGTGATGGAGATGGCGTCAACAGTCGGCTGCAGCTGGTGCAGTTTGACCAGTCCCTGCCGACGGCTGAGCTGCTCGCGGCCGTGTGGATAGCCGAGCACGGCGGGCGATGGGATGAGGTGCGAGAGGTGCTGCAGCTGGCCAGCCAGTTCGGCTACTGCACTCTGCCCGTCAACATCACGGCAGATGACATCCGCACACACGCCAATAAGACGGTAAGGCACACACACACATATATACGGGCGGGAGAGGACAGAGAGGCCTCGTCCATTCTTCCTTCTCTGTTCTCTCCCCGCCCCTTTCTGTGTGTGTGATGTCGTGTAGGCGTATAGTTCGATAGCTCGTGTGTTGGCGCAGCTGATCATGGTCGGCCGCCACGTCGACTTCGGGAACGGCAGCTGCATGCAGCTGTTCCGCCATGGTGAGGAGGTGCGGGCCGTCCGAGACGAGCCTAACTTCCTGGTGGAGGTCGACCCGCCCCTCCCTGCCGGCCATCTGTACCAGCAGCACCGACTACAGCACGACCCGCCAGTGAGGAGCGGCATCGAACGATGGTGGAGGGACTGGAGCGTTTCCGGTTGCCTGGAGACGTATGCGTCGCTGTCGTCGTTCGTCAAGAGCACGATCATCCTGCATTACGAGGAAACTTGCGACGAGGACCCCGATGGAACCCTCACAGACCTCAAGAGGTGTGTAGGCGGCCTGCAAGAGGGGGGCGTCTTTGATTGTGACGTTGGTTCAGGTACGTTGGTGGCGGCCGCCTGCATGACCTCTTCACCCAGTCACCCCACACGCCAGTGGAGGGATGCACTACGACAGCAACTCGCACCACGATACGCCGCGCACTCCGGCCGCCGTACCAAGAGATTAGTGTGAATACGCGGCGGCAGCTGGTGCTCACCGACAGCAGCCATTCATTCGTCGCGTGGATCACCATTTGGGCGAATGACCCATCGCACGCTGACAACGGTCAGGCTGACACACAAGCAGATCTGCTGGTCAACTGTAGTCTGTGGCCTCTTCCCTTCGCTTCTCTTCAGTGAATATAGTGCTCGACACGACCGAGGCATGTGTGGGTGACGACAGTGGTGATTGCAAGGACTACCTCCCGCTGACCACCGCCCTGGCTCGTGTGGCGCTGGGGCCGGTGGCGCCCTTCGTGTTCGACGGCTAAGTACAAGAGCAGCAGCAACAGCCACCACAACAACCGCCACAGCAGCAGCCGGAGGATGATAGTGAGAATGGTGCGCTCATACACGTGGGTGTGTATGACGGGCCTTTCATGTTTGTGTGTGCTGCAGACGGCGACGGTGGCGATGATAGCGACGATATGGATGACGGCAGCGGCGAAGGAGAGGCAGCGGAGGTACACAGCAGATCACAGCTGCCCTAATACACTGCGGTGTGCCGTGTGTTGTGTTCAGGGGGGGTGATGGAGTCGGTCGGTCGGTCGGTTATGGGGTGCTGCCTGTCATCCTCTCTGTAGCTCGCTCCCCGCTGTAGGTGGGTAGATCAGCTGCCTGCTGCATGGCTGGCTGTGCACTCCATGCCTCTGATGCGTGAGTGGATGGATGCAGGCGTCCTCTCCTTTCCATATTCATGCACCTGTATGTGTCGATACGATATCTATTGGTCTGGTTGCCTGTCTGTTTGGTTGGCTGAGTGGAACGAAGTGTGTGTGTGCGAGTGCATTGTATTGCTCTCGTACCCTCAGCTCGTTTGGATGAGCCATCGAACGCATACACAAACCAGCAAGGTCTCCTTTGCAAAATGGCAGCCCCACCCACGATCACCAACCACACACACCAGACACGAGTGGGGATATCTAGATACGTCGCCTAGAGGGCTGCAGCGAGATCAGGACCGGAGAAAGAAAGCGATCGGGAAAAAGCTCGCAGTGGCAGCTGAAAAGGAGCATAAGAGCTAAGAGCACGCACAAGCGTTCCGTTCGTTCTGGCGTTGATAAGCGTCGTGCAGCCTGTTGCGGCCGGGCCGCTGCTGTAAGACCATCGAAAAAACCAATTGAAAAGGACCGCTTCCGGCGTTCGAATCGCTGGGTGCCCACTGCCCAGCCGATAGCATCGACGATGAAGACCTTGATAGAGACTTCCAGCCACGTGGCCGTGTTGAACTTGCAGACGGAGAAGTATGACAAACTCTGTGACGGAAAAAGGATGGCCACGGTATCGGAGGACGGCGACAGTGTAAGCGGCACCACTGGGCATCGCACACACTGAAAGGGCGGAGGCGACCCTCGTGTTGCTGCCAGAGAGGGGCACAGGATGGCATGTTTTGTTTGTTTGTTGTGTCGTGTCGGTGGTCGGTTGATTGCTGGTCAGATGATGATGCTGGATGAGTCGAGGAGGAGGATAACGATAGTGGACCTCAAGAGCAAGGGCAAGACGCCTCCCAAAGAGATACAAGGTCCGCTCAAAATCAAAGGCTTGCGGGGGAATGCATGGCACTCATTGCACGGCACTCGCCCCGTGTGTACTGTGTGTTGCTGCGTGTGTCATGTGTGCCTCAGTATCGCTGCAGTCAGAGGTCGACCAAGTGTGCCTCTCGGCGGCGGGCAAACACCTGGTCACACACACACACACAGACAGACAGACACACACACACAATGGGGCCCTGTGGTCACCTGTGTGTGTGTGTATGTCTGCAGATAACTCTCGAGAGGAACGCGTCCGTAGTCAACGTGTGGAGGGCGAGCGACGGAACATGGGTCAGTCACCAAGTACACACAGCCAGCTAGGGCGCAGCACACATGCGGTGTCACGACGGTCGTTGTGCTGTTGTGTTGTGTATGGTGTTGTCATGTCAGGAGCGGGAGTTTGCGTTCAGCGGCGTGTGGCCGACAGTCCAATTCACAGGGGGGATGAGTATGCATTCGCAAAGGTACCTACTCACCCACTGTGTCGCTCGTAAGACGATTTGTGGACCATGTTTGCGTGCGTCCGTCATGTGCATGGCATGCAGGATGCCTGTTTGAAGGGTCTGGATGTGTTTGTTGGCTCCACGTTGGCGGGCAGCACCTCACCCACCGCCCACATAAAGATGGAGGAGCAGCCAGTGGCCGCGTTCAAGCCATCCCCACAGGTACCCTTGCCTCCATCCAACCCCCAAGCATCCATGTCATCGTTGTGTGTGTGTGTGTAGGGTGCCGCGTTGGTGGCTGTGGCGTTTCGTTGTGAGGAGGACGACACGTCCGCCTACATCACCATATACGACCTGCTCAAGAAATCCGCTAAGGGCGGGAAAGCCAACGCCGTGGTGAGCCCATCCATGCATCAGGAGCCGCATCCGCTGCCGGGCAAGGCCAAGCTGCACTCTGGGTCTGCCGATGGGCGGTTCGAAATGAGGTGAGAGAGGGAAAGAACAACATGCAGAAAGGGTGTGCATTGCCATCGATGTGCGCAATGCAATGCAGGTGGAACCCCTCAGCGTCAGGGCTGATTGTAAGCTGACCTGTCTGCAAAGAGAGAGAGTGCCGGGCACTGTGTATGTCTGCGTGTGCATGTGCAGGTTGCGGAGTTTGATGGCGCTAAGCCGCATTTGGCGCGATACGTGTCGATCATACAAGTAGGGGAGGGAGGCACACTCGACTACCAGAGAGCAGAGTGGCATTGTTTATCTGTTGTGTCTGTCGTCAGCTGCCGGACACGAGTGGCAGGGACGAGCTAACCATGAGGACCCTGGAGCCCGTTGAACCCGTTGAAGTCGGCATCACCACACAAGGTACCTACCTACATCTCACCCACACACACAGCAGCGTCGATGTGCACATGCATGGCGTTTCAGGTCGGTGCATGGCGACGGCGTGGCAGTGGAGCGGCGCCACTGAAAGGTTCGCGATCAACTTCGTGCAGCAGGACCAAACCAAGAGGGTACACCAACCACACACACGGCGATGACACGCACCACACACATCCCTCCCCCCCCTCTCTCCCTCTGTGCCATTGAGCAGGTAGACGTGTTTGACATGGAGGGCAACAGCAAGCACCAGCTCAAGCTCGAAGAGTAAACACGCACACACAGACACACACACACCAGCCGGACAAACACACGGCACGGCATCTCACGTGTGTGTCAGGTTGCCTGAGACGCGCAACTTGAAGGTCAGGATAGACAAGCTGCAGTTCGACCCCACCGGCAAGTACCTCGCCATCGCTGGCATACAAACCGCCAACAACCCGGGTGAGTTTTGTACAACACGCAAACAATGCCCTACACGCACGAAGACGCCTGTGTGTGTGTGTGTCTTCGATCCATCTGTGTATCAGGTTTCGCTGCGGTGTGGGACGTGTCGACTGAGGCGTTGGGTCCGGCCAAAGTGGTCTTCATTGCACAAGACGCTACCGTAAGGACATGGACCGTGACACCCACACGCCGCCGGCCCATCTTGATGTCTGTTGGCATCGTCAGATTCCGCCGACGGACGTGTTGCAGTGGGTGTCGCTGTCAGGGTCCCCGTATCTCATGACCGGTACGCAAAGCACCACCACCAACACACACACACACACACACACACAGCCCCCTCTCTGCCTCCTTCTCTGCAGGCCAGACGCTGCCCAGCACTGAGACGTCGATCCACCTGTGGAACCCCATGACGGCCAGCAACACGCCGTTCAAGTCCATCCACTTCGGCACCACCCGCGGCAACGGCTGCGTGGACAGCCAGGTGGTGGATGGCAATGGTGGTGTGAGTGTGAGGTCGGAGGCGTTGGTGTCGGTGCAGCTGATGCCCGACTGCTCGCACCAGATCGAGGGAGGGGAGAGGAAGGACTCGAGCGGCAGCGGCACCTCACCCGTCATGGCCGCGGAGACTAGCCAATCCAGCAATAGCCAGAAGGTGAGAAAGTTAGCCCAAAGGGGCGGGGCAGAGGAGAAAGCACACCACGGAAATGTGCGTGTGTGGGTGGATGTGTCAGGGCAATGATAAGGGGCTGCCGGCGAGCGGCGCGCCGAGCAACAAGGACGGGGAGAGCAGCAACGCGAGCACCAACAACGACTCACCGTGCGGCGGACAGGTACGTATCCCCTCCTCACCCCTCAACCACACACTACTAGTCTGCATCTCACGTGTCATGCCTTGCACACCATGCGATTGTTGACAGGTCGGCGGCCGTGGACCGCACCGGCACCGCAGCAGCAGGTGGGTGCCGGAGTTCAAGCAGACGCGGGAGCTGCTCGCCAAGACAACGGTCTTCAAGGCCATCACCGCCACCGGCGCCGCCATTGCCAACTCACACACGTATTACTTCCTAAAAACGGTACGCCACATGTGCACAGCACACATGCACAGGTGGAGATGTGGAAGTCATCCGTGCGTGTCGTTTGCTCAGGGCAAGTTGAAGCCCTCTCCCCAGCCCTCTGCCCCTCCCGCCACCCTCCCTGGCTGCCCGACTGCGAGTGAGGGTCAGCAGCAGCAGCAGCCGCAACAGCAGAGTAGTGCAGTGGTGGTGGAGGCTGCTGCACCCCCGGCACCCCCTGCAGAGGTGGCGGAGGCGCCGCCCTCACCGCCACCCGAGCCCCCTGCCCCACCCGCGACCCTCTTCCCCACCTCCCCACCACCACAGAGCAGCAGCAGCGGAGGCGACAGCGCGACGGGCAGCCCCGCAGCCACATGCACCACCATCCCACCCTCGTCGCCGCCCTCCTCGCCCTCCTCACCCTCATCCTCACCCTCCCCCCCACACACCAGCCACGCCCCAGACAGCCCAGCAGCCACCAGCACCACCACCAGCAGCACCGGCACCCACCCCCCGCTGCTCGCCACCATGGTGCCCGTCCGGCGGCTCGTGGGCGGTGAAGGGACGCGTGTAGACGTCGACGTGTGGGCGGCCCGTGCCACCGGGGAAGGGGCCTTCCCGGCTGGCACGGGCTTCATCACCAAGTCGATGCACCGCGACGTGATGGCCGAGACCAAGGGGGATCGGGAGGAGGTATGCGCCGCCCTCAAGTGCGAGTCCGACGCCCTGCAGCAGCTCAGCACGAGCGCCGGCGAGTTCCGGCAGCACCAGCTCCCCGAGCTGCTGCACGGCCGCCGCCACACCTCGTCGGTGAGGTACCTGCCCCAGTGGTACGGCTTCCTCACACCGGAGGAGCTGGCGGCGGGCAAGGTCGCCGCACGGGAGATGCGGCAGGGAGGCGCCGACGAGGGCGAGCGCATGCCCGACAAGGTGGACGAGGACGGCGTCTGCCTCATCATGTCGAAAGTCGGCAGCGGTAGGCAGACAGCATACACAGCACAAAGAAACACCGAATGCTCATGTCTGTCTGTGTGGTTGTGTGTCTGTGCTGCGTTTGTGTCCTGCAGGGGAGATGAACGCCCCCACACTCGAAGACCTCGCCAGGCCCAAGGAGCCCCGCGACAGTCGCCCCAGCCCCCTACTGCGCGCCACCGTGTCGGTGAACTTGGTTGAAGCCCTTCTCCACATCCACCGCCGCCACCACAAGACGCACAACGACTTCCACGTCAAGAATGTGCTGGTGGCCGATGTGGAGAAGGGCGAGATCACGGTCATCGACCTGGAGGCGTCCAGGAGGATGCAGCCCGACGGCCGCGCTCAGTCCGGCGAGCCCCGTCTCGTCAGCTGCCCTCGCCCCCCCTTCACCACGGCGCACCACCTCGACGCCACTCTGGAGGGGCGGGAGTTTGAGGACGAGACGGTGACCTACGCCACGGACTGCATGAGCGCGGCCTTCTCGCTCCTCCTGCTGGCCGCTCCAAGCGACCGTGCCGCCAACATGCTCTGGATAGATGCCCAGATTCAACTGCAGGGCCTCTGGAATGACGCGAAGCAGGCCGAGCGAGAGGGGGGCGGCGAGCGGCTCGAGGAGTCGCGCCGGGAGCTGCGGGGGCGGTACAGGAAGGAGGTGGACAGCATCGCCAACTTTGCCGCTAACACCTACAAGAGGGCAGAGAAAGAGGTCGAGGGCTGGGGCGAGGAGGCCAAGGAGCAGAACCGGAGCCTGCGCAAGAAAAGCCAGGAGCTTTACAAGCAGCTGGGGAAGGGGCATGCTGACGGGATGGCGCCCGAGGCCATGTGGGAATTATTGGATAGGTACCGCCATGCTGTTCTGACTGGTACGGACGGCAAGACCGACACAAACACACACACTTACACACACACACACACACACAGGCAGATCAGGCAAGGGAGGAAGAAGAGCAGATGATGTGTCATTGGCATGCTGGGTGTATGTGCGTCTCGCTTTCCTGCATGCAGAGCTTTTCCCATGTGCGTAGAGGCGGATTCGGACACTTGCTGGCCCCAGCAGCCTGTGCGTGTCGAGCCTGAGCCAGCATTGCGTGTGAAGGAGGATCGGGGCGTTTTCTGCTATTCCCTGGCTGACCTGAGGGCCGACGAGCTGTGGACAGTGGAGGTGAATGCCGACGCCATGCGTGAGCAGGTGGCCGCACAGGCAGCTGCCTCCTCCATCAGCTCACCCTCACCAACGAGCTGACCAGACAAGCGAGAGAAGACGATGACAATGGCGATGGACGCGACACGGCTCTGCTGCCCACGAGCCGGTCCCATGCACACGCACACGCGGCGGCGGATGGTGACGATCCACAGGTGACGGCCATCATAGCGGAGTTGCAGGCGTTCCTCAGGGTCAGGAAGGAGGACCACCATGGCGACACATTGGTGAGGCGTGGAGCCATCGACCCCCGCCACTCGACGGACCGGCTGCCCACTGTGGCCTCTGAGTCTGAGCTGCCTCAGCAGCCGTCGACCTCTTTCCAGGAGGACGACAAAGCCACCCTTGGCCCTTCACCACCCCCAGCAGACCTTAAGACGGCTGACGCCGCCATCTGTGAGCGACGCGAGTGGAATGTCGGCCAGGCGCCGTTGGCAGGAGCCGGGGTTGAGGACAACGACGCCGTCGCCTCTGTTGAACAAGAACAGGTCGAGGACATGCATGTCACACCGTCGCCGGCAGCGGCAGAAGTGACGCAAGACGAGGATGCCGCAGTGGCGTCACCCGATGCCGCACCACTGGAGGAGCCCAGGAGGAGCTTGAAGAGGATGCGACTGAGAATCTTGACGCACCCGCTGTTGTTCAAAGAGCAGGAGATGGATGAGGTGGAGGGGACGGACAGCGATGCGCAGACGGCAGATGAACCGCCACAGGAGCAAGTGGATCCAGCTGTCGAGTTTGAGGAGGCGGACGGGGCAGCAGGGGCGGACAGAGACGCCCCACAGCATCAGCAGCAACCGTCGCCCCACCCCCCATCGCATCAGCCTGTACAGGTGGAGGCACCGGAGAGGCCACAGCGCGTCAAGAGACCACCGGCGCGCGCTGACGCTGAACTGAAGGATATGAATGGCCACGCCCCACAACCCCGGCCAACGCGACACATTCCTTTGAGCGGAGCGCGGCCACCCTGCTGCTGGTGTGCTGACGGAGGTGGAGGATGTGTCGGGCGGGGTGCAGCCGATCGAGGAAAGCCGAGCTGCCAATGATAGTGTTGTTGTCGAGGCGGGCGAGAGCCCTGCTGCTGAGTCAGAGGCTCAGCCAGAGCGTCCTGGGGGCCGTGCGTGCAACAGGAAGCTCATACGGAATGCGATGCAGAACGTGTGCTTGGCGGGTAAGCGAACCAGAAAAGAAATATGGGCGTCATGTGTGTGTGTCATGATCTCTGTGCAATCCACTGGCCGGGTCGTGTCAGGTGAGCCGAATCGTTCTGTGAGTGAGGAGGTGCTACAGAAGTTTGATGGCGAGCTGAAGCGCTTCGACGCCTTTGTCATAGTCTTCAACCAACGGATCACTGGGGCGACACGACGTCAGGGCACTCTACGCCTACGACGGACAGCACTCATACGCGTAAGAGGCACATACATGCAATGAACCAACCAAACAATGGAGAAGCCATCCATCTGTCTGTGCCTATGTGTGTCTGCCTCCCCCACATACAGGTGTTGGCTCGCTTCAACTGCCCCGCCACTCTGGAGAACGGCATGGCCACCGACCGGCCCTTGAAATACGACACGGCCACGCGCGAGTTCCGAGAGGTCCCCGGCCCGACCCCCGGCCCCCCTCGATGGGCTGCGAGACCTTCTACGACGGCACCGTGGCCATCGACAGACCCACGCCATCACGCCATCCCGCCTTCTCCGGCCACCACAGGCCGTTGGCTCAGGGCCCTTCTCGTCTGGGTAAGTGCCTACGCATGGACGCGACGAGACAGACACGGGCCGACCTGCACATGGATGTCTCCCTGTGTTTGTTGTCTGCAGGTTAGTAAGCCGTGCACTCACTCCCCAGAGAGTGAGTGAGCGGTCTTGAACGCCTTGATGGGGGGCCCGAGTGATGGATGGCGCGGCCAATTAACACACCGGTGAGTCAGTCTGGCCGAGAGAGGGGGAGTGGCCCATGGAGGCAGAGGAGGGCGACAAGGGCAACGGCGCAGAACTCGTGTGGGAGGAGCAAAGGTACGAGACCTACACACACACATACACATGGCATGGCGGAGGTCATATCATCTCTTGTCATGTTCTCATGGCTGTCGTTTGTGTGCAGGTGGTCGTGGGTTCGTGTCAGGCCGCCAGTGGGCCTTAGTCACTCGGTGATCGACGGGCGAGGCCATCCGGCAGACCCGTTGGTCACTCGGCAATCGACGGGCGAGGCCATCCGGCAGACCCACGCCATCCACGGCGGCCACTACTGGGGCTATCGCGTCTACTTCATCGCCCAGTTCTGGGCCATCCCGCGGCCGCTCTTCCCGCCGCTGTACCCCACCCCCACTCAGTCCATCGTCACATCCACATCGGCAGCACCACCACACTCCCAACCATCACAGTCGTCCCCAGAGTCACCAGAGGGTGTCACCCTCCCCGCGACCGCCCCCCTCATCCTCTCCCACCAGTTGACCGAAACAATCGGTTGGTGACGTCGTCACGGGCCATGGCGGTGCGGCAGGCGGAGGTGGAGGTGGGAGGGGCAGGAGAGCGTCGCCTGAGATGATGTGTGTGCAGGTGTGGGTGGATGGATGGATGGATGACAGACGAATTCACTCTCATGTGGTGACAATCATGACCCATGCATGGTTCGTGAGAGGACGACTAGCGGACCACTGTCCGTCGTAGGCGTTGAGTGCCCTGACGTCCTTTTTCTCGGCCCTCACCTCACCCACCCAGCGATCCAGCTGCGCATAGCTTGTCACGTGTGTCCTAAGGGGCGTGTGTGGTGGCGGGGGGGAGTTTTGATTGGGGGGTCCTGCCTGTGCTGTCGGTCTCCCTATCTCTACCTAGCCCTTGTCTGCCTCTCTCTCTGACCTCTCTCGCCTTTGCGGAAAAAGGAAAGGAAGCGAATAAAGGCCCACCAGAAGGCCGGCCGCATTCAAGAACCCAAGAGGGAGGGAGCAAGTCAAGCCAGCATTGCACACGCCTACACACTGCCTGCCTGCGTGGTGAGTGAGGGAATACAGCACGGCATAGGACGGGAACATCTGTCTGTCTGTGTGTGTGATGTGTCTATGAATCCGTTCAGGTCATGTGTGATCCGTCACTTCTACGACACCCTGTGGCTCGGCCGCGACGTGCAGCTGGGCTGTGGCTGCTGGCGGTGGTCATCCGGGGCCTGATGATGCTCTTCTTGGACTCCGACCTTCGCACAGCGATGGCAAGGAGCCACGAGACCTTTGAGGGGCGGCTTGTGTGGATCACAGGTGAGGAACGAACCGCTACGAGAGAATGACACCTCCCCTATGGCTCAATGTGTGCTGTTTTCATTGATCCACTCAGGCGCGTCGACCGACATTGGTCGGGCTATGGCAACACTGCTGGCCTCAATGTCAGCGCCCTGAAGGAGCTGCGGAGCCACCTGCGACCCTGCAGCCGCATGGGGCAGCACAGGAGGTCACCCTGACCGGCAAGACCCCGCCGTCACGAGCCGTCAACCGCCAGTCTCTTCGCCACACGGCAACAGCCGCCACACAGCCCGGCGCACCAATCCGACCTCGGGCGCACCACAGAGAGGTGAGTGGGGGGTGGGGAAGGCAGGAGACCGACCAACACGCACTGTCCGAGAGGGTGCATGGTGGATGGCTGCTTCCCTCGGTGATGTGTGGTCACATCAGGTGGGCGTCCACATAATATTGAGCTCTACAGCCGTGACGCAGACCGGCAACCAAACCACTTCACCTAGCTGACCTGGTACGCAGCCAGTACACCCACTCGCCCACAGCCCACACCACGGAGGCCTTCGTGTCCGCATCGGTCTCTGTCGCTTCTATCTCTGCTTGCTCACAGGCATGACGCCATTTCTCCACTGTTACTCTGCTGCTGATATACCCAACCGACCCTCTACCTTCGACACCCACACACCAGGTGCGGTGGGCACACGAGCGACCCCCCCTCCCTGCCCATGTCCTGGCCGCGACTGCCAGTCATACACACTCCCTCCCTCCCTCTCTCCCTGGTCGGGTCGTTGGTGGACTGACTGCATTGCATACAGCCGCCATTCATTCGTCGATTGGCGTACGAATGCACAGATGAGTGACATCAGCCGACCGACCGACTGAGCAAAGGCAGAAAGGCAGCTAGGACAGCGCGACTGACTGAATGAATGGATGAACGGACGATTTGATACACACATACCCACCAGCCCTCTTCTGCTCCTCGTCTCTTTCTTTCTACTTGCTCGCCTGGTCCATTCATTCTTTGATGGGTGGGTGGCTGGATGGGTGGCGTCAGTCAAGGGGCGGCTGTCTGTGGTGTGCGGCTTGGATAATACTTGCCATGTGTGTGATGTCCGTGTGCTGTGCGTTCATGTTGACTTACTACTTGTGTACTACTGACTGCATATTTTTGGTCCACCATTCCTTTGCAGACTCCCCTCGTCGATCCCGCGGTTTTGGCAGGTCTAGTCAGTCCACAGGCGTGCAGCTGCACGCCCCGCGGTTTTGGTTATCGGCGCCCAAACTGCTCACAGACACACATGTGAACGCGTCGATACGTACGTACGCACGGCTCCCAGATGCACGCCTTGGTTGTCAAGGGCAGCGCAGCCATCATTTCATACACACAGACAGACGGACAGACAGACAGACAGACCCCCAACACACACACACACACAGATAGGCATATACACACGTAAGAGAGGAAGCCATCGTGAGGCCGCACCCCATACCCCTGTGTGACCATGTGTAGTTTCCCTTCGTGTGTCTGCTCACGCCAATGTGTCTGCCGTGCCGTGCAGACAGATCCCTAGTCGGTGAGCGATTGACCACAGCAGAAGAGTCCATCCGCACAAGTGCATTGAGGGATGGATGACGTTCATTGTTCGATCGGTTGCTGTGCTTGTCGTGCAGGAGTGGACTTGCTGTCTGATTCAGTCGCTTTTCACCTCACCATCATCCCTCCAACATCGTCCACCGCCCCACCTTTCGCCCTAAGCACCATCAAGACCACCACCGACAGCAAGGACACTGCTGGTCCGGCAATCGAGGACCAACCGACTGCCGATCTGGTGGAGGCCCTTAGTGCTGTGGCAATGGTGGCCGAGAAGGACTTGAGGTCGGGGGCAGAGGAGAAGGACGATGCACTACGGACGCCTCGTGGGCCTTATTGCCACCCGCAACTCACTTCCCTGGTAGGCCAGCGACACGACACCCAAACCCAAAGACAGCGAAGCGGCATACAGGCAGGTGTGTGCGTGGTGCCTTCTCTTCATGCAGGCAATCTTCTCCGCCACTCTCGTGTACAGGAGCGATACCGACCCTCACTGGCCCCCGCCTACTTGGTCGAAACACCAGGTGTGCAGCCCACACGAACGGACGATGATCATGGCTGACAGATTCATGTCCATGATCAGGCCATCCAGCCCACCAGCCTTGGGGGAGCAGGCCTGTTCGGATAGACGGCTGGCTGGCAAGCAACCCATATATTCTCTCTCTCTCTCTCTCCCCTGCTGTCATGCGGTGTGGCTGGGCGAGGTGTGCGTAATCGAATGTTGTGTACGCCGTCCGCACTTGTTTTTTTCCCGTCGCCTTGTGCAGTGATGGATGGATGGATGGACTTTTGTAGTGTGTTTCTCTACTGTCTGTATTGTATGTGTGTAAGCGGCTTGTCCCCTCTCTCTCTAGTCTCTCTAGCCTGTCATTTCCCAGGGAATGTGCTACTCAGCACTGCCCCCTCTGCTTGAATGCCGCGTAGCACACTGACCTTTTCCCCTCTCTCTTCTTCTCTCCTTCTCTCTGATCACATCGTCTGCCCTTCCTGCCTACCTGCCTACCTGCCTGTCAACTCATTCTATTGTCGCGTTTGCCTGCCTGCCTGCCTGTCTGCCTGTCTGCTCCCATCGGATGTGTGAGTGTCGTTTTGTATCGTCTGGCTGGTGCGGTCACTCTGCTCACAAACGGGTCGGGAACTCAACGCACGTACCCACGTGTACAGACAGACACACACATACGCACGGAGGGGCTGCCGTCAGGGATTGGTTGTCGTGGGGTGGTGTCTTCTTTTTCGCCTGTCTGTCTGTTTTCGGCGTACGTGAGTGAAATGGGAATGTTGTGGACGTACCCAATGCCTTGGCCACCAGCACCTCACGCACGACAGACATGCAGCCCACGCGAGACAACAGAGAGAGAGAGATGCACGTTTACACACACACACACCTGCCAGTCCCAGCCTAGCCTTGCGCTAGCCTTATCCTCCGTACCTACGCCAACGAATCTATCCGATGCAGCGTCCTTTTGGGCGTCTGGCTGTGCGTGTCTGGGTATCTATCGTGTGCCTGCGAAGCTTCGCCACCCACCACTGCAAGGAGCCGTTTGTGTGATGGCTCGTTGCAGTTGTGGAAGGATGGATGGACACACACTTTCTGGTACATATATATAGTTGGATGACAGACAGGTGGCTGTCGGAATGGATGAGCATCATGCCTGCCTGCCTGCCTGCCTGCTGACTGTGATGCAGCCCGCGTGTTGTGGGGGCAAGGGTTTTTGCTGGGTGTTTGTCCATAGAAGCGTCCGCCGTCGACAGCAAACTGAGCGGTTATGACAAATCGCCACCTTTTTGAGCATGTCGCAAGACAATACCCGTTCTCGAAAATCCGATCTGCCTATGTTTTCGGGCTCCCTCTGGGGCACTTAACAGGCGAAAGACCTGGCCGATTGGCCTTCTCGTTCTTGCGCTAGAAGCGATTTTGTGCCGGCAGACATACAGGGCTTCACGTAGACCTAGGGAAAACTCCACACAGAACACGTTTCTCGAAAATCCGATCTGCCTATGTTGTGGGGAATTGAATGGCGTCTTCGCTCCACTCAAAACCTGGCCGATTGGCCTTCTCGTTCTTGCGCTAGAAGCGATTTTCGACATCGAAGTCGAGCGCATGTATACATATGCACGTGCGTATGCAGCGATGATGGAAATGAGACGCAGTCAAGGCGGGGGGTGCCCCCAGCAACGCATGCATGCGTTTACAATTGAGTGCAGAGAATGAGAAGGAATGACAGTGTTGTCGGCACGTTTCTAAGGCATTAGTTGTTGTTGTCGGCACGTTTGGATGGGAGGCTGCCTTCCCGCGCGGCCACGATGACAAAGCGCGGAGCAAATCAGAAGGTAAGAGAGAAGCAGCGATGGCAAAAGCACACCATCCATTTACTCATCTGTGTTTCTGCCTCTCACTCAGGCGCTGAGTCGGCCACCAAGCGACAGAAAATCAAGGACGAGCAGCAGGGTCAGCAATGATTGACAGTCATTGATTCAGACTCCAACTGTTCCATTGCTCAGATGATGAGGACCGTCACTCGGAGCCTTCTGTGGACAACCGTGACGGCGAGTTCATGGACGACCACAACGACGCCGAGATGGACGCACTCGACGAACCTAACCAGCACGCCCAGCACGATTATGATACCGAGGAGGGCGACGGCCGCCCGCAGGCACGGCGAGGGAGGGGCAGCCTTTCGCCACTTGATGCCAGCCCTCTGGCTGACGACGAGGACGAGCCGCTCATCGAGGAAGAGGAAGTGCCCGGTGAGATGGATGAACGGATGAGGTTGCTCCGCCTGACGCCAACAAGCTGCCCAAGTGTCCTCCAGGCGAGCCGCATCACACCCGCCGTGTGAAGGCCATCGCACATCGCACGCAGGAGCTCGACTATGATTTCAAGACCTGTAGCAGACTTGCGCGCAACCGGCAGGGCCGCACCCATCCATCTGACGAGGAGCAGGTACCCACAGGCAGATCACGCTCACGTCCATGGGGTTGTCCTTCACTTACTTCAGGCTGCGTGTGATTGTGTCTCGTCCTCTCTCCTGAGCGAGCTGCTCTGCCTGTTCAACGTCAACCTGGAGGAGGGGCAGTCCAGCAAAGCAGCACTGCAACAGTCCTCCGGGAGTGGATAGACAACAACAGGGCCGAGATGAGCTGAGGTCAGTCGATAAGACGAATGCTCATCGCAGGTCAGGCACACGTCAAGACAACCTTCCCGAATGGTCGACTGCCAACCTTCCAACTAACCTCGACCTGGCCCGCATCGTCAAGATCAACCTGACGCCAGACGCCCACCCACCCACGCGCACACCCCCACACACGACAGCACGGACGAGACACGGACGCAGACGGAGAGACGTCTACAGGCACGCCGAGGCATGGTGAATGGACATGAGCCGCTCATCAAGCAGAACGACCTCAACAGGGGTGTTCGTCCCTCCCTCTCCCTGAGAGAGGACGAGACACATCAGAGGGAGGGACTCCGAGGGAGAGACACATCCATCCATCAATGCATCCATCCATCCATCCATTTGTGTGTGTCTGTCACCATCGATGATTTTGTCGCTTTGACACTTCTCCCCTTTCTGTCATTCCTTTCCGGTCTTCGTACATGTCGGACTTTGCACTGGCAAACAATCGTGATTTCACGTGAATGGTGGTCATTCTGCATGTCTGGATGGACGTTTACGTGCCCTCTACCATCCCTCAAAGTGCCTCTGCAAATTTCGCGAAATTAATGTCCATAAAGTGACGAAAAAACTGACCCGCTCAGGTTGCTGTGTCGATCGAGGCCCATGCCTGCCCGTTGACTGTGATGCAGCGTGTTGTGGGTGTTTGTCCGTGCAAGTGTCCGCCGTCAGGGGGCGCGTCATGCACCATCCTTGGTGCAGGCGTGAACTCTGACGGACGGGCCTTTGCGGCTGGCTGGTGGACTGGCCTCTCAGGGGCGCGTGTGTGGCCGATATACAGCCTTTAAGCTGTGGTCGCCGCGTGAACCTGGGATGTGCCACCCACCCCGGTCAGGACACACTGACAGCCTTTGCTCGGGGTCGAATGAAAGAGTGTGTCTGGGTGTGTGGTGTGAAGGTTTGTCTGTCTGGCTTGGTGGATGGATGGTGGATGCATGGATGGATGGATCGACAGGGTGAATGGATCGATACTAGAGACCATGCATTCACGCTGCGTCAGTCAGCAGTCAGCCTGCGTCAGTCACTCAGTAGTCAGTCAGTCAGTCACTTAGCCTATGAACCACGGCAGTTCGAACCGCGGTGCGGTCTGCTCGGCAGGTGCGGTCTGCTCGGCGGGCGGCTGGCTTGCGGGTTGCTCTTGGGCGGGGGGCTGGTCGGCGGCGGGGGCACTTGACGACGACGCAGCGGCTGGAGCGGGTGCCGACCAGTCCTCCGAGCCTTAACGCGCACACACGCAAATCAAAATGCATGCACGGGATGCACGCACACACGATGATTCCTTGTGTGCGTCCTTACTCATGACCCCCTTCGCGTAGATTTTGAACGCCCTGAGCAGTTCATTCATCTTAGTCCAGGTGGCGTGCGGCTGGCGGCCTTGGCGCTTCTCTTCGCCCTGAAAAAGCTGCAGAGCGAACTTGAGCATCTGCACAACATACAAACACACATAACATGCAAAGGGCTGTCTGACTGTCTGACTGGGTGTCAGACCTCGTTTATCAGCTCGTTTTCGCTCTCCTCTCTTGTTCCGTGTCGTCTGCCAGCCCTTCTTCTCGCCTGAACACACACGCAGAGAATAAGGAATAGACTCTGCATGCGTTTGTGCATCCGTGCTGACTTACGCCAGTGAGCGGCGACTCGCCCTTGCTGTCCAGCGCGTTAGCGGCCTCGACGGCCTTGCACTTGGCCGCTGCAAGAAGAATGCACGGATGAGTGATAGTGATGGTGTCAACGTCAATCCTGATTACCCGCCAGGTTGGCTGCATTCACACACGCATTCAAACAGCCACCAACACATGTGTCAGTCACTGTGTGTGTGTGTGTGTGTGTGTGTCATGTGTGCTGCTCACCACTCCGCGGATCGGTCTCGCCCTCCTCATCGGAGTTCACCACCTGAACGGCCTGAGTGCCCCGCATCATCATGACTGCCACCTCTCTCAAGTGATCGGCCACGGTGATCATCTTGCCTATAAGACATCCATCGATTCATCTGCTGCTTCTGCTGTCGGCACGCCTTCAGTGTTTACCCTTGGGCGGGAAGATGAAGAAGGGGTCGCCACCCCAAAAGCCGCCGCCGCCCATGAGATCCGACGCAGCTGCGTCTGCATGCCCTCCGACACTGAGCGGGCGCTGCACACATCACACGAAAACATGAATGTCGCATCCATCGAGGCCCTGTGGTGTCGTCTCTGCGTGCCTCGGTTTTCGACGAGTTTTGCAGGCCGAGTATAAATTTGACGTACATATGGAACGCGTTCTGACACAGACATGTTTCATGCAGAATGTCAGTCATGCGATGGCGTACCAGTGTCATCGGAGTGAAGCGGCCGTCCCCTTTGCTGCTGGTGTTGGTGGTGGCCATTGTGGTTGTGGTTGTGGTTGTGGATGCTGACTCGTCACTTGCCGCACCCTCTGACACATCAGACTGAGAAAACACACAACAAACACATTTCATTCATTCATTCATTCATTCATGTGTGTCGTGTGTGAGAGGTTCGTTTCATCGACTTACTCGTTGGCCATTGTCGTCTTCGTCACGTGTCTCTTGTTTGTCGCCGCCCGCCACATCCTCAAGCTGACATCAATCACAAAGACATCCGTCACACATAGACTTTGGTTTGTGTGTCTCCCTGCCTGTCTGTGTGTGGTGCACACCTGGCTGATGCCGTTGCCTATGATGCCGTTGTTCTTGGTCGACGTGCCATCGTCTTCACCATCGCCCACTGCTGTCGTTGGCATGAATCCGTCGGTGGCCAACAGAGAGCCGGCCACAGGGTCACTGGCACTCACACTCGCGGCGGGTGTGTCGATCTGCCGGAACGACATTGGGCGCTGGACGGTGTACGGCGAGGGGCTGTACTGGGTGGGGCCGAGGTTGAGGTTGAGTTGGTTCTGCCCGGGAGCTGGTTGCGTCATGACGCCACTCGGAGGCATCATGCCCATGCTCGAGGCAGAGAGGGCGGGTGGGACGGCGGGGACGAAGAGAGGGGCTCCGTGCATGCTCCAGACATTGCCGCTTCGCTGCCTGAGTCGTGCCTGCTCGGCAATCGCGTCCTCCATCCCTTCGACCTGTCGACGGACCTCTTGGCGCACCTGATTCACATGATCAGATAGAGACACAGAGACAAACATGATTCACATGTGAGTGAGAGTGAGAGTGAGAGTGTGTGTGTGTGAGTGTGTGTGTCTGTGGTGTCACTGACCTCCTCTCCTTCAGTGGCCGACGCAAACTCCCTGCACCCACATACAAACACGCACACAGACAGACAGACACACACACATATGGAATGGAGACATACACTCCTTGTGTGCGTGTGTCTGTCTGTCTGTCTGTGTGCGTCTGGCTGACCCTCTGTCGATGTTGGAGGGAGGCTGCTGGCACGACACACACCAAGGACCGGCCAGCAACGCCAACACACACAGCAGAGCGAGCGTCATCGTGCAGGCGCCCATCGTCGATTGATTGATCGTCAGCCCGTCACTCAGCCAGGCAGTCAGCCGATGAACGATGAAACAGATTTGTTTGTTTGTTTGTTTCTTTGTTTGCTAGTCGATGCAAATCAAGATCGTGTACAGACGATTACGTATGTACAGGCGATATAGACGTTATGCGTACACGTGCCCCACGTACATGATCGATGCACAAGTCACTCAATCAGTCACTCGCGTTTGCAGCTGCTGTGGTGTCCCTTGACACGCCGGGCGAGCAGACGGCAGCGGTCTTCAGCCACGCGATCGGCCATGCACTCGTCAAGGTCACAGAGCTCACTCAATACGAAAGCAGCCCTTCCGCCTGCTTAATCGATCTCGGCACACACCCACACCGCAATACGCGCACAGCCCGCCAGCGGGAGAGATGACGTTCGACGAGTACGCCGCGTCACACACAGGGCACCTCGTCATGTCTTCAGGCAGCTCTAGTCTCAGCGTCAGGCTGCATAGGGCCACTCGCGCACCGCATGAGTGACACCGCCATACCAGGGCGGACAGGAACCCGTTGCAGCGAGGGGCCGGGCACACGCCGGAGAGGAATGACTCATTGCCGCTCCGCTGTGATGCGACAACCCCTGTCAGCCACTCGATGCGGCTCCTGACAACATGCATACCCACCTCTCGCCATCATGTCTGTGCGTGCAGCTTATGTGCGTGTTCACCGTTCATCTGGCGACAGGTATCGAGCGTACTCCTTGCCCAGGAGGATGGCGGCGATTTTGTCAGCAGCAGCCATGTCGCCCTGTCGGAATGTCATGACGACATCCTGTTTGCCGAAGGCAGCCGCATGCCGACTCGCCACGGGCACGCGGAGCAGAGCCACCCACAACGCTGCTACCTTCTCGGTGGGCTCGTCCATCGCACTCCACACCTGCACACACCCAGACAGACAGGCATTGTGGATGGATGGGTGAATGTGTGAATGTCGCTGTGTGTATTCACCAGCTCAGCCACTCGGGGCCCTCCTGCTCCTCCTGCTGGGCGTCGCCCTGGTCGAAAAGGGGAAAGGGAGCGCTGGAGCTGATGGCATAAGAGATGCCGAGGACGGCAGCGTTGGTCCATTGGATGGTCGACGGCTCTGAACGACACACACCACACAAGGAGATGAATCCACGAGCAGAGATGCGTGTCTGTCTTCTTACCTTGGTGAACGACGGCGCGGCGAGTGTGGTCACCAAGACGGCCAAAAATGCCCAGTCGAGCGCCCTCTTCTCCTTCTTGACGGGCTTGCGAGCCCACAATGAAGGGATGATGAACAGCCACCAGTTCTAGACCCCCAAAAACTGCAGCGAGAGGTCCACCTCCACCTCACCCACGCCAGGCACGTTGTTGTACACCAGCATCCCACTGATGACCGCCGCGAGTGCTGACTTCCCCAGAAACACGGCCTTGAGCCAGCCCCTGACGTACAAGGCCTTCTCGGCCTCGAGGATATTCTACTTCTTGGTGATGGTCTGGTCTAGCTCGACTATGGCTGCCTGCACCTCGGCCATCTGCGGCTTGGCCTTGAGGGTCTCCATCTCGGCGTTGAGGGTCTCTAGCTCCTGCTCCAGGCCCAGCACCTTGAGTGGGTTCATCAGCTGATCCACATCGATGTTGAACCGGGCACCCAGCTCCGCGTTGACGCGCTCCACAATGCGCGGATCCACCGTATCGCTCGCCTGCGGCTGTGGCTGCTGCTTCACATTAGGCGATGACGGTCCGGAGAACAGGGGCCGAGCAGAGCGATAGGGAGTCTTGTGCGCGAGGTGGTCCGCAGATCTGACGCTCGCCAATGAAGATCCGACAAAGCCGAGAGAAGATGTAGTGGGAGCCGCCCTTCGCGATGCTAATGATGATGCCTTGAGGCTTGTGACGACTCCCAGGACGCCACCGACAGCTTGAGTGAGCAAGATAAGGGAAAGACGGACTATCAATTGAGAGAGAGTCCTCTGCATCATCACCATCGCTATACAGGCATGAACGGCTCCTCTTCCTCGCCCGCTCAACGCGAGCTAAGCTTGCAGTCGTTCCGTTTACATACCGTCCCCTTTCCCCATCATTTTTGTTGTTTCGAGCATCTCCGACGATGCAGCGAGCGAAAACGTCCAAATGCAAGCAGCAGCGCCAGTCCAGCAGCTCTGCGGCTGCTGCTGGCATGGAGTGCTACTTCTGCAAGAATAAGGCCACCATGGTACGTTCAAACCAACCGCAGTACCGGCCAGGCTCCTCTCCGTATCCATTGATCTGCTCACGCAGGCTTGCCAGATGGCGGTGAGTCGCTGGAGGTGGTGATGGTGTATCGACTGCGTCGGTATGTGACGTCTGCTCCAAGAGGGTGACACAGCCGAAGGTGTCGACAAGAGAGAGAGAGGAGGCGAATAGGGGAAAGAGGGGCACATGGTGTTGCCTTGTGTCGATTTCAGCGTTGCGGGAGCTGCTACCGGCGTGTGTACTGCTCCAAGGTCAGCAGTGGAACACACATGGACGACAGAAATGAATGGAGGGGGACCTGTGGGTTGTCTTCCTTCTTGTGTCCATGCAGGAGTGTCAGCTGGTCGATTGGCGTGACAGAGGCCACAAGGAGGCGTGCAAGACACTCGCTGCTGCACACAAACAGACCGCCCCCACCAACACCAACACTGCCCGCTCTGCTGCCCTGCCGTCACCGTGGGCGAGCATGAAATGCGACTTCTGCTCGGGCCCAGCCGTCACGGTAGACAGTATTGCCTGCGTAAATGCGCTCACAGGCTTCGATGCATTTTGCCCTGCAGGGCCATTAGAAGCTGAGGCGGCAAGCCGACGGCCAAGAAAAGTATCTACACATCAAGGCGTGCTCGAATGAGGTACAAAGAGAGACTTGCTCATCATGCCGGCTTCGTGTTCGACGACATTTCCCTCTACGGCATGGTACACACCGAGAGAGAGAAGCCAGGAAAACCAACCGACGTGTGCGTGCTGTCTGTCTGTCTTGTGTGTCTGTAGGATGTGCTGGAGTATGACGTGCTCATGAAGGAGAAGAAGGTGCCGACGGAAGATTGGGGTGCATTCATCCCCGGCGGGCTGCCCGTGTTCGTCATTCTCCTAGCCGTCTGTGGCACGTGGCAAAGGCCATAAAACTTTGGCCATGAAGCCACACGAGGGCTGCACGTGGGAGCACCCACACAGCGACTGACGGACTGACAGAAAGAATGGATGGATGGATGGATGAGGAGAGAGACGTTGCTGCCTGCCCGTCTGGCCCTCCTTTTTTCCACACATGTTCAGCAAAGACCGGCCGGCAGACAATGCTCGTGTGGTGGGCAGACGTGTCGAGAGACGCATACTTGCGTGCGCGTGTGCGCGTCCATCCGTGAGATGACAATCGCAGCTGGTGCACTGATCGGAAATACCGTCCGAAGTGTCCATCCATTCATCCAGATGTATATTAGCGATCTTCATTCATTCACAACGGACACACACGCACACACACGCGCGCGCTCTCTGGGCATGTCAGAGGCGGCGGCGATTTTCGCATCCGATCGAGGGCTAGCTATATTTGGGGATGTTCCTTTGGGGATGTTCCTTAAGTGTTTAGGTATATACATGTGCGACGCCGTCCACCCACGCCCCCACACAGCCATGCAAGTCTGACGAAGCTATACACATGCACCCACCCACTGGGATTTGTTGTCCATTTGTGGATGCGTCGGGAAGGGTCTTTCCGTCTCACGCGGCATCGGTTGACGCATCCTCGAGCTGATTGGGTCGCCAGCACGAGAAGACGTCAACCAATGCATCACGAAACGGGAAGGCGCCAGCCAGCAACACACCCCATAACACGACGCTTACCGCAGGCAGAGGCCGTATGAATGCACAGGTAGGCAAAACAGATCACCACTGACCGGGCGTTCATCCACAGTCAGTCGTCAGGCAGGCGCACACCAAGCCACACAACGTACCACAAAAACCCGCCAGCCGACACCCACAGTGGGACAGACAGACCAAGAGGGGGGTCGTGTTGCTTGTGCGCCGCCTAGGTGGCAAAGCACACTTTGCTCTCACAACCAGACAAGACGGCCAGACGGACAGGCGACAAGGCAGACAGACAGGCAGACAGACAGACATGACACGACATGCCCAGCCCCCTTTAAGCTACGGACCGTCCAGGCTCCCCCCTCCCTCCCATCCCATCCTTCCTAGTTGATGCCCAGCGATACGAAGCAGCCCGACTCGTCGATGTAGCCTAGCTGCCCCCACTGGAACTGGCAGTCGGTGTCGCTCAAGTGGCTGTTGAAGCCCTTGACGACTCCGCTAATCCGGTATGCGGCCACCTCGTCCAGGATCGCCCGATGCACCACCTCGGGCACGCCGAGACGCCTGTGAGGATGCTGTCCTTCTCCGTGGATGGCGAAGCACTGCAGTGCCGGCACGCGCACCGTCAGCTTGCCTTGTCCATCCCCCGTCACACCCTTAGCCCCCGTCACACCCCTCAGACGATCCCACCACCGAGCCAGCACCCCCCCCGGCCGTCCGCCCTCGCCCCTCTCGGTCTTGCCCACCACCTCCCGGTTGCTCGCCGTCCTGGTGGCCGCCTGCTTGACGAAATGGTCGACGGCGGCTCTCACACGGCGCTTGATCCGCGGATCAAGCCAGTCGCCGATGAGGTCGTCGTCGATGAGGTCGTCGTCGATGAGGTCGTCGTCGCGGTACTCGCCGATGACCGCACGGGCAGCCGACGGGTCGTGGAGAAATGCGCCGATCTTCCAGGCGATGGATGTGGCCTCGTACGGACCGAATGTGAGGTCGCGGGGGTCGTGGTGGGGTGACTCGCCGTGGTGCTTGTAGGTCAGGCGATACGTCTCGCCGTCCACCGGCTGATCCGTGCCGTCATCGTGGTGCGGCACCATGGGCAGCAGGCAGCCGATGCGGGCGGCGATGTCGCGCTGCGGCTTGAGGGCGGCATTGATGGCACGCTCCACGACTTGCCGCAGCTTGTTAAGCATCACCGCAGACTCCTGCAGTATCCGGGCGTGCTTCAGCAAGTCATCTATTTGCTGGCGATTCATGAAGCAGAGGCGAGGCAAATCGCGGGGCAGCTGGATGCCCCAGATCTCAGAGATGGCGGCGGATTGTTTTTTGACGCTCTCAAAGATGTCGGCGTGTTGTCTGTCGGCGTCGGGAGGCGTCTGAGGGAAGAATACGAGCGCGAGGATGAGGGCAAGGGCGTGGAAGAAGGGGCTCAGGAATATGTCCATCAGCGACTCGACCCCAGAACCACCCCGCTCCGAGTACACATCTGGAAGGGAGAAGCACACACACGGAGACGAGAGGAGTCGGGACTCTGCCATTGCATTGCTGTGCTTGTATCGCTTCTTACAGAGGAGTATGGCGATGATCAGTCTTGCATGTGCGACCACCACGCCAGCGACATTGAGAAGGGGGAAGCTGGCATGACGACGAACACCGCGGACGGCACACGCGAGGAGGCGTATGACGTCAAGAAGACCGAGAACTACCAAAGCCTCAACGCCAAAAGTTGTGTCCATCTCCATGTGCGTGTGGGTGTCGCTATGGGAGGGACGAGTAGTCGAGCTGTCCTACACCACGGGCACCACACCACAGCGTAGCCGAGCGTAGGCCGTCACACGCCGGTGATGTGGAACAGTCTGCACACACACACACACACACACACGCAGAGCTGCAGTGGTGTGCAGTCGTATCCTCCCTCTCTGCCGGGCGGACGTACCCTGCAATGCGCGTGTTATCGCTCCACTTGTCCCCGCTATGCCTCCTCTCACCCACGGTCACGGCGCACGATCAACGACGGCGCACAGGCTGCCGCTGATGTTCATCGCCAGCTGACGGATGCAAACACACACAGACGGACAACAGGAGAATGATAAGTCGAACGGAGATGATTTATTCATTCATTCGTGTGTGTCAGCCTCAATGCCTTGCTTGCTGCGCCACGGCTGCCGCTCACCTGAGAGGTTCAGCGTTCGGGAGGTCTCGTGCGGCAAGCAGTGGCAAGCAGCAGTCGCAAAGGCAGCGCTGATCAGCAGCCGCCGCAACCACAGCCCGTCGCTCTCCCTTGCCAGGCTCGCAGCGATCAGAGAGGAAGGAGGGGAATGATGGATCTGCGATGCTCGAATCCCCACAAACACATCCACTGGTACAAGAACTGGCCGTCACCATGACCGAAACTCTCATCGAAAGGGGTGCCCCTGCTGTCTGGCTTCTGCAGGTCGTGACCCCGAGAAGGCGCTGCAAGACTTCCTGTCGAAGCTGCACCAGCAAGAGGGCAACACAGAGGTCAAGATGGAGGACACCGATGTCCCTGGCCGCCCCTCTGGCTCATCGTCATCGTCAGTGGGGGTCAAGAGGGAGGCGCCCGACGACCAGCGGCCCGGCAAGAGGTCCCGCTTCATCACCACTGACCAGCTCAGCGACGACGAGGAGATACGCGAGCCGTCGCGTACCATCACGGGCGTGGAGAGCCGGACAAGGGCCGTGTCAAGATGGAAGCAGACGGGCGGGCGGGGCGGAGGTGGTCATGGGGGCGGAAGGGGCGAGGGATGATGGAGAGGGGCGAGCGCTGCGCGAGAAGTTGGAGAGGCGGGAGAGTGAGCTGCAGCGGCTGATGCAGAGCCTGGCGCACCTGGCCAAGAAGTGCACGGTCGGCGGCCTGTAAGCGATACGCACACGCGCACTGACACATGTGTACCCACGTTAATGTGCCTCATGGCTCACTGTCCAGCCGTGACGTACTCAGGTCAGAGAGGAGGTAGAGGACTTCGAGACCAAGTGCGTCCGCCATCAATCAAGACACGCAGAGACATACACGCATCGTCTACCATGGCGTGTGGAGGAGCTCATCAAGGGCGACAAGGACAGCAAAACCAGAGAACATAGCCTACTGCAGGGACAAGGTGAGTGAATTCGCCGCACACACAAAGCTATCTTCGTGCGTGTATTTCGCCCTTGGTTGTCTGCGTGTCGGTCTCTGCGTGCAGGCCCGTCGGCACCTCCGCAATCAGCTCCTCGACGAGTACATGGCCGGGGCGTGAGTTTGCGCTGGGGGTGTGTGTGTGGTTTTGTGTGTCTTGGTGGTGGGGGTGGGGTGTTGGAGTGTCTGTCTGGGTAAGAATCGCCTTTGACTGTTGTTGTTGTATTTGCCACATGTCATGTTGACATGCGTGCGTGACTGAATGGACCACATAGTCATCCACGCTAAAGTGGGTCGAGGCCGCCGCCTGCTTATCATCATGCCACCATCAAGAGCACCGACCGCCCACACAATGAATGGCACACACACACATAAAGCCATGAGTGTATCTGTTCGAATGTGTGAACGCAGACAATCTGGCGGGTAATCAGGATTGACCTTGACACCACCACTATCACTCACGCGTGCATTCTTTTTGCAGACGCCAAGTGCGTGGCCGCTGACGTGCTCACGAATCAAGGCGAGTCTGTGGAGGACAGACTCGCTCGGCTCCTTCACAGACTCGCCCGGATTCGTTAGCACGTCGGCGGCCACCGACCTGCAACGAGGGCGGTGCGTGTGCGCAGGATCAATGAAGGACAGAACAAAACTACATAGGCAGACTGCACTGGTGGATGGATGGATGGACGAGCTCTCACATATGGACAGACCGACACACTCATCCCACCGCTGGAACTCACAACCTCATACTATCAACAGCAGCGCCCGACCCCTCACCCCCAGCTCCCCGCTCCCTCTCCTCCCTTCTTCTCTTCCGCCGCATCCTTCGCCGTTCGTCGCGCCGGTGCGCCTTGACATTCGGCAGATAGGCCGACGTCACCTGCTGACTCAACTGGATCTGGTGCAGGACCGCCTTGCTGGCCGATGCCGATGCCTGAGAGGGGGGCAGGAAAGGCGTCTGCAGCGGCTGGGCCAGCTGCTGGATGGTCCTCAGCAGCTGCTGCACTGAGGGAGGGTGGGGCTGAGGTGGGGATGGGGATGGGGATGGGGCGGCCGCTTCGTTGTGTGAGGGGGATCGTAGGCCGACTGCGAGCACACGGGGGAGCAGGAAAGCCTCGCGAAGAGGGAGGCTGCAGGCAGGCAGGCAAACACGCGGTGAGCGTGTGAACGTGTGAGCGTGTGTGTTGGATCTGGCTGACCTCTTTGGCAGGATGACACACGGCACGTCCGCCAGAGCTGCCTGCACGGGCAGATGCTGCACCAGCGCCGTGTACCTGACGCACCCACCCACAATGCACCCATCCGACACGTCATCCCCGCCGACCCATCACGCCCTCCCCTTGTGTGTCTGCTCACTCGCTGTCTCGCCCGACAATCACAGCGGCGCAGGCTCCTCTCTCGAGCGCCCGTGTGACATGGTTGATGCCCACCAGGAAAACACTCTTGGCAGACTTGTCGCGCTGCTTGACATCACGCACGGTACTGACGAGAGAATGCATACAATTGTCTACATGAGATGAGTGCATGGTCAGGGACCATGATCGTGCCTGCCTGACCTCTGCAGGGCCCTGGAGATCTGCTCGGTCTTCTTGGCATCCAACACAGACCTGGATGGCATGGCACAGACACCCGCCCATCGCCTCCTTGTTCTTGTTTCTGTTTTGTGTTGTGTCAGTACCACTGTATCCTCCAAGGCGAGTCGAACGTCGTTCTGAATGTCGGCGCCCTCTGGCCTCGAGTGGGAGCGCTCGACGCTGCAGAAGCGCCACTTGAAGCCATCCTTTCGACAGATTTAAGGCAGAGGAACGGCCAGAAGCACGCCACAGCAACAGATCTTCATCACTTCGAGTTTTTCTCCCGCCGATCCCCTGCGAGCTTAGCATTGAAGGAGGAAGGCTTTTGCCCGCAGCCTAAAGCACTGCCCTTCCACCACATCTGGCACCAGTGTTTTCATTGGTGTCCTCGGATGATGATCTCTCTCGCTGTCGGCTCATCCGCCGCGCGGAAGCCATGGAGGATGCTGCAGTATGTCTGGCTCTGGGCGGCAGTCAGCTTCATCAGCCGAAGAGCCGCAGCGCTGCAGCAGCAGCAGACACAACAGCAGCAGCAGATGGTGACTCAGTCTGTCGCTTCTTTCGTGAGCCGCCCGCTTGCCTTGAGGCCCTGCAGAAGGCCGCCACTGAGAGTGTCGCCATCGCCGTGGTCGCGCAGCATCACCCCGATGATGGTCGACGAATTCGTGCCGCGGGTGAGAGCGGTTCTCACTCATCACATTATGCATGCGGTTCAGTTAACTACATCTGGATGGCTGTGTCTGTTTGTTCGTGTGCAGGCTGACCCGAAGGTGGCGGTGGCTGCGGCCTCGTGTTTTGGTGTGGTGTTGGCTTTCTGGGCCAACGGCGTGTACGTGCAGCGGAAGCGAGAGGAGAGGCGGCAGAACCTCGTCAAGCGGAATTCCCTCAGAGTCAAACGCATGACAGGTCAGCCAACCACCCACCCACCCACCCACCCAGGCAGGCAGGCAGTCGGCAGCTGGTGGTGGTGGTTTGTATGTGTGTGTGTGTGTGTGTGTGTGTGTGCTGTGTCCATCCATTAGGGTCGTTGAGTCTTGAGGAGGAGCTGCAGCTGGAGATCTTGGAGCGGCGTCTGCGTAAGGAGAGGGAGTTGGAGGAGAAGCGGCGCAAGGAGAAGACCTGGTGGAATCCCTGGGGGCTGGAGCTGCGCAACAGAGACGACGACCTGCTGAGGTGATGGGACCGACGGGTGAAAGCGACGGACGGGCGGAGGGAGCGGGACAGGGAGAGGGGTGTGTTGATCGATGTGGTGAGTGACTGAGTGACTGAGTGAGTGAGCGTGTCGATTGTATCTAGTGGAGAGGGAGAGGTCGAGAGCTGTGTTGTGTTGTGTTGTGTTGTGGTGTGGTGTGTGGGGCTTCCTCGGCTGTGTTCGCTGTGCTTGCCTGACGAGAGCTTGCGGGTATTGGTTTCTGGCCCATTCCTTGGGGACAGGATGACCAATCTCCCTCGTGGTTGTCAGGCCATCACGGTGGACGCAACGAGAAGATGGCTCCGTAGTAGGTAGGCATGTGACGTGGTGAGAGTGAGGGCTCTGATTTTATGTGTAGAGTGTGGCGGAGGGGACGCCTTTTGAGTCGACTGGTGTGGTGTGGGTGCGTGCGACTGATTCTTCCCCAGCATACAGTCACGTTCATGTGCATGTGTGCGGACGGCAGCACGACTGAGTCAACGAAAAAAAGCCGTTCGACGAGCTCGTCCAACCAGCAGCGATTTCACGCACGACGGAAAGCCAAAGCAAAGCCAGCCAGAGATAGCCGCTGCAGTCCACGCACCAGCTCGGCGTCGTCGGCTGTCACAGGAGCTGGCGAAAAAATCGTCGCCGCCTCGAATGCACGAGTGAAATAGTTTCCGTGTCAGCGCCCATCCTCTGCATTTGCTAAGGCTTGTGTGCCATCCATGCCACCGGCCGCCGTCACGGCGACACGACCCTTGGTCCACACAAGGGGTGTGTCCCCGCGACGACAGACCAGGACATACTTGACACACCAGCCTTAGCAAAGAGAAGGAACCATCAACCAGTCAGGAGGAGTGAGGAGGTACGTGTGACGTGTACGAGTGCGTGGGGGTTTGGACAAATAGGTAGGTGGTGGAGGTCACTGAGTGAGTGGCGAGGATAAGGGGAGAAAAATTCATGGGTGATCCGATTCGTCCCCCCACCATCCACCGCCATCACAAGGCAATAAAAGGCATCATCCATCCATCCATCAAGCAAGTCCATGCATCACCACACCACCATGATGCCAGTTTCGCATCAGCGATCAGCACCGTCTGTCTGTCTGTGTCTTGTCTTCATGCGCGCGAAGGCTGCTGTGCAGCCTGCCGTGACACGCATCACACCACACCACGCCATTCTTCAGAGAGAGATCTGCCTCGCAGCATCCCATCCGAGCAGAGTAGAGCAAGCAGGCAAGCAATCCACGAGGGACGGGCCCAGGGACGGAAAAAGGAGCTTAGGCCCTTCGCCCACACATTCGCTTGACTCAGAGCACGTCCGCAGCAGCACAGACATGCAAACATGCACCCGTTCACGGCACCTCAAAATCCCTCCCTCTCAACCGTACTTGGTCCAAAACCCACATGCTAACACACCAGCACGGCAACAAACTGCACTCTCTCCACATCAGGTGCACACACACACATTCACGGAATGGACCCTCCCCGCCCTCACGTTCGTCATGCGTGCACTTTAAAATCCTCCCATGGCTGCGTGCTGTGTGTCTTGGGCTTGGCGACGGTGCTGCCGCCCTCCCTCTCAGCCCACCTCTGCTCCAGGTGCTCGCAGTTGATGCCCACCATGGCCTCTCCCAGGTCCCGGCTCACCTCGGCCAGCACCTTGGGGTCCTTGTAGTGCGTCACGGCCTGCACTATCGCCTTGGCGCGCTTCGCGGGATTGCCCGACTTGAAGATGCCAGAGCCAACGAACACACCATCGACACCCAGCTGCATGCACATGGCCGCATCTGAACCATCCACACACACACAACACAGAGTAAACCACACACACAGATGAGGCGACAGGGAGGGAGGGCGGTTGTGTGGTTGGTTGGTTGTCTGACCAGCGGGCGTGGCCACGCCTCCCGCGGCGAAGTTGACGACGGGCAGTCTGCCCTTGGCGCGTGTCTCGCGGACGAGCTCGAGGGGGGCCTGGATCTTCTTGGCGAACGTGTAGATCTCGTCCTCATCCATCGCCTTCAACATCGCTATCTCGCGCTTCACAGTGCTGAACGAATGGAGCACAGCGGTGTTTGGGTGCCTATGGCGCGTGTGTGTGTCGGTCGGTCGGTACCGCATGTGTCTGACGGCCTCGACGACGTTGCCAGTGCCCGCCTCGCCCTTGGTGCGGATCATCGACGCACCCTCGCCGATCCGCCTCAACGCCTCACCGAGGTTACGGCACCCACACACAAAAGGCACCTGCACCAACCACACACACACACACAAACAATCGTCACACAGCTGGCTGGTCCGTCTGGTCATCCCATCTGACATACATTGAATTTTGTCTTGTCGATGTGGTTGTCCTCATCGGCGATGGTGAGCACCTCGCTCTCGTCGACGTAGTCGACGCCGAGCTCCTCGAGGATCTGCGCCTCCACAAAATGTCCGATGCGGCACTTGGCCATCACGGGGATGCTCACGGCAGCCATGATCTCCTCTATCATGCCTGGGTCGCTCATGCGCGCCACACCGCCACTGCCGCGGATGTCAGCCGGGATCTTCTCCAGCGCCATCACCTGAGCAACCACACACCACAGAGCACACAGAAGGTAGACACCCCGTCACGTCATCGCTCACACCAAAACACCAAGCCGTGTGTCTGTCCCTCCCTCCCTCCCCTGAGCTCACCGCGCAGGCCCCAGCCTCTTCGGCGATCTTGGCCTGTTCGGGGTTCATGACGTCCATGATGACGCCGCCCTTGAGCATCTGCGCCAGGCCCTCCTTGACGCGGGGCGTCGACCTGCTCACGCCGTGACCATTGGCCGCGCCCTCCCCTGTGCCGTTGACGGGAGGCACACCGTTGGGGTGGGTGCCGTTCGTGTGCGAGTGGTCCACAGGCATCGTTCGCAACGCTACAAATGGAGGCTGAAGAGTCGTGTTTCGATGTCTACAACACAGGGCTGTGAGAGGCGATGTTCTAAGCACGACAACAAGCTCAGAAAGTTGCGCGACGCCGAAGACAGTGCCGATCCGCCAGCAAGATTAGCTCGCAAGTTGAACCGCTGCTGCCGGGTCCGTTTTGACCTTGAGGTTCGTCGCGGACAGGAAGCAGTGCTAGGAGCTTGTGACCTCTTTCAAACAGCAAGAAAAAGCAGAAAAATCGGCCTCTGACTCGTCACGGGCTGTGACGAGGCGTCCGGTGCTTGCTGATCGGTGAGGCAGTGCCTGTGAAGCCACCATGGTGTTGGCTGAGTTGGGGAGCCGGATCTCCGGAGCGCTCCGGAAACTGCAGACCGCCACTGTCATCGATGAAGCGGTGAGAGAGAACACCACAAGCAGGCAATTGACCTCTCGTGGCTGTGGCTGTGTGTGTGTGTGTTGGCTGTGTGTTGTGTCAGGTGTTGGATGAGTGTTTGAAGGAGATAGCTGCGGCGTTGCTGCAGGCGGACGTGAACGTGCGGTATGTGGCTCAGCTGCGCAACAATATCAAGAGGACGGTGCAGCTCGAGGAAGCCGCCATGGGCACCAACAAGAGGAAACTAATCCAAAAGGTGAGCTCGAAGCACACACGCAGCGCTTTGAAGCGGCCGTGCGTGTATGTCTGTGTATGTGTGTGTGTGTGGTGCCATCCATCCGTCCGTCAGTGTGTGGTAGAGGAGTTGGTGACGATGCTGACGCCTGACCGCAGCCCGTTCGCGCCCAAGAAGGGCAAGCCCAACATCATCATGTTTGTGGGGCTGCAGGGCAGCGGCAAGACCACCACCTGCACCAAATACGCCCACTACTACCAGAGGAAAGGTACACACACACACACTTGGACACGCAGACACCAGACACACTCTTCTCACAGACAGACAGACAGCTGGATGGATGTGTGTATGTGTGTATGTGTGCAGGGTGGAAGACGGCTCTCGTGTGTGCGGACACTTTTCGTGCCGGCGCGTTCGATCAGCTCAAGCAGAACGCGACAAAGGCCAAGATACCCTTCTACGGCAGGTCAGTCAGCCGGAAGAGAAGAACACGTCACGACGCAGGCAGCACACGAAGAAGAGCACGCCCCATCCCATCCCCCTCTCTCTGTGTGTCCTTGCGACCTCTGTGTGTGTCAGTTACACCGAGACGGACCCGGTCAAGATAGCCGAGGAGGGCGTGGAGCAGTTCAAGAAGGACAAGTACGAGCTCATCATCGTCGACACCTCCGGCCGGCACAAGCAGGAGGGCGCCCTGCTCGAGGAGATGAAGCAAGTCGCTGAGGCAGTGGTACGTGTGGAGTGGAGTGGACAGACAGACACACACGCATACATCGACGTGAACCAATGTGTGTGTGTGCAGGAGCCGAATGACATCATCTATGTGATGGACAGCCACATCGGTCAGGCCTGCTTCGACCAGGCCAAGGCCTTTCGCGACGCTGTGGACGTCGGCAGCGTTATCGTCACCAAACTAGACGGACACGCCAAGGGAGGAGGAGCGCTCTCCGCGTGAGTGGCCGAACGCCCACCGCACACACACGTGAAGAAGACCTGATGTGTGTGTGTGTGTGTGTGTGTGGCTTTGTTGCTCTATGTGTCAGTGTTGCTGCGACGGACTCGCCTGTGATCTTTATCGGCACTGGCGAGCACTTTGACGACTTCGAGTCGTTCGAGGCCAAGTCATTCGTCTCGCGGCTGCTCGGTGAGTGCCTGCCCACACAAATGCCCACACTAACACCCACACGCGCCTGTCTCTTCGTGTCTGTTTTGTGTGTGTCAGGTTTGGGTGACATTGGCGGCCTGTTCAACACGATCAAGGAGGCGGTGCCGCTGGACAAGCAGCCCGACATCATCAACCGCATTGCCAAGGGCATCTTCACCATTCGGGACCTATACGAACAGTTCCAGAATGTCCTCAAGATGGGGCCGCTCAGCCAAGTCATGTCGATGATTCCAGGTGGGGCTCGACACACCATGGGGAGAGGACTTTTGTGGGATGGACGTCTGTGTGTGTGTGTGTGTGTGCAGGTATCGGTGCGAATCTGATCCCAAAGGGTCAGGAGAAGGAGGGCGTGCGGCGGATACAGAAGTTCATGACCATGATGGACTCCATGACCAACGACGGTACGTTGGGCACCCGCCCCCGTGTCCGCCACCACATGGCGCCGACTGTCTGTCTGTCTGTCTGTCTGTTTGTGTGTCAGAGTTGGATTGCGTCAAGCAGATGAACGACAGCCGGATACTCAGAGTGGCCAAGGGGTCCGGCAGGTGAGAAAGAAGAATCTACTAGGCATCACAACTCTTGCACGCCATGCCATCTCTGCATCTCTCTATTTGTCCGTCAGTTCGATTCGCGAGGTGAAGGAGCTGCTTGAGGAGTACAAGCGGTTCTCCAAGCTGGTGGGCAAGATGGGCAAACTCGGACTCGCTAAGGGAGGAAACGACCTCAACCAGGTAGGTACACAACCACACAGACAGACCAAACCACACCACACGGACCATTACACACAGGATCTGTGAGTGTTGGCTCTTTCTGTTGCGTTGTGTTGTGTTGTGTGCAGCAAATGCAGCGTAACCCGAAGCAGATGTTGGCCAAGATGCAGCAGATGATGGACCCGCGGATGCTGCAGCAGATGGGGGGCGCACAAAACATGATGAAGATCATGAAGGAGGTAAGTACCTGCCTACCCTACACACGCCAGGCGCCCACATGTGCACCGACACGTGTGTGTGTGTGTGTGTGTGTGTGCGTGTTGGTGATCGGTTCGTCGGTGCAGATGGGCAAGATGGAGAACATGGGAGGAATGCAGGTGGGTCGATGAGGGCACAGGAGAGATAAAGGGGGCGGAATTGCCATTCGAGTCATATCTCTCCCCCTCTCCGTGTGATTTGATGACTGCAGGACATGATGAAGCAGATGGGCATGGGCTGACCGAACCAAGAAACGATCCCCATGTCTTCGGGTTCTTTTCGCCTGTTTATCTGCCTCCCTCCTGCATCTCTCTCTCCCTCCCTCTCTGTCTTGTCCTGCCCCTCCCTCCTTCCCTCTGTTCCTCCCCGCTCCCCTTCCATCTGCTGTGAATAACTAGTGAACGGTCCAATGAATGCCACAGGCATCGTGCAGACAGACAGACGGGCACGGCAGCTCGTGTCGCTTGGCTTCGCTGTCCATGCCATGGCGTGACCTCGGTCGGCGTGTGCCCTTTTTCTGTGGATACCTGTCCAGATGAGTGAGTGACACGTGCAATGGAATGGCGTGGCCTGGGGGAGGAGGTGGGTGAGGGCATGCCATGCACTGGTGCTCAATTAGACGAGACGGCCAGCACCGCTGTTGGTTGGATTGAGTGCATCAACGAATGAATGCCATTGGCGATTGTGTGAATGGACTCACTCGAGAGGTGATGACAGGGGTGCTGTTTCAACAATTTTTTCCATTGCCGCCGCCAGATTACTTTACTTTGCTTTACTGGATCTAGCCACAGCCTGTCATGTGCCGCCGCCGTTCCGTTTACAGTGGATCGTGAGCTTTTTAGCTCGCCGATGGGTCGGGGAGAGTGCGCGGATTCCATCATCGCATGCCGCCAGTGACAACATGATGATAGGCGGCGCCCCGTTTGCGCAGTACTTTCCGCATCCACAACTGCATCCGCCACTCCCAGTGCCGTTCCACTATCATTATCATGGTTACCATGCCCTTGGCAGCAACGTACCAATGCATGGTAAGGCAGAGAACCTCGCAGGAATGGCAGACGCTATGGCGAGGTTCAAAATTTCTGTTTTTCGGTCGTCATTCATCATTGTCAGAGTTGGTTGTTGTTGAGGAGGAGGAGCCTGAGGAGCTCAAGGAGAAGAATCTGCTCGAGAGGGTGATCTATGGCGGGATAGAAGAGTACACCATCAAGAAAGTCCTCCAGGTCTGCCTGCCAGAAACGGCGTTTGCAGTGTGTGGTGTGCGACCCATGCATGTGTTTCTGCGGTTCTGTGATGCGTCTTACCGGCGGTGTGTGTGTGTGTGTGTGCAGTCGTGTTTGTATGGGAAGGTGTGTAAGGGCGTCGGCAACGTCACCACCGACGATGTGGCCATCAAAGTCCTACACAAGGTCGGTCGGCAAGTCTGACCACCAAAGGCACCACCGCAGCAGCACCAGACCAGATCGTGGTCATATCATGGCTGTGTGTGGTGTGCAGGACCTGATAGGCAAGAAGGAGAAGGACCGACAGCTGCCCGAGACCCCCTTGGCCGAGGTGTTCTTCGCGCGCCTGCTCCAGGGGCACCCACATGTCATGTCCATCCGGTGGGTGGGTGAGGGGTGGATCAGACCAGCAGCCACACGACGTATAATAATGACATGGGGTGCACGGCGTGTGTGTGTGTGTCATACGTGCCGTTAGCGAGGTGTTTGAGGACGAGAAGTGCCATTTCGTGGTGAGTGACCTTGCCACGGGAGATGACCTTCTCGAACTGGTCAGCTGGATGAACTAACGCTCAAGGGCGGCGTGCATGCCTGGAAAGACGGACTGACTCTCTCTCTCTCTCTCTGTGTGTGGCTGGTGCTGATGGTGGGTGCAGTTGAAGAAGCACAAGTGCGGTCTGCCGGAGGAGTATGCTCGCACCTTCCTCCGGCAGGCCACTGAGGGGCTCGCTTTCCTGCACTCACAGGGCACGCACAAGACAACGCGCACAACACGCTCCTCCTCCACACACAACACTCACTCACCATGTGTCTGTCTGTCGGTACTGCTGCATCAATCAGGTTTGGCGATGCAAGATTTTAGCCTGGAGAACTGTCTGCTGTTCCTCACACCCGATGGCAAGTACCACGTGCGCATCTGCGACCCAGGACAGGTACGTCCGACTGCCCACTCACTGAGCACAGTGCCATTGGCCTGCTGTGTGATGTGTGTGATGGATGCGGTGTGTGGGTCAGGCTGTGCGCTTCCTCATGGCTCCGAACGGCGTTGAGGTGCCTGTCGACTACCGGGGCTGCATCGGCAAGAAGTTCAGACCGCCCGAAGTGCACCGCGAGGTCGGTCTTGCCACCCCCACACCCACCACGCACGTGTGCGTCATGCATGAATGTCTGTGTGTGTGGTGGTTGGTGGTGTGCAGGGGATTCCGTACTTCGCCAGTCGTGTGGACAGCTGGTGTCTCGGCTGGTCGACCTTCTACCTCCTCTTCGCAATCGAACTCTTCGACGTGCATACACAGACAGACAGACAGACGAAGAGAGAGACCACACACACAGTTTCTTCTCTTCCCTGTCAGAATGCTCATCCCACTGATCATCCCCGGGATGACTGGAGGTGGCCCGACTTCCGCGCCGGTCACATCCACACACAAGGGAGATATCGGAAGTAGTTGAGATGGAATTCTCTCCTCTCTCCCTGTGTGTGTGCGTGTGTGTGTGCATGGCTGCAGGCCACCATGAGCGCGTGTTTCAGCGTCTGGGCGTGCAAGACCGTCTCAGCCCGGCCGCGAAGGGTACCTACACACACACACACACACACAGCACACCAACCGCACCCAGTGGGCCGCCACCACTCTCTGCGCCGTCCTGTGCTCCTCCTTCTTTCTCCCCTTTTTTCAGACTTCATCATGCGGCTGCTCCAAGTGGAAGCCCCACGGCGGATGTAAACCCCAACACACACACAAACCCACGTAGAGGCGGGCAGTCTGTGTGTGCGTGAGTGTGTATGGCTGCCTTGCAGGAGCGTGCAAGATGCCCTGAACCATCCGTTTCTTCGTGACGCCTCGCGCGAGACGATGGACGCCATCCCCGAGCACCTGCAGCGCCTTCGGTTCGACAGCAACTCCAGCGGGTCGGCCGGACTCAGCGACAGAGGATCGCCACCGCTCATCAGCAGGGAGGACGATGCTCCAGAGGAGAGGTGCGCGGCACGAACGGGAAAAGGAGGCGATATTGCATTGGACCGTCTGTGTCTCCTCTTTGGCTTGTCTGTCTGTCTGTCTGTCTGTGTGTGTGTGTCAGTGGTCGTGAGGATCGCAGAAGAGCGACGAGCGACGAGCAAGAGAAAAGGCACCGGGCTAGGCGGCTGCTACAGGTAAGTCGGGGAGCTGTGGGACCGATACCCACCCCCACACAGGGCTGATGCGATTCGGTTCCTTGCATCCCATCCCCCACCCCTCACTGCACTGCAGGAGGTGCCGCTGATCCCCGAGAAGTACAACCAGTACATGCACGACCTCTGCCGCATGGACAAACCCTCAGGCGCCATACTCGCATCAGCACAGCAAAGCGGCCACATGCCCCTACCTCACGCACACCCCCACCCTCACCCTCACGCCAGATACCACCCACGACTGGCGCGTGTCGAGGAGGACGCCCAGGCCCACCCCGCTCCCACACCAAAAGCACCCAAAGGCGCCTCGCATGCCGATGCAGGCCTCATGGGGCGATTTGCCGAGCAGATGAAGATCCAGGGGCCGCTCGTCATGGCGCCCAAGCTTGGCGGGATTGGCGGGGGGCGGGGGGCGGTGCTCTCGCCACCGCCTTTGGGCGGGCACCTTCCCCACCACCACCACCATCAGCAGCCTCACCACCTGCGCCATCAGCAGCAGCAAAATGAGGGTCTGCCGCGTACGGCGTCGTGGATGTCTCAGGGGTCGCAGGGCGGCGGGCAGGGGGGCCAGGCGATGCAGCCACACAACTCATACCAGTCTACCATGCAGCAACAACACCAAGTGAGACGGAAGGGGAATGAATGAATGAATCTGCACTGCACTGTCTCTTTATGTGTGCTTGCCAGGGTGGGCTGCATGCGACTTGGAACGTTCCCCGCACGACCAACGCACTGCCCATGCCGCCCGCTCGGCGCGAGCCACAGGTAAGCACCCTTTACAGCCAGCCAGCCAACCATAGCATGTGTCTTGGTGCATCCACCCTCCTTGCCCTACTACTTGGTGGTATGCAGTCGCCGCCTCAGATGCCGTATGGCGGGAGGTTCTTTGCTGCTCACTCACTCCCACCTGCTGCCGGCATGTTGATGCCACACCAACACCAGCAGTATCAGCAGTACCAATTCCAGCAGCAGCAGCACCAGCAGCAGCAGCAGCAGCGGCAGTATCCACAGCACGCCACACACAGCCACCCTCAACAGATCCCTCCACAGGTATACACAAACAACAAACACCCCAATGCTCCTTCCTGCAGCATCGGCTACAGTCGTCTCTCTTGGTTTGCAGGTGCCCCGAGGCTTCCCCCTTCCCCAGATGGTGCACACCTACCACCCCCTCTCCCACCCACAGCCACAGCCCACCCCCGGCCCCTCACACTCCCATTCCCTCACTGACAGCCCCGCCAGTGTGGTCCAGCGCATCCTGGTCGCCAGCAACAAAACCGCTGGCGCCGCCCTCACTACACAGACCACCACAGTGCCGCAGAAGAGCGACCACAACGCCCTCCTCCCGCCTCGGCCTGCGTCGCGGCCTGGTATTGTCCACGCCGAGCAGGCCGTGGGTGTGGAGCTGCCTGTGGGTGATCTGCCGATCGAGCATGACGTCCAGCAGCAGCAGCAGCAGCAGCGACCAAGCCTGTCCTTTGAGGGCGGCCAGGACACCACGACGTCATCGGGGTCAGCAGGGAGCCGTCCGCGACGTGTGGCCGCCAGGTCGGGCAGCCCTCCCGCGATACGGATGGGGGCACCACGAGTGGGTGCGGGTGGGGGTGGTGGCCGGCCCACGCAGTCGAAGGCGCGCAACCTCTCCCCACTGGACCTCACACGCACTGGCACCGGCACTCGACCCAAGACCAAGGCGCCCCAGCTGCTGCTGCCGGGCGGCGCTGGCGCTCGCGGCAGTCCCCCACCTCCAGACACCAAAGCGGGCAAACGCACCGCGAACCTGCCGTCCCCCGTAGCCGCCCAGCGTCGGGCCATGTCCCCGCCAGCAGCGGGGGGCAATCGTCCTGCGGCAGCAGTGGCCAACAACCGGTCGCCGTCTGCCTTTCCGGTGCCGGGGAGAGGGACCATAGGTGGGAGGGCGGCCGTGCGGGAAGGGGGAGGGGCGCTGGGGCGACGAATGTTGCCCTTCCCTTCCCCTGGTACGAATCCGCCAATGACACGAGGGACGTTGGGTGCCCCGCCAATGAGCCGTTTGCATGGCGGCATCACAGGTGGTGGAGGGGGAGGGGGAGACTCGCCATTCAGATTCAAAGGTACACACACACGAGCACGCACCAACAATCCTCCCGGTATGCCAGGCCACCCACCCATGGCTCCTTTCCTGTCTGTGCTGCAGGTGGTGCACACCGAGGCAGCTCCCCGGCTCCCCGCTACCCCACCCCTCTTCGTCGCCGCGAGCAGCCCGACTCCCACACACAGAAGAGCCCTTCTTCAGGCGCCAAGACCACAGCCCGACACAAGGGACACCAGCAGCCCAAGTCGCCCACCAACAAGAAGCGACTTCCTGCACCAGGGGGCGAGAGGGAGCGGCTTGCGGCAGCAACAGCAGCAGCAACAGCAGCAGCGGCAGCAGCATTGGTCCCTCGGGGGCTGGATGGGAGAGGGGGAGGGGCAGGTGGGTCGGGGGATAAGTCGATCTCTGCGCCTGTTGTCGAGCAAGGCACGATGTCGAGGGGTGTGGGGGGAGGGGCGGCAGGGGCAGCGGCAGCAGCAGGGGGCCAGGGGGTCGGCGAGAGGGGTGTTGATGGGGCAGGGCTGCCACAGAGGCTGATATGGGAGGCACCCTTCATGTAGGATCGTGGAAAAATCTTACGACCCTCAAGAGAGACTGAAGAAACTGTGTGTGCCTGTCCTGTCCTCTCTGCTGTATGTGTCTGTGTCTGTGTGACAGCAGTCAGGCTGCACCTGAGCCGGCGTCGTCCACGGCAGGAGTGACCTTCCAGACGCGGCAATTCCCACACGCACACGCGACCAACCATCCCCACCTACACCCCCAGCACTATGCCATGCCCGTCACAGCAGCACCAGCACCAGCAGCCACCGCAGCCACTGCATCTGTAGGTCAGATCGGCCCACAGGCTCTGCCCCGGTCCATCACGCCCTTCGTCGGCCACCGGCCAGGCCATGCTCAGATACACATGGCTCAGAACCTAATGCGGTCGGTGGACACGTCGCACGTAGAAAGGGAAGCCGAAAGAGACAGCTTGTGTGTGTGTGTGTCTTGTGTGTGGTGTCTTGTCTTGTTGTCTGTCAGTTGTGTGTCGCCTCTGCCGGTGTCGTCGGCGCGTCTGCATCACGGAGGGGGCTACATCGGCGTCGCGCCGGGGCCGCTGGGCGCACGGGTGCCGCAGTACATGACCACCACCACCACCACCACCACACGCAATGTGCCGACGGCGAGCCAGCATCGGGTAAGGCCATCGTAGAAAACCGCACACACATCCAGTCATTGCATCAAGTGATCTGGTGTGTGTGTGTGGGGGGTGTGGGGGGTGTGTGGCGGTGTTATGCAGGCTGTGTCTCCACTGAGTGAGCGGATGACGGCCAGCCGCCCTGCCGGCGTGCTGTTCCAGCCGCCGTTCATGGGACCGATGCGGCAGCAGAGATGACCCTCTGACGGCTATAGTAGTGCGTGTGTGAGGGCGTGTGTAGAGCGGTTGGATGACACTGGTGACTGTGTGATGTGGGCGGGGAGTTTTGCCACAAAGTGTGCATCTTTCCAATGGATGGATGGATGGATGGACAGACACACCGAGAGACCCTAGAATGAATGCTGTTGAGTGCAATCAATCGCGTGTGGTCGTCCGCCATGCAGCGCAGCCACCAAGGTGGATAGATGGAACAGCCAGATTAGATTAGAAGAGTAGAATAGAATAGAATACAGTCGCTTGCTCCCTCGCTCCAGGCCCTTGCTCATGCCGCTCACGCACTGACTGACACACCAATATTAGCTACACACCGGCAGACACGCCCAGCAGCAGCAGCAGCAGCACCACCGCCACCACACGGCAGCCGTCCAAACAAATCGTCATGTCACGCACTTCGGCAATCAGTCAGTCGGTCAGCAAGGCCCCTTGGGAGGAAGAATCACACAAACAAGCAAGCCTGGGGGGATGCTCTGCTTTGTGTGGCCTTTCTGCGTAGGGGGCCTGCATGACACATGAGATGAGCCACTTCTCCTCCATTTCAGATGCATCTCTCTCTCTCTCCCTTATCCAGTTGGTAGGAAAAAAGTGCCATGTGGTGGTGAGGTGAGTGTGATGATGACATGAGTCCATCCATCCATCCATGGCTTCCACGGCCTGGGCGAGACGAGGTGGGCGAGGTGGGTTGACCCAAAAAGGCTTCTGTCTTACTGTCTTCTCGTCTGTCTGTCTGTCTGTCAGTCAGTCTGTCATTCTCTGCCTCTGCTACGGTAAGCTAAGCTATGCTATGCTATCAGTCGCTGCCGCTGCTGCTGGCAACATGTATCTGATGGTTTGGTTCTTTTCTCTGTCCTCTGTCCTCTGTTCTCCTCTTTCTCGCCAGTCAGTGATCAGTGAGTCACACAGCCTGGCTGGCTGCGCTTGCAGCTGAGCCTTACTTGATCAACCCAACCACCAGATCCTCTTCTCTCCTCCACACACACGCATCCACACGCATACACGCACACAGACTCAGACACGCACACACACTGAGGAATGAAATCGCCGGTGTGTAGAGGGACAGACAACCAGACAACCAGACAGACAGATGGACAGTAGGAGAGGCGAAGGCGAGGATGGGACATGGGATGGGGTGTGGTGTGTGTCAGCCAGTTTGTGTGAAGGGCAGGGCATCTATGTGTCTATGAGTGTGTCTGTCTGTCTGTCCATCCATCAGGATGAGCTCGAGTTGCTCTGGTCGGCAGCAGAGGCAGCACCCCCGGCGCCATTGGTCGTCTCCCACCACGGCTTGACGCGATCGAAGTGCCATTGCGGACGCTGCAGTGCCGTACACAGAAAAACGTGTGTGGGAGCAATCCAATACAATCCGAGATGCCATTGCGCTGCCTGCGCACCTTACCTTGCTTCGCTCGCTTTTATATGCCTCCACAATCTCGGTGCCCCACGCACGCCTGACACACACACACACAGACATACACTCGGAGGTATGCAGCACATATCGGTGTGAGTGGTGGCTCCCTCTCCCCCCCCACCTCTGCTCTGGCTTCAAACGCCTCCACAGTGTCTGAACGGGTGAATGAACGCATCATATCCCACACACGACAGACACACGCATGCCTCATTCTCTTCTCACAGGTCGCTCAGGTCGGGTGGCTCAGCTGACCTGTAGAGTGGTGGTGTCGCTGAGGTCGCGGCACAGCTTGGGGGCGTTCCACATCTCCAAGCAAAACATGTCGTAGCCCTTCATCGACTCCCCCACCCGCGGGTACCCGTTGCCCCGCAAACTCGCCTCGTCCTCCTCCTCACACCCCTCCTCACACCCACCATTGGGCGCACTCGAGCTGCTACCCTCACACGCAGCCGCACTCGCTGCCCCACTACTCCGGGGATGGTGCCCACCACCTACCCTGCCGTCGGCCGATGACGGCTCACCTTGACCTTGACCCCCTCCGGAGGACAACGGCTGGGTGTCGGGTGGGGTGTTGTCGGTGTCGTTGTTGCTGTCGGGTGGTGGCTGGGGCGGTGCGAGTGGTCCCTTGATGAATCGGTACTGGAAGCGCTTCTGCCACTCGCTGGTCTTGTCGCACAATGGGCCCTCTCCCAGGTCGTCCTCCTCCTCGTCTGAGGGGATGTCCAACGCACCTGACACACCAACACACCAACACACACACACATGCCCCAATGTAACCACACGATGATCGTGTCTGTCCATCTCTCCCTCTCTGACAGTGGTGCCCTGCCCTCCAGCTGTCTGTGTACCCACTCACTTTCAACGCTGAGGTAGTGGAGGTTGTCCGTCTCGTCAGTGTGCAGGAGGAAGAGGCCGTGCTTGGCCAACTGCAGGCGGAAGTTGACGAGCGCGGGGAAGTCTATCTCGACCGACCCGTACTTGAAGTACACGCCGTGCGGCGTCACCTCGTTGAGCTTGGCGTAGAGCCGCAGGTGCAGGTCGGTGAGGCCGCGGCCGGGGGGGCCGTGGAAGGACAGCTTGGTCAGCTGCGGGAAGTGCTTCGGGTGCCCATCGTCGATGGCCAGCAGCTCCTCCGTCGTCGTCCAACCCAAATTCATCTTATTCAACCTGACGAGAGAGGACCATCGCACCATCACGAACGATGCATCCCCCTCCCCTGTGTGAGTGTGTGTGGGTGGGCATGTGTGTGGCTTACACAGGGTAGAATGGCGCGCGGTCCGTGGTCGTGAATGAGAATAGCGCCGGCCTGCCGTCTCCGTCGAGCTGCAGCCGTCGCAGCGACGGCGCCGTTTGCTTCAGGAGGTTTCGCACCTCGCCCACCACAACGGCGCTCGTCACCGTCCGCTGGAAGGGCGGCTTGAACGGCCCCATGTCCAGCAAACGAATCACGCGGCAACGGGGGGCCTCGAACGACCCGGCAGACGGCATCTGAGATAGATCAGACAGACCAAACACGCAAACAGAGAGAGACGGTGTGGCTGTGGTGCGGGTGAGTGCCTGGCTGCCGCACCTCACTCACCTTGAACAGGGCGCTGAGAGTGAGTTTCTCGAGGTTGGGCATGCGTGCGGGCAGGTTGAGCACCGACGGCACCTCGCCGCTCTTGACGCGCCAGCCGCCGCCGGGCGCCATGAGCTTGACGACCTTCAAACTGTTGGCGTTGCGGAGCAGCAGCTGGTCCATCACGCCCATGTCAAACCCCGACGACGGACGGTAGTGACACGACAACACCTCCAAGTTGCGAAACGACTCTGGGGAATGGACACACACAAGAGACAGACAACACCCGACAGACACATGAGCCCAAGCCCAGCCACTCCCCTGACAGTGTGTGGTGACTGACCTGCGAAGAGCCTGAACGCCCTTATGCCGACTGCCTGGTTGCTGGAGGGCACGTTGCTGGGCAGGTCGAGCTCCAGCCGCGCCACGGTGCTGAAGCGGGCCACCACGTTGCGCAGTGTGCGCGTGGGCAGTCGCAGGCACCGTCGAACCGTCAATGCCTCGAGGGCCGCCCATGCCAGCGGCAGCGAGACCGCGTGACTTGTGGTCTTGCAGACGAGCGAGACACGGCTCATCTCGCGAGGGGTCAGCCACTGACCACATCACACGAGAAACGTCACATCACCCGCACGTGCCACCCCATCGCCGCTCTCGGGCTGTGGTGGCGTTCATGCGTTTGTTTCTCCTTACTTGCAGTATCCGGCAGACCTCGCAGTCGCCCAGCTGGATGAGGTTGACAGGCGGGCGCCGCCCACATGCATCGGAGGAGCGGGACTGCCGGCGCCTCTTGTTACTGCTGGCACCGCTGCTCAGCCGACTCAATGCCAGCTTCTTGGCCTCTCTCATCCTCCTCAACCACGCTCAATACCGACAACACAACCGCCAATGCCTCCAAAAGCCACGCCCTTCAAAGGTTTCTTAGCTCGGCGAGCTATGATCGCCCAGGGAATCGCTCCCCTCCCCCCTTGCTACCTTGAAGAAAGCCGTTCCACATCGTGCCGCGCCATGCCTGACTCAGAGGCCATCTGCGAGGTGGGCGCGGGCAACCTGCCGCGCGGCCCGGGGCTGTTTCTGCCGCTGTTTGCTGGCGTGGGCGAGCAGGAGTGGCCGCCACCTCTTCGGGCGATTCTGTATCTGATGGGCCTGCTGTGGGGCTTCCTCGGGGTGGCCATCATCGCCGATGTGAGGGAGATGGAAGGGCGGGGTGGGCAGATCGCCTGGAGACGGCTGTCTGTGTTGTTTGCCTGCAGGTGTTCATGTCGGCGATAGAGAGCGTGACGAGTGTGGAGAAGGAGGTGTTTGTGGATGTGGGCCACGGCGAGAAGAGACGGTTCCACGTCAAAGTCTGGAACGACACCGTCGCGGTCAGTGACTCTCAGTCAGTCAGTCAGTCACACAAGACGCGCGCGTCTGTGTGTGTCTCCCTCTGTCGGACACATCCATCCATTCATCCATCTCTTTTTGCTGCCGGTCATGTGTGCGCAGAATCTGACTCTGATGGCGCTTGGCTCGTCGGCCCCCGAGATCCTGCTGTCGGTGATAGAGCTGCTGGGGAATGACTTCTGCTCTGGGGAGCTGGGCCCGTCGACCATTGTGGGGTCGGCGGCGTACAATCTGTTCGTCATTGTGGGCGTGTGCATCGTGGCTGTACCCAGCGGACAGGTGAGTGAGAAACATGGGGAAGAGGTGGAAGGTGGTGGCATGGCATGGAGGGGGCCACTCTCTCTCTCTCTCTCTCTCTTTCTCCCGGTGGTTGTGTCAGATTCGTGCTATCAAGGACGTCTCGGTGTTCGGTGTGACCACGTTTGCCTCCATCTTCGCCTACATATGGCTGTACATCATCCTCGCCGTCTCCACACCAAACATTGTCGACGTCTGGGAAGGTAGGTGCCTCTGCCTCATCCTTCCACAACGAGTTCTTCTCTCTCAGTGGAGTGGCCGATGTCTCTTTCCTTGTGCAGGTGTGCTGACTTTTTTGTTTTTCCCTTTGCTGGTGCTGATGGCGTATGCTGCTGACCAGGGGTTCTTCACTCGCGTCTTCGGCGGGGTCCATCGCACCCCCATAAATCGCATCGAGGAGCTGGAGTGCGATTTCCAGGGCGTCACTAAGGAAGAAATCGCCAAAATGAGACACACGTGAGTGCGTCTGGATGGTCATCTGTCGACCCCTCTATCAGTCACGTGTGTGTCCTGGTGCCTGTGGTCAGCCTGAGAAGTGAGTACGGCAAGGAGCTGCCGGCCGAGACCATCGCAAAGCTGATCTCGAAGGAGAAGGGCTTCGAGCAGTCGCCCACCAAGAGATCCAGAGCATACTACAGGCACACACACACACACAGGCACACGCACACACACCCCTCCACACGTGTGTATGTTGTCTCCATTGACCTGTTAGATGCAAGGCCGTTCGTGACATCACTGGCGGCAGAGCCCTAACCACCTTGGAAGAGCCGAGCGCGATACCAGAGGAGGCTCCCCCCTCCGGCTCCCCCCAGACGACCCCACGCAGACCCCGCAAGGAGCCCCCCACCCTCGACATCGAGACCGGTGCTGCAGCAGCGGCCGCAGCTGACACAGGGGGCTCGGGTGCGGAGATGGCGGTGAGTGTGCGTGGCAGCGTCACGAGCCCCCACGCCCCCCACACTCCTTTTCGCACCGACCGGTCCTGGAAGTGGGGGTCTTTGTTTGGTTCGCGGGTCGATCTGGACAGCTTCATTTCGATGGAGTTCGGGACGCCACACGCGGCCTTTCTCGAATGCGATGGATTTGCGGCGGTCAGTCAGTCGGCAATGGTCCACACACAGAGACAGAGGGGACAGTGGCGGATGGGATGATCGTATTGGGCCGTTTCGTGTGTGCAGGTCGAGGTGCGGCGTGCTGGTCAGCTCGATGGGAAAGCGACAGTGGCCTACTACACCAAGGATGGGAATGCCAAGGCACCAAAAGACTATGTGGCCGCGGAGGTCAGCAGCACATATGGCAACGCAACGCACAGCCCGGCGCAGCGTCTACACATGTGTGATGTGGGCGGACGGATGGCAGGGCGTGTTGACCTTCGAGCCACGCGAGACCGACAAGATCATCCAAGTCCCCATCATCGACAACAATGTGAGACGCTGAGAAGATCGGTCCATCGCCGATAATGAATGGCGTGTGTGTCTTGTGTCCTATGGGCAGGATTGGGAGCCCGACAAGCGGTTCACAGTGCACCTGAAGGACCCCCAGACGGACCACGACGACTTTGTTGTGCGCACATAATCCATGGGCTCATCTGTGCGGGCAGCCTGCCTCACGACTGCCTGATCCTCTGTGTCCTTTCTGCAGTGTCGTCTGGGCAAGTTGTCCAAGTGCACCGTAACTATCCTCAATGACGACAGCCCGGGGGTGCTCGACTTTGAAAGCGTTAAGCAGACAGACAGAAAGACATCCCACACACACCCCTCCCTCCACACACCTCCTGTGCTGGTGTGTGTGCAGGACACCTATCGTGTGGTGGAGTCCCAGGGGGCCGTCGAGCTCACCGTAGTGCGGCGAAACGGCACAGCTGGCAGAATCACCGTCGAGTGAGTCATGAGACACCCCTCTCTCCATCCATCCATCCATCCATGTGTTGGCAATGCAGCTACATGACCAAAGATGACTCAGCGGTGTCTCCGCAGGACTACATCGGTCAGTCGGGTACGATAGTGTTTGAGCACGAGGAGCACACCAAGAAGATCCGCATAGACGTCGTCAATGACGAAGACTACGAGAAGAACGAACGATTCAGGGTGGGCCTGGCCACATGCCTACCTGATGACATCTGACATCTCTCTCTCTGTGTCTGTGTCTGTCAGGTGATATTGAGCAACCCCTCCCCTGCTGGCGTCAAGTTCAACAAAAAGAGCGACGGCGGTGAGGACCGCGCTGTGGCCGTCGTCTATATCGACGCTGACCCCGCTTCCAAGTGATACGATGCAACCAACACAAAGCAAGATGGATGCCCCTATTGTCCGTCCATCTGCGTCTGTCGGTCCGTGTCTCTCTCTATGTGGGTGTTCAGGGGAGCGGTGGATGCCTTGGCGGGGATGCTGTACGTCAACAAGCACAAGGTGCAGCTCGGCACATCCGACTGGTACGAGCAGATCAAAGCCGCTATATGGGTCAACGGCAGGTCAGCCAAGCCAACCTTTTCTAGCCACACCACACAGCCATCGATCCGATCCCTCTTTCCCCTGCCCTCCCCTGCGCTCCCCGTCTCTCGATGGATGCACTGCACGTGCGCAGCAAGGAGGAGCAGGCAGAGGCCGGGGTGATGTCATGGATCATGCACATAGTCGCCCTGCCGTGGAAGATCGTCTTCGCCATCATCTGCCCGCCCACATCCATCTGGAACGGCTGGGCGTGTTTCTTCCTCGCACTCGCTCTCATCGGGCTCTGCACGGCGCTCATCGGAGACCTGGCGTCGCTGCTGGGATGCGTCTTGGGAAGTGAGCATAAGCGGGCCACCCATCTTGATGCTGCGTCTGTGTTTGTATGTGTCTACGTGTGTGTGCGTCATTGTACATCAGTTCCCGACTCGTTGACCGCCATCACTTTGGTCGCATTGGGCACCAGCCTGCCAGACACCTTTGCATCCAAAATCGCAGCACAGCAGGTAGGTAGGTCCCGACAAGTGTGTGTGCATGTCTCACCTCACCTCACCTCACCTCACCGCCTCTCTCTCCCTGTGACCTGCACTGCATGGCAGGACCCCTACGCTGACGCCTCCATCGGCAACGTCACGGGCTCCAACTCGGTCAATGTGTTCCTCGGCCTGGGCCTCCCCTGGACCATCGGCGCCGTCTACTGGAGCATCCTCGGCCCCACCGACACCTGGAAGAGAAAATACTCCAAAGACTACCAAAAGGACATCATCGACGCCTACCCCGAGGGGGGCTTCGCCGTGCCGCAGAAGGGCCTGGGGTTCAGCGTGCTGGTCTTCACCTGCTGTGCTGTGGTGTGCATTGCTATGCTGGTGGTGAGGAGGGTGTTCTTCAAGGGAGAGCTGGGCGGCCCGCCGAGGCCCCGGTATGTCACAGCACTGTTTGCCGTATCGCTGTGGCTGATCTACATTGTCATCTCTACCCTTGACATCATTGATGTTTTGTGAGGGGAGGAGTGGAGTGGAGTGGCTGGTGGGGGGGTGGTGGATGGATGGGCTGATAGGTCTCGATCTCAAGGGAAGGATGGTAGTCTGTGTGGTCGGTGTACGATAGAGGATGATGGATGGATGGATGGATGGATGGATGCGCCGGGTGACAGTGGGTGGCAAGGGTCGTTCGTTCGTTCGTTCGTTCGTTCGTTCCCCCCAGATGTGCCGCATTCATCCCGTTCACTCATATGGACACGTGTGTGTCTCCTACTGCCATCTTAATGATGGCTACGTGAAATGAATACATGCCCCCCTCCCTCCACCCCCTAATCCATCTCATCGCTGCCCCTCCTCACCCCCTCCAGGACCGTCTTCAGCTGAGTCATCCTCCTCTCGCCATCCAGCATGTCTCCCTGCCCCTCACACACAGGCCTGGGGACGTCCTCCAGGCCCTGGACAATGCCGCCACCTCTGATGACGCCCTCCCTCCTGCCCAGCATCCTCTCCAGCTGCGCGAACTCCTCGGGGAGTGGCAGGCAATCCACCTCGAGGGCTGCCATGACGTCACGCAGCTCGCTGGCCTGTCGCCTGCTGGCAATGTGCTCGACAGCCGTCTCCACGTCGCTGGCGTTCACCCTCTGCCACGATGGCTCCGAGCCGGCAGCCTTGAAGAGGGCGTCGAAGCACTGCGCCTTGGCCCACGCCAGAGACAGCACCTCACCCACCACAGCTGGCTGATACTGATCGTCACTGCCATCGCCACCGACCTCTGCCAGATCCACCAGGATGGGCCTCTTGGGCTGGGGGAAACCCAGTGCAAACAGCAGGGGAGGCACCGGGCCATTGGGTGGTGAGACAGGGGAGGGCAGCGTGTCATCGGTGGTCTTGCGCGCCACGAATCTGCCGCCGAAGCCTCTGTGCGGGGACCGGGATGCGGGTCTTTTGTTGAGTCGTTTGCCACGGGGCGGTACGGGTGGTCGTCTCCTGTGGCTGTGGCGCTGGGGCAGCGGCAGCTCGTCAGACACCTGTGGTCCGTGAAGGGGTATGTACCTGTCTGTGAAGTCGTGCGTTCGTGTCTCTCTTTACCTCGTTTGTATCCTCCCGCTTCCTCGTATCATCATCAACAGGCTGCCTCTGCTCGTGAGGGGCACTCTCGTCATACATGCCATCCTGACACATATGGCCAGAAGATGCCCACGCCAGACCCCATCTGTACTCATCTTACCTGGCCATCCTCCCCTGCCATCCCATCGATGTAACCACCCGGTATGGCCCGCCTGATTCCCAGATTCCTGGCCCACTCAGGGAGGCTGACACCCTTGAGCGGCTCGAGGAAGCGGCGGGAGTGGGGAAGGTTGTCAAAGAAGCGGTAGGAGGACTCCTGAGCGGTGGAGAAGCCGAGGGTCTGATCAATGGGATACATAGACAAAAAGTATGGGGACACACACACAGTGAGGTCTAGTTCCTCTGCCTGTCTTGCCCACCTTGACACTGTAGAGCTTCATCCTGAGCTCCTCTCCGCGCCAAAAGGCCAAACGAAAATCCTGCCCGAGACACAGACAGACAGACAGACAGACAGATGACGCCATTGGTCCACGCGCTCCCAAGAGCCTGACGCCATACCTTGTCTCCCTCGTGGTGATGGACACCCTCCTTGAGCATCACGTACTTCCCCCTGACCACCGCCTCACTCTCAGGTACCACCTTGAGCGTCGTGATGCCCCGCCACGCCCCGCGTCCCCTGCTGTGCAGCACTGCATACCCCATCCACGGCACCACAGCTCCGCCAGCAGGGGCAGAGGCGCTTGCAGCAAGGCCACCCATGCCACGAGGTGCCGGCGGCAGCATCCCATCATCATCACCGCCGCCATCGGTCGGCACGCTGATGGTCCTCTTGTATGCCAGCTGCGCTGCACCGAGCTCCAACATCGGTTGTCCATCCTGATTGCTCTCCGGCGGTGTGCCGTCGTCCGATGGCTGCCGCCCGCTGACAATGCCGCCCCGCTGCACACAAGGGCCGTATGGGTATGCGCCGCGCTGGACCGTCACGGGCTTCATCATGTGGCCGGCGATGCAGCCGCCATGGGGCGGTGGATCAGGCTGCAGATGGAACGCATGCGGGGCATAGGGATGGTCATAGGCTCTCGGTGGAGCGATGGGCGGGAAGGGACAGTGGAAGACGGCGTGCTGCGGAGGTACCTGCGGAAGGCCCGTGGCTGCACTGCTCAAGTCCGTGGATGTCATTGCAAGAATCAATCAGCGCCACCAGGGCCACAAGGACGGGCCCGTCATGCCACGAAACAACACCAGGCGCCAGCAGCGCGTCTGCGAGCTAAGCCGAAAGCAGCGTGAAGTTTAAAAGCCTCAGAAGTACAGCCTCATCAGAAAGCCTGAGAAGGGCGACGATCATCAATGCGTCAGGATTCGGATCCTCCATTCGAACCTATGCCTGAGTCAAGTTCGCGACCACAGCGAGCGAGAAGCCGCGCGAGAAGTCTACTGCTGCTGCTGCCGCTGGTGGAGCTCATCGCATGGGGAGATCTATGCAGCGCCGCAGCGCTCCACTCATTAACAAGTACGCACAGACGTTGACAGGACAAAACGCAGGCGTGGTCTGTGGCGGCATGTGTGTGTCTGATCTGTCTGTCTGTCTGTCTGCAGGGTCTGTTGCTTTCCACCCTTCCTCCCCCTCGCCCCTCTCTGTGCTCTCAAAGCGGCAACAGGCGCAACAAACGCGTCTTGGTTTCAAGCAGCTGTTTCAGCCTTCACTGGCTGCAGCAGGACCATCGCTCAAGCAGCATCCCATTGTCATACTGCCAGGTGCAAAAGGCACACCATCCTATGCACCAGCGCAGACACATGGACAAGCGCGTCCTGTCTGTATGTCCATGTGATGTGCGATGTGTGCAGGCTTTGGCAATGACGCTTTGGACTATACCAATCCCATGAAGATGGGCGAGGATACCTCTTTGAAGGCGGCTCTCGAGCGCCGGGGCTACAATGTCTATGTCGTGCCCATCGCCAGGCGAGAGTGGCTTTCGGTCGCAAGGGACTTTCTTACGAGACGGTTTTGGACGGGTGAGTGCAGACCCGACGGCCCAGGCTTTCGATGGTATCTTGACCGCGTCCGCACCACTGTCGACCGAGTTCGGCGGAGGGATTGGCCGGGGGGAGCTCTTCCGCCGAAGGTGGTGCTCGTGGGCCATAGTGCCGGTGGGTGGCTCGCTCGGGCGGTCATGGGGGACGGCACATGGCGCAACGAGACGGATGAGGAGACTGGCGAGTCGACAGTCGAGTACACCCAAGACATCGTCCAAGGCGTCATCTCATTGGGCTCGCCGCACTACCCGCCTCCTCCGCCCGCACTGGACATGACGAGGGGTGTGCTGACCTATGTTTGCCGCGAGTACCCTGGGACCTTTCACAAGGAGAAAGGGATCTTCTACGTCTCTGTGGTCGGGGATGCGGTGACGGGCGACGTCCAGGCCGATAGGGGCACACTGGAGCGGTTCGCTTTCCAGTCATATGAGGTGGTGTGCGGCAGTGGGGACGGCGTTCGCGGCGATGGGGTGGTGCCGCTGCGGTCGGCCTATCTGGACGGCTCTCGTTGCGTGACAATGTCGGGTGTGTACCACAGCATTAACGTTCCCGACTCGTGGTACGGTTCAGAGAATGTGGTGGACACATGGCTGGCGGCGGCGCAGGACGAGCTGCAGCAGATGACGACCACTGGCAGAGAGGGCGGCAAGGGCAGTGGTGCGGCGGAGAGGAGATGGTGGGAGCTGTTCAGCGATTGGCCTGACAGCCCCACACAGGACGCTGGCAGACTGCAGCTGGGGTGACTGGCCGACTCACTCCGTGGCTGATGAAGGGTGGGTGGACGTGACAGGGTGGGGAGGGTAGTGTAGTGCGTGGGTGGGGTATCTGTGTGTGTGTGTCGATTACAACTTCGCTCAAGTATTTAAGACAGGCCAGTATACAGGGCAGGGCACTGAGACTTTTTGTGTGCCCGTATGCGACTCGTTTCTTCATACAGCTGGCTTTGGCCAATGGTGTGCTCGCCCTCCCTCCTCTTTCCTCCTTCAGTTTGGTGTGATACCGACGTGAGGTGACGCCATTTTTCTGTGTCAAGACGCACACACGCACACCCATCACCCATGACACGTACGTACATGACAAATGTGTAGGTACATGCTGCTGTATCAATCAATGGACACACACGCATCGTGTTGATCTGACTCTCATCAACGCACTCGATTGAGCACCGATCGGTCGCCCTCTGTCTATCGCTTGTTCATTGTATCCGCCTCGTCAGCTCATCCATCCATCACGCCTCGCCAATTGTGCCTCGCGCAAGCGCATAGTGAAACCAAGCGGATTATAGCGTTGAGCTGCCCTCCCTGCCCAGCCGTGGCACCCAATCCCCACCAATCAGCCCCAGCCCCGCATCAAATATTGCGTTGGTGTTGTATAGAGATGACCCACCGTGCCCCATAACATGAACTGCACAATATGAACTGTCATATTGACTGCCATAGGAAAACAGAGGGCAAGGAAGCTATGCCTGTGCTGCTCGCCGTGGAGCCGCTTGCGAAAGGTCATGATGTGCCAGATGGGGTTGGGCAGCTGGGGGGCGACCTCGGCGAGTGCCTTCAAGAGCCACGGCGTTGCAAACAGGATGAGAAACTCCTGAACAGCAAAGCCCCAAACAACCATGGATGCAGGAGAACAGGGTGGGCGGTGTGTTGACATACTGGCAGGGCCCGCTGCAGCACTGCAAACTCAATCAGCTGACGCAGCCACTTGGGAGTGATGCGACTCCAAAGGATTATCTTCTCCTTCAGGGTGAACAAGCGGTTGTCGTCGATGCCCTCGATGTTGCGGTTGGCGTGTATGGCACGATACGCGTCGTAGTCGAGGCGCAGGCAGATCTTTGCCCACGCCGAGTGCACGGCGGGGTCGTTGCACACCTTGACGGGGTCGATGCAGCTGAGTTCCGTCACCACATCGTGAGGCAGGGGGATAAACAAAAAGGGAATGAGGACGAGGAGGGGTGCGGCGAGGCGGACGACGATGAACCACCGCAGCTCGGACAACGTCGGAAGGGTCGCCGAGAGGGGGGCGGCTGTGGGGTACTTGCTGGCACACAACAAGACAAAATATCAGGCAGTTCCGTGCTGTGACGCCACTCACCTCTTGCAGATCTCGCAATGGGTGGGATGCTGGCCTGCATCGGACAGAGAGTGATCTTCGGCGTGCCTTCCCCTCCCGGTGATTCTCACTCAGTGTGCGCCACTCGTCGAGGCAGCTGCGATGAGCGGCACGGCACTTGCACGGCTTCTCGAGTTTTTCTCCCTTCTCGGCGTCCCAGCAAATGAAACAGTTCTCACCTTCCATCACAAGAAACACCTTTCTAGCGTTAGACTCCAGTTATTACGGTGGTGATGATGTAAACACAGACGTTTTGTCGCTGGTGCCATAAGATGACACTTGGGCGGCGCGTTTTCTGACTTTGATCGATGATCCTGCGGGCCCAGCTGCCCTATACATATTCCCTTCTGAGATCGATGTCATGCCATTTTTCAAGACGCACACACAGTACATGGTGCTGCATCCATGGACATTCATGGTGTGTTGATGGCCATACGTGTGTCAGTCATGTTGCTCTGGGTCTCATCAATGCACTCGATTTAGCATTGAGTGTTGGCGCCTCTGTCTGTCTGTCTGTCTGTCTGTCTGTCGCGGGACCATTGGTTGCACCTGCCTTCTCACTGCACCCCCATTTCAGTCATCGCAAGATCCAGCGCGATGCGTATGGCAGTGAGCAGAAGGAACAGCGAGATGCCAGAGATGCCCAACCGGGCCGCATGGTGCCAATAGAGGTAGCACTGCATGTGCGGCACGCCGTGGAACAGCCTGCGAATGGTCATGATGTGCCAGATGGGGTTGGGCAGCTGGGGGGCGACCTCGGCGAGTGCCTTGAAGAGCCACAGCGATGCAAACAGGATGACGAACTCCTGCACGGCACCGACAACATACACAAGCAGCACAAAAGGAAGTGACAATGACGGTGGGTATCCATCCATTGGAATGCGTAAAGACGTACTGGGAGGGCCCATTTGACTGCAAGGTCCATCAGGACGCCGCGCAGTCGCCTGGGCGGGACGAGAGCCCGGCCTCTGATGACCTCCTTGATTCCATGGGCAGTCCCCTTCTCGTATCTGGCATGATACGCGTCGTAGTTGAAGGGAAGGCAGATCTTTGCCCACGGGGAGTGCACGGCCGGGTTGGGGTGGTGCATCAAGTCGTTGCAAATCTTGACGGCGTCGATGCAGCTGAGCTCCGTCGCCACGGGCTGCTCGGGCACGGGAATGTACAGCAGCAGCAACACGCAGATGATGGGGTATGCCAGGCGGAAGACCATGAACCGCAGCACCTCGGACACCGACGGAAGCGCCACGGTGAGCGATGCGACGGTCAGGTACACACTGCAGGAAGGATACAACACACGATGGATGGATGGATGGATTTGTTGTTTTTTTTGTGACGCATCCATCACCTCTGGCAGATCTCACAGCGGGTGGGGTCCTTGCCTGTAGACGGCATACATAAGCCACCGTGTGTGCTCTTTGTTCCATTCAATCCGTCCAGTGGCATTCTTTCTCACTCTGCTTGCGCCACGTGTCGAGGCAGCTGCGGTGCGAGGTACGGCATCTGCACGGCTTCTCGAGTTTGCCTTCGTCCGGGCCGCCCAAACAAATGAAACAGGAAGCGCCCTCCATCCTCAATCCTCAAACTCAGGCGGGGCGCGACCCGTCACCCGTATTTACGCTGCCTTGTAAACGCAGCTCTCCCCAAATGGGCGCCCGCCTTGTAGCTGTAGGCAGCGCCACGTTGACGGCGAGGAAGGCCAGTTCGGATGAGCAGCAGCTTCATGAAGGAGTACAAAGAGCTTCGTGCTGCATTGAAGGAGCGTCCCGTCGCTGAGGAGGCCTTTAGGCAGGTGAGGCTGGGGGATGCACCACGGCAAGAGGGGGGCGTTCATTTCTGCAGCGACTTTGTTTCTGTTTGTGCAGGAGTTGCGGTACTATAAGCGCCTAATGTGCCTTCCGCCTAATGTGCCTCGCGCCGTGGAGGAGCTGAATGGCCAATATGCGGAGCAGGTGATCCCTACGACAGATCCACACGTCAGATCTCTCATCCCTTCCTCTCTCACCCCCCGTTCCATGCTGCTGCAGTTTGCGTCTCTCGAGCGTCGGGCGACGGAGGCCGAGAATGCCATCCGCACATTCATGGCCACAATGCGCGAGGTGAGCAAGCAGCCGTCGGGTTTCCCCCTCCCTCCCAAGGATGAGGGAGACAGCCCGTTGGCGGCACTCGCAGAGTGGACTAGGCGGCTGGCGGCAGACTTCGCAACACCACAGACATCTCTGCCCGTGTCACCACCCGCTGTGGAGGACTAAACCACACACAGACACAAGGGAGAGGAAGGAAGGGGTGGATCTGTCTGTTGGGGAGAGGTGTAGATAGTGATTGAGACGGTGCATACATACATTTCTCGTGGAAACATACACTCATGTTGTTGAAGGAGTGCATGGATACTTGTCGTTCGCTTCGAATGATCCAACTTCGTTGGCCAGACCACACACACCAAGGAAGGCCACACGCCATGCCATGCATCTCTCGCCAGAGAAGAAAGAAGAACAGTGGTCTCGCCGCGCTACTCACATTGAGCAAAACAAAACAACAACCCCTCACAACAAACCGACCTGTCGAAACACCGCCGCCAACACATTCACCTCTGCTCCATCCCTGCATCCCTCTTTGCCTGACCTTCCCCCCCCCTCCCAATATCATTCATCTCGGGGTGACCGAGGGTCTCTGAGATCTGGGCGACAGGGGCGGGTGCGGCCCGCTCGCAGAGGACGACGGCGGCTGGGGGCTTCGCGAGGGCGTGCCCTCATCACCAACAGCCAGCGCAACAGGCGCTTCAATTAGGGGGGCAGACGGCTTGGGATTGGTCGCCTTCCTGCCGGCAATCGTCGGCCGGTGACCTGAGCAGACACAGAACAGAATCGGAGGGATACACACGGCGCTCTGTTCGGTAGATGAGTCGACTGCAGACCTGGTGAGCTTTCGGACATGAGGCTTTGCCTGAGGGTCATTGACGCAATGCTGCGGGCCCTCTTTCGAGACTCTTTGACCTCCTTTATCAGCTGCAGAGACAGAGACACGACAACAGCAGAGGCTATCGGGTCGATCGACATCGAGGCATCGTGCGGACCTGCGGCAGGCTCCATTCATTGATTTTCTTGTTGGCAATGTCGAGAGAGACGCGCCTGGTGCGCATGTTGGACTTGAACTTCTTCAGACTTCAGCCAATGCCAACACCACACACAGCCATGCCGACAGGGGCGCGTTGCGTTGCGTTGCGTTGCTCACGCTCGTTTGACGTTTCTGGAGATGACGTCGTCAGGCAGCGACGCTATCTCTTTCAAGTCTGCGCGAGAGCAAGACGGAAAAGGCACGCTCATTTGTTTTGCCCACGCCTCTCCCACTCACCTCTCTGCATCTCTTGTCTGTGCAGTTCAGTCATCTCCTCTCGATACTCGACTGTCTTGCGGTTCAGCAGGCCTTTCGCATCCTGGGTGAGACGCGGACGGATCGACGGTGTGCGCAGCAGTGGTATGGTAGGCCGGCTTACTACCTCAATGAGTTCCTTCTGCCTCTCCATCCTCGAGAAGATGTCCTCATCTTGCTGCTTTGATGTTCGCAGCCGACCGTCGTCGCGCTCAAGGTCAGATATCCTACGCGAGCACAAGCACCAATCGCAGTGCAGAGTTCCACCATGACACATGCCGTCCGGTCCTCTCACCTTCTCTCAATCTGCGCCAGGCGAGTGAGCAGAGCAAACCATCCGCATTGCTCGAGGAACTTGTTGACCTCCTCCGGTCGATGGCGACTCGCAAACGCCTACAGAGATGAAAAACCATGGTCATATGGCTGTAACATTGCCCTTCCCCCATGAGCTGCTCGTGGGGGCACGGTCCGGGCCCTTACCGCAGTGGCTTCGTTGGTTGTTTTGCGTGTGGTGGACAGCAGGGCGCTGTGCCTCGGCGACATCGTCATGGTCAGCTTGTTGTCTCGAAGGGCAATCTGCCTGGGCAGAATTCGAACGGAGGGCTCGGCAATACTCACCCCAAGTTGAACGAGCCGGCGCCAATCAGCTTGGAAGTGACACGAGAACGCATCACTCAATGTGGAAGACTGTGTCTGTGTGGGTCGGGGAAGGAGCCACGCGCGAGGGGAGGGAAGGGAATTGCGCGAGCTAAGAAGTTGGTTTGTAAACACACTGCAGGACAGAAATTCACATCATTCAGGACCATCAATCACCTCGCCCAATCCACCTCACGTGTCCAAAAACTCGGCTGCAAAACCGCCCAGAACAGACCAGCACAACTGCGATATACCACACGGGGTGAATTCGACACAGACTGCACAGAGAGTCAAGAGTAGCTACTGCATGAGCGCTAGGCATGAAAGAGCACTGCACAGGACGACCAAGACGCTACGTACTGGCGTGCACACACTCCTGTCTCCTCAGCGCGTGTCGACCGTCACATTCCGCACTATGATGTTTTCTTCAACACGAACGCTGAAGACACACACATGAGCCCATTATCACATGCGCCAGCGGCCCACTGTCCGTCCGTCTGTCTGTCTGTCTGTCTTGCCACTCCGTCCGTCCACTCACCTTGGCTGAGGCGCAGGCACGGGCACAGGGACGGGGATGGGGAACACAGGCGCTGGCGGCCCCCAGAAAGGGAAAAAGGATGGGCCGCCGAAGTAGGTCACTGTCGGGGCAGGCTGCACATAGATGTTGGTAGGGCCGGAGGGGGGAGCGGCCGGGGCTGCAGGGGCAGGGGCCGCCGGTGCGGGTGCTGCACCGCCTCCAGGGGCTGCCGGTAAGGGCGTGGTGGCGCTCTTCTTTGGACCGAACGAGTCGCTCTTGAGTAGCTCTTGGTACTTCTGCTCTGCCGACTTGGTGTCCTCCCTCAGCTTCTCGCTTCTGCTGATGCTCGACTCACTCTCAGACGGTGGCCGGCTCGACGAAGAGGGCGTCTTTTCAGCAGATGGCCGCGGAGGGGAAGATGGCGTCCGCGAGGGCTCTGGCGCAGCCGCCTTCGGGCTGACGCTCCGTGCTGCGCCGGAGCTGGCCTTGCCCGCCGAGGCGCTCCGCCCAGCACTTGATGACCGGCCCGCCGACGATCCAGAAGGTCTGCCTCCGCCCCTTCCACCTGTCGCGGCATCAGCAGCTGCGGGAGTCATCGAGAGTCCGCCGAACAGCAGGAACGCCGAAGCCGCCACCTCATCGAATCTGCCGCGTCTGGATGCTGGTGATGCGGGGAGGACGTGCCGCCTTCTCCTCTCTGACGGCTCCACGTTCGCCCGCGTCAGTCCGTTTTGCCTCCTCTGCATCACTTGCCTCTCCATTGGCGAAGGGATGAATGCCGAGTGTGGACGCCTCACAGACATGGAGTGAACGCGGAGCTGCACGAGTGCCAACAGCACGGGGATGAAAGACGCCGCCAGGGACCAGCTCGGCATCTTCATCTCGTTTGGTGGTGCGCTCTCCGCGATGAGATCGAGCTCACAGCTCCTCCAAAAGAGTGAAGAAAATCGCGCCCCTTCTTTCCCTAAGCTCGCACAAGCCGATCGTTTCGCGCAGTGGTTAAGGGTAAGATAGCGACACAGGTGTGGCGTGCTTGTATAGCTTGTGTGGCGCAAGTGCGGTGCGGCCATGGTTCGATGCTTCTCCTTGCACTGAATCATGCATTTCTTCGCTGTTCTGACTGTTCTGAACATACATCAAATACTCCCGATCACACGCTCTGCTCGCTCTCAATGGGTCTTTGTCTGCCTCCATTAACGAAATCACGGCACCAGAGCCCAGCGCACAGATAAAATTCACTGCCTACCGACAAGAGACACTCACACAAACACACCACGCAGACGCACACGAAGATTGTCAGGGATACACTACACCATATGACACACATCGAAGGACAGGATGCAACTCAGCTGTACGATCTCACGCATCACTCACTGCATGTGTGTATAGTTCGGCCGGAGCAGAGATGCCAAGCCTCCTCGTGTCTGGCCAGATGCCAAGCCTCCTCGTGTCTGTGTCTGGCCATCCGGCTCAGCTTCGGGCAGCCAGTCAGGAGTCTCGCCACATAACTTCTCCAGCTTCTTCCTGACGGCACTTGAAATCCTCTGCCCCGCCTTCCACGACACTGGGGAGTCATCGGGCAAGAACACTCCAGCGTGCAACCTCCCCTGCCGCCACTCGCCATCGAATAACACAGTAGCACCGCTATTATCGAAGGCCTTCCCTTTGCCGTGCATCATATCATCGGCCCATTCTCCCTCATAGCAGCATTTGCCGTCTTCCTTCAGCCAATAGGCCGTCCCTTGGCCGCACCGGTTCCCCTCCACCCACTGCCCCTCGTACTCCCAGATCCAGACGCCACCCTGAAGGAGCTGTTCAAGCTTGCCCCTGCCGTGACGCTGGCCGTTGAGAGTTGCACCGGAGTAGCGCTGCCATTTCCCGTCTTGACGCGATGTGTAGTTCGTCATCTCGCCCTGGCCATGCATCTCGCCAGCCACCCACCCGCCCGTGTAGAAACCATAGACGAATGCGATCTGGTGGTAGGTGCCCTGCCCGTCGTGTTGGCCATTCTTCCACTGGCCATCGTACAATACCCTGCCAGCGGCGTGATAGCCGATGCCGTGGCCGTGGCAGTGGTCCTCCTTCCACTGGCCACGATACTTCAGTGGGTTGGGTTTGCTTTGGCTGTTGGTGTCGAAGTAGCTCATGCCGTCACCCTCACGCTTGCCCGCCTTCCATTCTCCGTCATACAGCTTGTGGCAGCCGTCCAGTGTCCGCAGCAGCCCACTGCCATCAGGAACGCCGTCGCAAAGACGGCCATAGTACTCACCGCCCGCCCACACGATGGTGTGAGGGGCGTGAGGGCTGAGTGCCGGCTTGCCTTCGAGGGCCTTGATGCGGTCTTCTGCCTTGTCCAGTCGCTCATTGATGTAGATCTCCGTCTGTCGATTGCGCTCCTCTGCGACCTCCAGCCTTGCCTTGTAATGATCACGCTCAGCCTTCAGCTCATCCCGCTCTTTGGCGAGTTCCTCGACTAGCCGCTGCTGGCAGGAATCCAGCTGTCTTGTCAGCTCCTCCATTTAGTTTGTCTCTGGTAAGCTTGGGGAAAGACCAGGGGGAAAGGCAGCAGGTTCGTCGGCAGATGGGGTGAGAGATATGAAAGCCAAAGAAAGAAACGTCGGTTGTGTTGAGTCAGGTTGCTTCATCGCGGCATACCTTTCGCTATTGGCCGTTTCTCAGCTTGCGAAGGCCTAGGGTGCTTTCACGAAACCGCTACTGCTGGGAGTCCGGACCAGTATGTCGGGTGTGCGTCTGGAGGACATCACCTTTGAGGCGGTGGATGAGTGCGAGGACCCTCGAAAACTCAAGACCTGGATCAAGGCGCTCGAGGACGACGGCAGCGTCTACACGGACCTGCTCAAGAAATGCCGCATCAAACTCGGAGATCTGGACCCTACCTGCACCAAAACGGTGACCAATAACTTCATGGATGCGTCCATCCACAGGCAGATGTGCATATGTGATGCTCCGTGTCATGCATGCGTCAGTTCGCCGAGCCTACTCGAGAGGAGATTGCGGCGGCCACCGAGGACATCTACCAATGGACAGAGGAGAGCAAGAGGAATTTCGCCGAGCAGACCAGATCTCACTTGTCCATCGACGCTGCATTTCAGGTACCCCCACAGACAGACAGACAGCCTTCACCCTCCTCTGCTGTGTGTATCGTCACAGGACCGACCGCCGCCCCGGGCGTCACACTTGACGACGACCCGGCCGGCGAGGGAACCGACAGACGACCAACGGGAAGCCGAGGCGACGGATGAGGGCGCTGCTGGTGCTGGCGGCGGTGGGCGGAAGGGCGGCGCGGCGGCCAAGCCGATGGCTCGCGACGGCAAGACCATCAAGGACTACTATGCCGCATGGGACAAATTCGATGTGAGCTGATGTGGGCTGAATGAAGAGAATGAATGGATGGATGGAGCGTGTGTGGTGTTTTGGTGGACAGGTGGAGGCACACGAGGATGCGTCAAAGGAAGCCGCAGGCCACAGCGACGTGCTCAATGGCACCAAATCGGAGGTACCGATATCGGCCGGGGCGATGGATCAGTGGCTGCGCCGCGCACACCACACCTGTGTTTCGTGTGTGAGTTTTCAGGTTTGCAATCCGATTCCCAGTCAGTATCAGCATCTGTCAGAGAGGGACCGGAAGCTCACGGCCGAGCATGAGCGGAAGAAGGGCAACGAGGCCTTCAAAGCTGGAGACCTTGACGTGAGCAACAGAGAAGCGAACTCACCTGACCTGACAGGCGCTTCCTGTCTGTCTGTCTGTCTGTCTGTCTGCAGGAGGCGGCTGAGTGCTACGGCAGGTCGCTGAGTCTCGACAAGGAGTCCGACAACGCCGCTGCCGCATTCTGCAACCGAGCGCTCGTCTACCTCAAGTGAGACAGACAGACCGATACACATGGCGGTCTGACTCGCTGGATTCACGCGTGTGGGCGTGTGCCTGTGTGCAGGCAGAAGAAGGCTCCTGAGGCGCTGGAGGACTGCCAGAGCGCACTCGCCATCGACCCCACATACACCAAGGCCATGCACAGGCGGTGAGCCGACAAAGGCCAGCCAGAAGAACCCACAAAAGAGGCCCGATGTGGTGTGCTGTATGTGCGGTGTGGTGTGTTGTATGTCAGTGGCAAGGCCCGGATGTTGCTAGGTCTATATGGCGATGCGGTGAAGGATTTCCGCAAGGCGCTCGACCGTGAGCCCAACCTCAAGGAGCTCAAGGAAGACCTCGACGCCGCGCAAAAGGTGACGACAACACCCAAATGCAGACGGAAGAGAGAGCGAGGAAACCATACCCGTGTTGTTGGCTGCAGGCGCTGGAGCGGCAGAAAAAGGGCGAAGAGCAGGCACCCGAGCAGTCACCCAAGGAGAGGGAGAGGGAGAGGGAGAGGGAGAGGGGCGGGGCCAGCCTGAAGCCCATCCCTCCCACCAGCAACGGCAGCAGCACGAGCAAGAGCAAGGGAATGCACGACGTGGCCATCCCCAGAGGCAGCGAAGAGCAGGGCGAAGGGGAGAGCGACTTCTTCCCCGAGGGCCTCAAGATGCCGTCGGCTGCACCCAGCACCACCACCGCATACCACGACAACAGGTGAGCGAGATGATATGGTGCGAGACCCTTCATGCCGTGGGTGTCGATGGATATCTGCGTGTCTGTCTGTTTGCACACCAACAGGGTCATGATAGAGGAGATATACGAGGAAGACGACGCCGACAGGGCACGGCGGCAGAGCAAAGCCAAACCACCAACACCAGCACCAGCACCGCCCCCGGCAGCACCAGTCCCCCAGCCACAGCCACCGCAGCCACCAGTCGATGCAGCTCCCTCATCCACCACCACCACTACCAAACCGGGCAGCAAGCGCATGGTCATTGTCGAGGACGAAACCGACAGCGACACAGAAGAGCAAGACCAACACACCCAACGGCAGCAGCAGCAGCAGCAACAACAACCAGCAGTGGACGCGCGAGCAGAGACCACCATGGTGAATGGTGCAGAGAGAGAGGAGGAGGGTTCTGGCCGCGTGTCAGCGACGCTTGAGGGGCTCGCTGAGGGCAAGAACAAGGGTAACGAGGCCTTCATGCGGGGCAACATCGACGAGGCCGTTCAGTGGTTCTCTGAATGCATCGACCTGTGCGAGTAAGGGAGTGGGTGGGCAGAGTGGAGGCGGGCAACCATCACAACACGTCACACACATGACCACGCCCTTCCCCTCTCCTCATCAGGGCGGGCAAAGTGCCGGGCGTCGAGGAACCCACCACCGCCCCCACGAGCCCTCCTGTGTCTGAGGGTACGAAGCTCTTGTCCTTTCTCTACAGCAACCGGTCGCAGGCCTTCCTGAAGCTGGAGCGGTGGGAGGATGCCGAACGGGACGGCCGCAGGGCCTTCGAGGTCAATCCCGACAACATCAAGGCCGCATACAAGTGAGGCAGGCAGGCAGGCAGGCAGGAATCTGATGCAGCGCATCATGGGTGCGAGTATATGCGTGTGTTTGTATGGTGTCAGGTGTGCCGTTGCGATGAGCCGCCAAGGTGCGGGGAAGCTCGACGAGGCCCTCAAGACAGTAAGCAGTCCGCCTGTCGGCCGCCGAGGGATGTGTGGATGGATGGATTGTTCATGTGTGTCACACGCCCAGGTTCAGACAGTGGTAGACTACCACGTGGCCAGGAAGGTCGAGAGCAGGGAGGCCGTCGAGCTCAAAGCCAACATACTCAAACAAATCGTCGAGCAGCAGGACAAACGCAGGGCAGTCTCGGCCAGGACACAGGTCTCCACCGAACAGACCTCTGTCCAGCTGTGACATTGATGCTCACGTGTCTATGTGTGTGTGCTCCCGTGTGCGTGTGCAGGCCACTAGTGCGCTTCGTTTGTCCAAGCTGGCGGTCCCTCCTGTGCCCCCGAACCCCCCACGGAGCGCATACGAGCTGCAGCGAGTGTGGAACTCACTCAAGTGAATAAACGCACTAATATGGTTCCATCCATCCATCCATCCATGTTGACAGGCACCATCCCGATGAGCAGGCCCGGTATCTGCGGCAGCGCGTCACGCCTGATGCCATCAAAAGGGTAGGTAGCTTATAACACGCGGACGCACCATCCATCCACCCACCGTGTCTGCTATGCTTCCTCCCTCCCTCCCTCCCTCCGTCGGTCGGTCAGGCGTTTGTCAAGTCGTCGATCGAGCCCGACCTGCTCGCCGAAATCCTCAAGCGGATGACAGAGGACACAGAGAGGACAGAGGGGGAGAAGATGACACACGAGCAGGTGGCGGGGCTCCTCGACGCCCTACTCAGCACTTACCAGGTCTCAGACAGACAGCCACACACAAACACACACACACACGGACGTGTGCTGACCTCCTGTGTTGTGTGTGCGTGTGTGTGCAGGCGTCAGTTCAGTTTAAGATGCTGAGTTCGTCGGAGCTGGGTCACTTCCGGTCGCTGCTCACACGCCTGGGCGACTCGCAAGTGGCCAGATCGGTGGAGGGCAAGGCCGCACACATGGGCATAGCCGCCACGGCCATCGCCGGCCGGTAGCTAGTCTCTCTGGATGGATCGTTTCTCGTGTGTGTATGTGTGTATGTGTGTATGTCTTTGTGTAGCTGCACGTCCACATGAGGGAGGGTGGCCTTATGTGTGTGTCTGTGTTGTGACTAGTGTGCGTAGCGTTTGTGTGTGGACGGACCATCGGCGATATCACTGACTGGCCAACACAGTGGTGGACTGGTTCAACATACCTACCTACACAGAGCTCATCTTGTCATGCACACGCACGTGTCTACAAGCGAAGCGAATTGCAGTCTCTCATACACACATTCCCACAGACACACAACTCCGGCTGTGTGTGTGTGGGTGACGCATCGAGAGCTCGCGACAGTTCATCAGCGGCGCTGCCACGCACCCCTCCGCTCTCCTGGTAAAGGAGCTGAAGGGAACATGTCACCCCCGCTGATGAAGCGACACGAACTCGCACCACGACACAAGCAGCACACACGCTCAGTGGCACCAATCTCGCCTCACAAATACACTCGCTCGCTCACTCATTCGTTCTCGCAACACAAGACAACCCATAAATGCAGCCGTGGCAGCACCATCCATTCATTCATCAATCAATCAACCAACCAAAAGCCACCAGCCAACCGCACCCGCCCCCAACTCGCCATCACTCGCCTCGTCTCGTCTCGCAGACCGACCGACAGACACAGCCATGCCCGCATTTCGACATGGATGGATCGACGGAATCGGCACGTCTATCTCCCCGTTGCCGACGGTGGAGTTATAGGATCATCGAGCGCCAGGTCCTCGTCCCCCCACACCACTGCGTCGTCATCCGCGTCCTCGCAGCCCAGCAGCGTCTTGACTGACGTCCTCTTCTTCCGAGTCGCATCCGCCCGCAGCGGCGCCTTGTACGTCGGCATCATCCCCAGCTCCGCAAAGATGTCCTGGCTGCCACTGCCGCTGCCGCTGCCGCCGCGTGACGGTGCCTTGCCACCAGTGGGCATCTTGGTCCTGGGGGGTGTGACACTCTTGTCGGTCGGCGGCTCGTGGTGCACGCCATTGAGGACGGCAGGTTCGCCGCCGGCCGAGCTGCGGCAGCTGCTGGACTGGCTCGTGGCGGCGGTGCTGGCCGTGCCGTCGTGAGGGGAAGGCCCGGCCCTGTCGGATGCATTGGCACCACCCGGTGCGGCACTACTTGACGCTGGTTGCGAGGGGGAGGGGTTGGACAGCGGTTTGGCGTCATTGTCCCAGTCGTCGAAGAAGCTCTCGTCGTCCATGTCGTCGTCCCAGTCCATGTTGGGACGCACCGGCGAGTACTCGCTGTTGGCCGGACGGCGCGAACGTGTCAGGAAGGCCAGGCAGCGGAAAGGACGGCAGTGGCCGAACAGGCTCTGCATCGATGGGATGATGACAAGCTTGACCAAGGGAAAAGGAAAAAGGAGGAAGGGAAAGGAAGCGATGGCGGTGAGCGAGAGATGCGATCAGTAGGTAGGACGTCCTCAGGTCCGCAGCGATGAGCGATGGCGAACGGAAACCTCCATAGTTGCGACAAATTGAGCTTGACCGGTAGATGACTGATCACAGACGTCCCTGAGAAGCCAGTCTGCCCTCTTTTGATTCGGGAAAGACTGCGAGCTCAGATCTTGCAACCCTATCTGCGAGCTTGGAGTTTTCCCGTGCTTACAAAGCCTCTCTGGCTGGTGAGGAGGAGCGTCTGCATGAGGATCTGGCGAATCTCTGAAGCTCTACTCATTGTTCCCATCGTCAGCATGTTCTGCCGCTGCCAGGCCTTCCTCGTCGCTCTGATGAAGCGGGAGGTCTATCCATACCGCCGAGAGCTCGCTTGGCGCCGCCTGATCCCCCCAAATGCCGGCAACCGCCGACAGAGCACAAGGGCAAGACGGCTCGTTCGTCAGCATGCGCTGCCGCAGGCCGGTTCTGCTGTCCCAGAGGCCGCAAACGCCACAGCTTTCACCTCGTCGCTTCTTGACCGTGTAGAGAGCCGTCTTCGCGACGACTGCCGGGTTCTTGATGGCGCTTTCCTGCTCGTCTCATGCAGCGGCGGAGTCGACTCCGTGGCCCTGCTGCACCTCCTGCACAGACTGAGGGGGCGTTTCGACCCTCCTCTGCGTCTGGAGGCCATCCACTTCGACCACCGCATCCGCAATGAGTCGGCAGAGGACGCCGCCTTCGTCTGTGACCTCGCCAAATCACTGGGGATCAACGCGACTGTGGAGGTGTTGTCCGATGCAGAGCGGTCAACATTGACGAGTGGCGTGCAGGAGAAGGCTCGACGGTGGCGGCGTGAGAGGTCGCGGGAGGTTCTGATGGAGCGGCTTTCGGTAGATCCGGATGCTGGTGGATGCAGGATTGGTAGTGTGGTGCTGGGCCACCAGGCGGACGACCAGGTGGAGACGGTGATCATGAAGATGCTCAGAGGGGCGCATATCAGCAACCTCAGGTGTGTGAGATCGATCGAGTCTGCGATGGTTTTGCTATGCTGTGGTTGTTCGTTGGTTCGTTCATTCAGGGCCATGGCATTCCAAGATGCGGCCGAAGAGGTGGAGTTGCCGCTTTGGATGATCACGTCTTTCATCCGGCCCCTCCTTGAGATCCCCAAGAGGGACCTGCAACGATTTCTAGAGCACCACAACCTCACTTGGCGGGACGACCCGTCCAACAACGAGCCAAAGTACCGGCGCAACCAGGTGCGGCTGCTGCTCATACCACTCCTGGAGAGGCTAGTCATCCCTTCTCTCGACGACACAACATCACCACGAACGGATGACACTCGTGGCTTCGACGTGCTCCTCCGGCGGATCGGCGCTCTGAGCCGGCAGAGTGGTCAGCTGCGGGAGCTGCTCGACAAGGAGGCGGTGGAGTGGGAGAAGGAGTACCTCGATTGGGACCAGGTGTGGCTGCCCATGGAGGACTGGCTCGACATCGGCTCAGACATGCTCAGGATGGTACGGTATCTCACACATAACGTTCACATCAGACATGGCGGCTTGCCTTCCTTCATTGGCAGGAAGTGCTGTACCGGCATTTGCGTCGATCCACCGGCAGGAGCTGCGACTACACTGTGCTGGAGCAGCTCGCAGCCAAGGTAAAGCACAGCCAGTGGGCCACACCGACGAGAATGGGGCCCCAGGTGTGGCGGTTCGCCCTGCCGGGCCAGTGGGAGGCGGAGCACAAAGGAACGGCCCTGCGCGTGAGGAAGAGTGGCGACCGGCCTCATGGGTATGACACATTCAGCCTTGGGAGGGATGGTCAGGAGGTGGAGCTCCTGGTCGATAGGGCCATGGAAGTCGAGACGGAGGTTAAAAAGTGGTACCCACACAAACACACACACACACTGCTATGTATGTCGATTCTCTCGTCAATGCTTCCTTCTGGACATGTGTGTATGGTATGCAGGCCGCGACTTACACCCGACTTACAGGCGACGTATGGTATGCAACCCATGGTGATCGGCAAAGTGGGAATCAAACAGAGGCGCATGAGCACGCTCATCTGGATCAATCCCCTGCGGCACCCACGCAAAGGGTCACCTTGGGTAGACGTCCCAATTCAGCCCCCACACCAGCTCATGGTGCGCTACCCCCGCCCTGGCGACCGGTTCCAAGCCACGTCTAAGGACAAACCTGTCAGGCTGAAGGACTTCCTCAAAAAAGAGGTGGATTTCCATCTGCGAGACGAGACGCCGCTGGTGGTGGTGCGTGGGGAGGATGGGGCAGAGGAGGTGCTGGCTGTGTTAAAGGGCGACTTGAGGGGGAGGGAGACGGGTGCCTGGAGGGGTGGGTGGGAGACGAGCAGTCGAGGGCGGCTGATGCAGACGAAGAAGGAGATGAAGACTGCGATGGGCGCGGGGAGCTATCTGGTGCGTGTGTGGTACATGGGTGAGAAAAAGCTTCGAGTGGAGTGGCTGGAGTGTACTGAGGAAAATTTCAGACAAGCGATTTTGGTGGAGGAGAAGGATTAATTAGGTACAGAGGCCAATAATCGATGTGGATGAAGCGGGGGAGGATGGATAGATGTCCACTGAGCGCGCACACACGCCCACACGCACATGCCATGGAGAGAGAGAGGATGCACCAAATCCACCACCACATCAACCCACGCCCACACACACACACGGTCATTGAATGACTTTGACGTAACACACCTGTGACTGACCAAGGAAGTAGGTACGCATGTGTCTGTCTGTCTGTCTGTATAAGGAAGGAGGGACATACATATGCTCACAAAAAAGGGAAAGAGCATGAGCCAGCCATGCATGAAGCATGAAGCATGAAGCATGCTGGCTGGTTCACACCTCTCTGACGGAACCAGCAGTCTCACTCACTCGGGCATAATTCGGTCAGTCGGTGTGTGTATGCGTGTGTGAGGCACCTGTCCGTCCATCTCACATACACAGACATACACGCACATTCACACACACACACACACACACGTACGTGTACACAAAAAAGGTAACAAGCGTTGGTTGATAAAGGCACTCATCACACCGCTCGTTCATTGGTTCACACACCCACGCACTGCACTCAGCACGCACCACGCACTAGCAGCGAGATACATACGTCTGTGGATAAACTACACCGCCATCTTCATACCATCTTCATCTCACCTCACGGTCATTGACAGGGCCGCGCTGGTCGGCCGGCTGGTCGATTGCTTGCTCGACCCGCCGCACCGCGCCGCGCCGCACCTCCCGAAAATGCTCTCACTCGCCGCACGCAACCCACCCCACCCCACCCCGCCCCACCCAGAAGCTTCATTCTCAGCCGCTAAAGCTGCTCCCGTGCTATGCTATTTGTCTCCCACTGGCGGCCATGCCCTGCCCTTGCGCCCATCTCAGCTCCGCCATGGCCACGAGATTGCACACCCGATGGCCACATCGAGTGCCAATCACATCGCCACCTCGGAAGCGAGAGGGTACGCACAGCTGTGCCATGCCATGCATGCCAGCGGCTGAAGGGAAAAAGACACTCACTGTCCCCCGCCCCCCCGTGAAGTCACTCTCACCGCTCGGCTCGCGCCACTGACACGACAGACTTCCTCCCCGCCCCTCTCACCCCAGGCCAACGACCTGCTCCGTCCAATAGAAGTGCACTCTGCCCGCCTCCCTCCCTCCCTGTCTGCCTGCGATAAAAGACACGGACCGAATGGAATGGAATGGAACGGAATGGACCCGCCTCATGCCATCCATATGAGTGGGCATGAAGGAATGAATTCACACAGTAAGGTGTGTGTGTGCGATGGATGTCGTGTGTGTCTACTGGACGGGTGGGTGGGTGGGTGGACGGATGGCTGCAAGCATACACGCAGCCGGCGACTGACTGAGCTCCGCTCCCCACATGACGTCAAAGACGTCACAGGAGCAGCTCGAGGAGCTCGGCCTTCTCCTCACTCAGCCGCTGCTTCGCCAGCCAATTGCCGAAGAGCGACGGATCTATCTCGCACTCGCCCACACACCTGACAGACACCAAACCAAGAAAACAACCCGATCACGAAACCCATAGCCTCTCGCCCTCCGATGTCTGTCGGCCTACTTGAAGAATCTGTCCTCATCGAACGACATGGCGGCGTCGTCAGCTCTTGACGGCACCTGGATGTCGCCCACGCCCCGCGGTGTGGAGACGCCGCCCTGCGATGGATCCCAGTTGTTGGCCGTGGGGTTGAGCAGCCGGATGCAGCCCTCGAACGACGCCGTCAGCAGGGAATGCTCCTTGTAGCGGAGGAAACCCAATGCCGTCTGGTAAGCGTACGGCTGCACCAACAAAAAGAGAGAGAGAGAGGGAGAAGAGGGGTGTGCATGCTCATGCTTGTCCGGCGGTTGTGTGTACCTCTCCTTTGTGTGTACCTCTCCTTTGAGCAGCACGGCGTCCCACACTCGGCAGACGGTTCGCAGTGGGAGCACTGACGAGAAGAGCGTGAGGAGCCACGGCATCAGGAATAGGTCAGGAGTCACATCCAGCGCCTGGAAGTGACTCCACAGCAAAGGCAGACGCTCCTGAAAGACAGACTGAACACACACACACACACACACACACAGAGGCGTCAAGATGAAGTCACGCTTGTATGTGTCGAGGTGCATCGGCGGAACGGACCTCGAAAAAGTCGAATCGCATCTTGACGCGCCTTCGGCTGCTCTCCTGCGTGGCCATGAAGAAGTCCATAAAGTGGTGGCTCTGGATCAGGCTCACGAAGCCGCGGAACGCCTCGGCCGGCTGCAGATGGTACAGCAGCATGGCGGCCAGGTGCCCCATCCCCTGGACGTACCCCACATCGGGCCGGAAGATGATGAAGGCCTCCATCAGCTCGACCAGCGCCTGGTGGATCTTCATCTCCGACACCCCTGGGGGCAACATCGCCGGCGGCGGCTCCACGCCGACACCGATCGTCGGAGGCAGCTGCGGCGAGATCGATATCATTGCACGGGGGCTCATGGTCGCCCCGCCAGCTGTGGTGCCGGCTGGCCGAGTGGGGAGCGGGTGGAAGGACCCTTGGCCAACGGGGAGGTGCTGGAGGTGTGGGAGGATGGATGGGAGGTCGCTGTAGAAGCGCTCGAAGTGGTGCCGGGCCGGGGGGAGGAAGGGGTCCCTCTCTGCCGCTGCGTCGGGTTTCCTGTTGTTCGATGTCACCTGCACACAAGTGACGTGACCGATCAATGAAGGGGACTCATGAGATGGATGGGTTTACCTGTGCTCTGAGGCAGTAGTAGAGGTCCAGGCTGACGGCCTTGTCGTCGCCAATGGCCAGCGGCCACAGCTTGGGCCTCAGCTCCTCAGGCAGCCCCTCCAGCCACAGATCCACCAGCCGCGGCGATCGCGCCGTCTCGTAACGCCGGCCACGGTCCAAACTAAACGTGAACACCGACACCGACTGCACTGGCGGACACAGACCCTTTCCGCCCCCCTTGAGCATCGGCACGCCAGAGCCCTTCCCCCCACCCCCAGGCACCAGAGCGCCCCTCAGTGGCCGGCCTGGAGACTTTGATCGGCGGCCGCATCGGCTCTCAGAGTCGCTGTTGGGCGAGTCGGTCGAGCGTGTGGTGACGAAGGCCGTCTTGGGGTAGCTGCTGCGCGGAGTCTTGCCTCCGAGCCTGCCGCCGAAGCAGCCAATGTCGACCCACTGCGTCGTGTTGGTGTTGGTGTCAGTGCCGCTGGCCGTGGCGGACGCCGCTGCTGCCGATGAGCGGGGATTGGTAGTGGGCGTGGGGTAGCGGGTGACGAGGGAGGAGAGGGAGGGGAGGGGGGAGGGGTCGGTGGCCACAGCGACTGCCCCGCAGTTCCAGTAGGAATCCCAGGACGGCAGGATCTTCTCCTTCCAAACTTTGGTCCGCTGCAGAAGCGCCTCCTGCGCACACCAAGAGCCGCAACAAACACACACCACACAAGCCGTGTGCATGTCGTGTGTGTGTGTGTGTGTCGGGGGGGTATGTGTACCTCTCGCTTCTTTTCCTCGGCGTACAGGATCTGGGTGGGTTTGTCGCGCACTTTGTCCTCCTGCCGGCGGGCGATCGCCTGGCTGAAGAAGGTCACCCACACCTACACACAACCACACACACACACACACAACCACACACAACCACACTCTGTCTGTCGCATTAGGTCGTGTCACCCCCCCCCCCCCCCCCCCCCCCCCCCCCCCCCCCCATCTCACACACCTGCATGGGGGGGTCGATCGCATTCGGTGCGCAGAGGTCGAGTGTCCGCTGGTCGGTGTGGAGTGAGAAGCACCTGGCGTCCTGCTCGTCGGGGATGTGGAAGCGACGGAACACCGGCGACCGCTGCACACAAACAAACAAGGGGAGCGGAGGGGAGCGGAGGGGAGCGGAGGGGAGCGGAGGGGAGGGGTGAGAGCGCGTGACTCTTGGCGATGGCGAGCGAACGGCCTCTTTCTTACATGCGATCCCACGGTGAAGTCGATGACGTCGTCGAGGTGCATCTCGCGCGGCCTCTGGTCGGTCTCGCTGCTGCTCCAGAACACGCGAGACTCATCCTGCCCGGCACCACACACATCATGTGCACGACCTCCTCCCTCCCTCCCTCCCTCCCTCCCAGCTCGCTCAAGCTCACCTCTGAGATCCTGACCCATCTGACTTTGACCCGTCCGCTCCTGCAGTACTTGAAGAAGCGGCTGCCCTTCTTGAGGCCGTCCACGTCGTGATGCAGACCGCTCATGCGCAGGTTGACAGACGTCGCCGCGCGGATGATCCGGGGGTCCCGCGACAGACGATTGTACACCTGACACACACACCCCAGCACCACACGGATGGATGGAGGGATGGATGGATGGATGTGTGAGGCTCCCCACGTACTTTGTCGGTTTTGGTGAGTGCGAGCCGGAACTGCTCGCCCACCACCCGCTCGTAGATCTGCGAGAGCGCCCGCTTGCCGAGCTTCGTCTGGCCGGCCACCGACTTCAGAAAGTCCTCCTTAGTCATCTTCCGAGTCACCTACACACACACACAGACGAAAGATGGCAGGTGCGCGCAACGGTGTGGCGGGGCGGGGCGGGGCGGGGCGGGGCGCGCTGATTACGTGTTCGTTGTGTGCGTCGGTGTGCAGCATCAGTATGGCGTATGACATGAAGTGGGCCTCGTCGGGCGTCATGTCTGCCTCGCGGTTGTCCTTGACGAAGCGCACGGCGAACTGCTGAAGGATGCGATACAGCTGCTGAGCCTCACTGACAGAACAAACAGCACTCAGAGAGAGAGGGAGAGAGGCCAGGCCCATTGAGCGAGCGAGTCGTCTGTGTGCGTCAGTCAGGTCAGTCAGGTGTGGGCATGCCCACCCACCCAGCGGGCTTGAATCTCGTGAGGAAGTATCTGAGTGCCTCGTCGATGGAGAGCTCCTTGAAGTCGAAGAACTGGACGAAACACGCGAGCACCGCCATGTTGAAGGCGCCCTCGCGACCGATGAAGTCGCCAACCTGACACAATACACACGCACACACACACACAGGTCGTAGATCTGTGTCCACTCTTTGTCTGTCTTTCTGTGGACCCTCGGTCGGCGACTCACTTTGTGCTTGTCGAGTCCCGGCGTTTCGAACAGAAAGTGCGCGAACGCCACGGCATCGTCCTTGTCGATGCGATCGTGGCGGGCCAGGAAGTCTATCGTCGCGCCAGCACCCAAACTGAGGCAGCCACACACACACATACCCACACACACCCACACACAGCAGCAGCAGCAGCAGCAAGAGATGTGTGGGCGTGGTGAGTGCACGAGGGCGACGGGGCTGCACCACTCACTCCTTCACTCACCGGTTGAAAGTGAAGACGGCGTGTTCGATGATGCTCCTCTCTGCGATCTTCTCCTTGATCTCGTCCATGCTCAGCACACCCATCCCTCCACTCGGCGATGGCGACCGACCCCGGCTGCCCACCCGCCGCCCCACACCGCCAGTCGCGCCTGCACCCTTCACCACCTCCGTGTCACTAGTAGCTGCCACACTCTCGGGCTGCGACGCGGTCTCCTTCACAGCACTGGCGGCGCCGCCTGCCGTCATTGAATAGAGCGCCATGGTGCGGCCGGGCCCGCCCTCGCCGCCCATTGTGTTGGTGCTACTAAGGGGGATGCTGAGGGGGAAGACTGTGGTGGTGGCGGTGTTGGGGCGGTCGGCGGGGAGCATTGGGACTCGAGAGGTGAGGGAGGCCTCTGAGGGGTCGACGGATGTGTCGTATGCAGCGGGGGGTGAGAGGGGGGAGGGGAGGGGGACCGCCTGAGGGGGCGCTTTGGACGGTGAGGTTGGCCTGGACCGCTCCTTCAGCGCCTCAACTGCAGTCAGTCAAATCCACACACCGAATCCATGCAGACGCGTCAATGCAATGCAGGTGGGTGCCATTATGGCATGTGTGTGTTGAAGGAAACGTACGGGCTTCGTTTGAGGAGTTGCGGACGATCTCTGCCGCTTCACTCGCCGCAAGCAAGGACTCGCCCGCCATCTGGTGGCCCTCATCGTCCGCACCGGTCGCTCCCAAGCCATTCGCCACACCGACACCCATCACCACGTCCACCTCAAACGACGAGCTGTGCCTGCGAACGACCGGCGGCGCGCCGTCGCCCTTGTTCTCCTTGGCCTTGCCGCTGCCCCTCTCCACGCCGGGCGGGTGCTGCTCGAGCGACGACACACTCACCGACCGCCTGTGAATCGGCGGCGTGAAAGATCTGGGCCTCGCCCTGCCCAGCGATGGGGCGTTGGAGCGCTCTGGCGGTGGGCTGGACAGCGGCGCATAGGACGCCTCGCCAGACGGGCCAGAGAGAAGAAGGTTGTCGGTGTCCGAGTCGTATGGTGTGCGCGAGCGGGGTGTGGATCTGCCAGATGTGCCGCCACCATTGGAGCCGCCGCCTTGGATGACGCGCGACGAGGCGGCGTCACGGTCCTCCTCGAGAAGGGCCGGCTCGTTCTGCTTGCGTGTGGAGGGAAGGGTGGGCGAGAGGGTGGTGCGCGAACGTCCTGGCGAGATGTTGGACTGCGACTTGGCAAGCTTCTGCACACAGCGGACACAACAGCACAGCACAGCACAGCACAGCGCATACCATACAGAGCGTCAGATCAGAGAATCGCTGACCTGTTCTCCTGCGAGTTGGCGGTACATTTGCTTCTGCGAGAGGGCTGAGGTGAAGCTCCCTTCCTTAGGGTGCTCCCCGTACGTGAAACCGCTCTCAGTGGCGTGCGTCAAGCCTACTCATGGGGTCAAACCCATAACCTACCGACGGACCATGGTCAAAGCGAAGCAGGCCCAGCTCACTGACTCGAACGGCTTCCCCGTGGGCTACGGTACGCTTGTCGGATCAAGGACCCTTCTCTCAGCCGCTCACGTGGTGTCGGCTGCAGTGAAAGCCAACATTGACGGAGCCGAATTCGAGATACAGAGCCGCTTTATCCTGCCGCATTATGTGCGCCACGGGCATCCTTCCGCGGCTCTCGTCGTCCTGACGAGAGATGCTGTGCCGGAGCTGACCCCGCCCGTCGCTATCGCGACGAACATCGGCCCTCGCGAGCGACTGGAGAACGACATCGCCGTCCACACAAGGGATTTCGGCGGTCAGGTGGTCAAGGTGGAAGTCGGCGATGTCGGCGAGAGCAAGCAGCCGGTGAGCATCCCGATCTGGCTTCAGCTGATGGGCACCAGTTCCCAAGAAGGAGACTCGGGAAGCTATTTGGTGCTGGCTGGGAAGGAGGGGCAGGGGGTGGAGCGAGTGGCGGCCGTCATCCATGGCCTCACACCTCATCGAGCTCAACCCAGACGTGCAAGTCGGGCACCAACACATCATCCACGGCCGTTCTTCTACGTGTGCCCATTGGACTGCCTCAAGACGCCCGGGCTGTTTCACATGGTTCCGCCAGCCATCCTGCCCCTTCTAGAGCAACTCGAATCGTTCCCTCCGACCTTTTTCGATGGCAGCTGGGTCGGCTTGACGATTGGCGATTGGCTCACGCAGTTCGAGGAGGAAGACAAAGTGAGGGGCGCGTGTGTGGGGACTTTCTTTTGTGTGTCACCAAGTGTGTGGACCCGTTTGTTATCGCTTTGTTTGCTTTTTATGTGCAGCAGCCATTGCGGAGCCTGCCAGTCACCCTCCAGGTGCAGCCGGTGCAGCCGCCGCTACAAATGGGAGTGAATTCGAGAAGACCTCAAGTACGAGAAAGAGGCATGCATGTGTATGGCGAAAGAATGCACTTGTAAGTGCGTGGGGCCTGTCTGTCTGTCTGTCTGTCTGTGTGTGTGTGCAGGGAACTGCACAGCCCAGCAGCAGCAGCAGCAGCGGGAGCTGGTGCTGTCTCCCCTCATGCCCGATTCGTTTCGGCCGCGAAACCGCCGACGGAACGCGCAGGATTGAGACTGCTATCAACGATTTGACGGACAGAATCACCGACTTGACGGCGCGCATAGGTGTGAAAGGGGGGCGTCTGGGGGCCTGTGATCCCCGCCAAGCCGGCCAGTCGCACCCTCACAGAGGGAGTCAAACGAACTCAAGACCTCTGGATGGGGGACCCGTGTATGCGCCAAAAGGGCATCGCTCAACGCATCAGTGTCTAGTATGATGGGGATCTCGTCGATGCGTGTCAAGTGTGTGCCTCGTCATCGCGGGGTGGCATCAATCGTTCAGAGAACGAGATCATCACCCGATGTCCATCCATCGTCTGCACCTGCAGCTAGGCCATCCCAATCGCATCACAATCATGCATATGCACGTCAAAGTCCACGAAGCACGAGCCGTCCATCATCCACAATGGCATACAGGGCGCAAGGCATGGGTGGGACAAGGCCGCACACACCACACCACAAAGGCACGTTGACACACGGGTCACGCCGGTGGTCAGACAGTGCCACGCCCATGAGCAAACGCTCAGGCAGCACAGCAGCATCATCAGCAACAACAAGCCTCAACACCACAAGGCACCGGAGCGAGCAGAGCTCAGCGCATCGGGCACATGGGTGGAGGGCTCAAGAAGGCGTCAGGCAAGCGCCCAGC